ATGATTCATCACAGTCACCAAAAACTTTTACAATGGCTTTTTGTTTCGCCTTCCAAGCTTTTTTATATGAAATTTTGTATCCAAACTGCGCACAAATTCGCTCTTGAGTCAATGAAATTTGTATCGACGGTTCTTCATTCACCATTCCTACATAAAATTTAAAAAGTTTAGTTAAACTTAAAAATGTAATTGTAAAAAAATTAAAAAAACATATACAAAATATAACTCTTACCAAGGATGCATGAACAAATTAAATCGAAATCTAGCTTTTGATGATCTTGAGAAACGCTAACATTAACACATGTATGTGAACCACCTCACCTCGTAATTTTTCACTTCGACAATTTCTTCACCAATGAAGCCCTCACTCTCCATGGACAACCAGATGTATGGTTTAAGCATTTAACATACAAAAATGTTGGTTTTGACTCAGCCACAAAATAACTTTGATGAATCTTCATTACATAATGTTTTAATGCATTTTTCACTTCTTCTTTACTATCAAATAACAACCCAACGAATAAAGGATCTCCTTCAACCCATGAATTGACTTCTTCCTCTTGTTGTTCATTCATTTCTTCATCAGGATATTCCCAATTAATATACTTATATTGTGGAGTAACATTCCAAAAAGGAATTACAGTATCTCCTGCATTATTTTTTGCAATAACCTTTAGCATTAATATTTACCAATCAAACTAAAAATTAATTGTATTTTACAATATTTCACATTACCTCCTAAATTTTCGCATTCTTGTATATTTAAGTTGAAATGAAACTCCCCTTCAACATCAGTAGAAGAAGAACTGCTATAAGAAATTTCTGCTTCATCATCTCTATCGATGTCACTATCATAATCTGAGTCTTTATTATCTTCATCAACATCATTTCTAACTCCTTTATAGCAAAAAATACAACTTTTAATAAAAACATTAACATATATTAATAATAAAATATTACAAGATAATAAACTTTACCTTCTTTAGGATCACGACTCACACAAGTGTTATCATTTTGTTGTAAAATTGATAGATTTAAATTCATCATCTGCAATGACACTGATGAACTTGCACCAATAGCAATATCTACATACAACTCAATAACATTTCTACTAGATTGTTGTTGAAATGCACTTATCATGCAATCAATATCTCCATCATCACATATATCCAAAGCTGTATACTATCTAATATTTTCATCAATCAAAAAGCGAGAAATTAATTTAGATATCACTTGATTATGATTCAGATTAAGTTTCAAATGAATTTTTCTTTTCAACGCTTCAAAACTTATTCCTCGCTTTATCTAAATCACTTTCTTACTTCCTTCAAAGCTCACTCCTTCATTTTCTTCAAATATTCTACCATTCCAATATATAATAATAAAAATCTCATTCATCCTGCATTTATACAAATAAACTTTATTTAACATTTATTTTTAAACAAATTATAAACATTTTCATACTCTCATTCATTAACTAAAATAATAACAAATATCATAATTACAAAATTTGATAATACCAAATATAGAATTAAATTTTAAAATAAAAAATCTAAAACTAACCTTATTTTTTTTGGCTTCCTCCTTCAAAGAAAAATGAGTTTGGCTTCCTCTTCTTGAAAGGTAAATGAGTCTCGGTGAGCACACAAACGTTTATATAGTGATGCTTTTGCCAAGTCATTTGCGAAAGTTCCCCTCTTTTTCGCTAGTTTTGTGGCAAAAATAACAATAAATTTCGCCATCACTTTTGCAAAAATCTTTTCACATTTAAAATAAAATTTGCCATCACTTTTGCGAAAAACTTTCCAGATTTAAACATGTGTCCCCCCTGTTTCGCTAATTTGGTGGCAAAAATCCTTAACAATTTCGCCATGCCTTTCGCGAAATAACCGTAGCATGATATGTGTCATTTCGCTGTTCATTTAAAATATTTTTTTTATTTTTTTTGTACTTTCGGGCTTCCACTGGCGAAACCATTCCTCTTCCGACACGTGTTTGGATCCTATTTATTTCACGTTTTTTCTGGTGAAATAAATAAATAAATATTTTTAAATTAATTTCAATTTCGCCAGTCACTTTGGCGAAAAATATGTCACGTGACATTTCCACCCCAGGAAATTTGTTTCAAATATACCCTAATTTAATAATTTGTTTTTTATTTAACATTATTTAAATAAAAATGCCCAAAACTTAAATCCAACTTCTAAAGCAAAGTACAATCAAAGGATTAATAACGGACAATAATAGATTAGAAGATTCTCCCATTTTCTTTCTCAATATACAGGAATCAAATTAATTTGAAAGATGAAGTTCACGTACCACACCTGCCAAATTGCTTAACGAATTTAAATTGAATTTTGACTGAGAAAGAGGATGGAAAAAATTGATAGAATATGTGTTGCGTAATGAGCTTGAGCTGCAATTTTAAGTTTTAAAATAGGTAGATTGGAATGAAAAATAATTGCAGATGAAAGTAGGTTAGACTATCTCTTATAAGGAAAGGAATTAATATAGCTTGGCTTACTTAAAACTCAACCTAAGATAGTTTGTTTAAGTAATAGATTAAATTTAAGTTTTTTAAAAATTTTGATTAATTAAATACGATAAGTTTAATTTTAAGAAAAAACTTATTAAATATTATAGATTAGCTTATTTAATGCTCATTAATCTTATAATAATGTATAAAATAATTTTTATATATAAATTATAATATATTTATAAAATGTATTTATTTAAATGAAATATGTAGTTTGAAAGTAATAAATAAATATATGTTATTTTATTACAAATATTTAAGATGTAAACTATTTTTATAACATATTTAGATGTAAATTTTAAAAGCTTTCTAGACAAAGACATATTTAGATAGTTTTCTAGCTTAATTATAAAAAAAAAATAGTTTAATTATTTATTAATGATCTCAGTACAAAGTAAACAATTAAAATGTTATTCAGTCTAAAAATTTATGATAATTTAAAATAGACCAAACTTATACCTCACCTACTTCAATCTCTAAAAACAACCAACGTCTATTCTTTTCTTAAGGTATGAAAATAACTGTGTCTTTGTTTAAAGCAATTTAAGAATATTCTCTTCTTGTTTTCATCAATTTTAAAAAGTAACTGGTAGAGCATTTTAGAGATGTCTAGTTAAACTTGCTTCCATAAATCATCTCAAGTACGCAAGAGTGTATATGCTAGTTGCTGTTTGCTCTTCAATTCTGTTTAGTTACATGCTTGTGTCCCAAAAGTGAACCCTACGTATTCTTCACCCACAGCCACATGCAAGCGTTAGATTCGTCACACCATTCTACTTGTATTTGGCAAGTTGGTAGCTGCAATCTTATTTATACTATAAATGACGTGTATATACCCTGTGAACTGTCAAGTCTGAGGATTAGCTCTTGCCATATTTCTTCTGCATATTGCAACTTTCAGCATAGCAACTGAAGTTATTGATCTCTATCTAGCTATTCCAGGTGCATTGTTTCAACTTATCTCCCTCTATATGAATTTTGTTTGTTTCTATGACTTATTTTCAATTCCATATACACTCCTGGAATATTTCACATTTGGGCAGTTCTTCTGTCCATATGCGAAACACAACAGCACAACAATAAAGTCATTAAAAAGTTGTTTCGATTTTTTTAATGTTTTGAAAATATTTACATTATTTATAACCTAATCATGTTCATAAAAATCTTTGCATTTGTTGGACTGTAAACACTCAATTTTATCACCAGTTTAATTAATTTTTAATATGTTAGAGAATTAACCCAATGATTATGCCAAAAATTTGACATTAATACTTGAGCAATTTGACAAGGCCTAAAGTGAAATTTTGGATCTACAATTGAGCTAATCAATATTGGACAAAGATGGTTATTGATGAGTAAATGATGGCCTAAATGGGTAGCTTTTTCAGTACAGTTAGTCTTCTATGGTGGATAAAGGGGGTCCCAAGGTTGCTCATAGGCTCCAGCAAAGGATGTTCCTGTAAGAAACGTTCTAACATTTAAGTTAGAGAATTTTGTTCAAATTTAGGATTAGGTCATCAACATCTTTTTAATTTTAAGTCTTTATGAACGTCAATTCGATTACATGCCTTTTATACAATTTTATAGGATGCGCACATTTAATTAATATTATAAACGATGCATCATCACTAGTTAAAAATTTCTCTTCTCTGTCCTTTTAATTGTCCTACACAAAGCAATCGAGCATTAAATGAAACAAATTAATAAAAGTAATACATAGATTACTCTATTATTTACAAATCATACAATCATTAAAAAAAATTATATCTCATTTTCAAAAAAACTAAAAATATAAAAACACATTTCCCTAAATGTTTAGCACACCTTCAAATAGTTTATTTTCATCTCAATTAACATTTTAAAAAGGTTTTTTTTTTTTTCATGTAATCTTTCTTTGGAATCTTTTAAAGTGGTTTCAGTTTCAACTTCTCAAACCTTTTTCTTAAAATCTCTTTTTTTTCTATTTATCTTTTTTAATAAACAAAATATAAAAAAATTAAGAATAATTCAAGTTGACCTTTTTTATACAGTTAACGCGGTGTAAATATCTTTCTTACATGTAAATAAACTCTCGTACTCATGTCATGTTAAGAAAACCATTTTCTCAAAGCTTTCCTACATTCAGGGACTCTGGGATTTTTCTGTAAGTGAAATTAATGAACAGACGTTTGCATCAAACACTAATTGGAATTAACATGGTCCAACTTTTCCATGATGATTTACAGCAACATTATGTGACCATTTCTATACTATTCAGACATATTTATGAAAACATATAATACTAATGTAAACATCGAATGACCTGTTATTATGCTCTCGTTGAGTATATTGCTCTTGCGCACTGTTAAATCTTTGCCAAAGGTGGCCAAAAGTCTAATACAAGCACTCAGTACCACTCATTTTTCTTCCTTCTTCTATTTCACTAACATTGTTCACTAACTCTTTGGGTTTCTGTGCTACAGATATGGCGGACGCTGTTGTTAGCCCCCTCCTTCAGAACTTGTCACAGCTTCTGCGCGATGAATTCAAGTTGCTTTCGGGCGTTGAGGACAAAATCAAGTTCCTCTGCGATGAGCTCAAGTTTATACACGTCTTCCTCAAGAGCTCCATTGGTAAGCGCAACGACGAGCTTGTCAAAGAAGTGGTCAACCAAATCAGAGATGTTGGCTTTAAGGCCGAGGATGTTGTTGACATCTATGTTGCCAGCGTCGCCCAACATAGAAGCAGAAACATAATCTGCAGGCTGTTTCATTTAAGACAACGTGTCATGGTGCTTCGTGAAGTCAATAATGAGATAGAGAAGATCAAGAACCGTATTGATGAGATCTATAAAAACAGGGAGAGATACGGCATCACAGAAGGTGCATCCACAAGTGAAGATGTTGATGCTATTGCTGCTGAATCACTCCGCGAAAGGAGGAAGGACGTGGAAGAAAAAGACGTAGTGGGGTTCGTGAATGACTCAAACTATGTGATTAAGAAGCTCATGCAAGAAGGTGATTCAGGTCGCAAAGTTGCTTCCATAATCGGCATGGGAGGGTTGGGTAAGACCACACTTGCCCGGAAGATTTATAACAATGATCAAGTGAAGAACAGCTTCCCCACTCGTGCATGGGGTTATGTTTCCAACGATTATAGAGCAAGGGAGTTTTTGCTGAGCCTTCTCAAGTGTTTGCTGTCCACATCGGAATATGATGGTTTGTTCAAGAAGAAGGAATATGAAGTTGAAGCTATTGTTTCAAGTGAGGAAATACTGAAGACAAAGGTGAAAGAATGTTTGAAGGGGAAGAAGTACCTAATAGTGCTTGATGATATATGGAAAACTCAAGTGTGGAACAAGATACAAGATGCCTTCCCAGATGATGACCACAGCATTGGCAGAATACTGATAACTAGTCGTGAAATGGAGGTCGCAAACTATGTAGGAACCACATCTCCCTACTATCTTCCCTTCCTCAATGAAGAAGAAAGTTGACAACTCTTTTCTAAGAAAGTGTTTCGAAGTAAAGAGTGTCCTCATGATCTCGAGCCTATCGGTAAATCCATTGTTGAGAGTTGCAAGGGCTTGCCACTTGCCATTGTGGTCTTAGCGGGACATGTTGCAAAGAAGGAGAAATCACAAAGAGAGTGGACAAGAATCAAGAACATCACTTGGCATCTTACTCAAGACAAGATGGAAGTGATGGATATACTGAAGCTTAGCTACGACAGCCTGCCTCAAAGATTGAAGCCATGCTTTCTGTATTTTGGAATCTATCCTGAGGACTATGAGATAAGGGCCAGGGATGTGATCCAAATGTGGATGGCTGAAGGGTTCATTCAACCACATGAAGCTGGAATCCCAAGTGCAGCTGAACCAGAAGATGTTGCAGAGTACTACTTGGATGAGCTAGTGGATCGGAGCTTGGTGCAAGTGGCAAGCAAGAAGAGCGATGGGCGTGTCAAGACATGTCGAATTCATGATCTTCTCCGCGATCTCTGCATTTCAGAGAGCAAATCAGAGAAGTTTGTGGAGGTTTGCAGAGATCCGAACGACATGGATACCCTGAGCAATGATAACCCTCGTAGATTGTCCATCCAATGCAAGGAATGGTCTAATTTCTCTACAAACAATTTGAATCAGTTGTGCACTCGTTCCTTGTTCTTCTTTTATGAGGGGGAAGAGTTCCCAGAGGATGTTCTTCTGAAAAGCTTCAAGTTGGCTCGCGTGATATATTTCAAAACCGAAGGACACTACTATAAGTCAGCAGCCATGACTGATTTCAAGAAAATGATCCATCTAAGGTACTTGAGAATAGATAAAACGGTGATTAGCATTCCAGCTTCTGTACGCAACCTCAGGAATCTAGAAACCTTGATGTACGACATGTAAGGAGGGTATCCAACGAAATTTGGAAGCTCAAGCGACTGAAACATCTTTATATAAGGAATGCTGGGAAGGTAGAAATCCTACCAAAATCACAAAGGAAAATAAAGGGAAACTTGCAAACCCTCTTGTTAACATGTATTAAGGGTGAAGATTTGGTGTCCCTGCTAAACAATGACATATTTCCCAGGTTGAGAAAATTAGTGTTATGTACTCTGTATTATCCTTCCAACAAACCCTTGCCTAGTCTCAACCACCTCACCAATCTCCACAGCCTGGAAATGGATAACCGCCTAGAACTTCCATCAGACGCAAATGTGTTTCCATCAAATCTTACAAAGATAACCATCCTCCATGATGCCGACGAGCCGGTGACTGGACCCCTGTTTCGGAAGAATATGAAGACTGTAGGACAGCTTGCCAGCCTCCAAGTTTTAAAACTAAAAGGGGATATATGGACTGACTTTAATGTTGGCGCTGGAGAGTTCCCACGACTTAAAGTGTTTCAGATGAGAGGAATTAGAGTCAAAAGTTGGAGATTAGAGAAAGGTGCAATGCCGTGTCTCCAAAATCTGGTCATCAAGAACTGCGATAGGCTGGAAGAGATTCCTGAAGAACTCTGGTCGTTGACTACCTTACGAGAAGTGCATGTTTCGAACCCCAACCAAAGATTAGCTCACAGACTCCGAAGCGTTGAGTTGAAGAACGGTTGTAAGCTCATACTCTCGGAACTTGCTGGGGAACTTGTCCGAAAATGAGGAATTTTATTAGAAGCATTTATTATATTTTTGTAATTTTAATATAATAATTATGTATTTTTTTATAAAAAAATTTTATTTATAAATGTTTAAACTCTATCCTAAAAACTAAGATTAACAAAATCTTATAAATTAATATATTAGCATAAATGTATTTATTAATAATTTATTATTATAAATAATATATAATTATCTTTATTTAAAATTTACAAATTTAAATTTTTCTTCTTTTTTAAAAAAAGTTCTTTCAAACATATAGAGGGACAAGTATTGGTACAAGAAAATTGTTGTTTGAAAAGCTATACATGTGAAGATAAATATACACACAAAAAAATTTGATGAAAATATTTGACTGTTATGGGAAAAAAAATGAAATTTGATATTTAGGTTTTATCTAAATGAGTAAAAATAAGAATAAATAAAGTAATTTTTTAAAGTAATTATATGATTACTAACATTTAGCTTTAATTTATAGATCAGTTTCATATAAATTCCACTAAATAACTTGTACCTGTCTTCTATTTACTAATGTCTTTTTGAAACTTATCTAACAAGGAAGAATGTCCTGCTAATTTTTAAAGAGAACATTCTTCGGAAACTGTAGATTTCCCCTTCGATTGACCAAATCGTTTGGTTCAAGTAAAATTACACACAACCTAATGCCAATGCACAGGACATTAATACCAATTTAAGGACTTATGGTGGTGGCATTCAGATCAAGAGTTCAGAAATAGAAGGAATTAAGGTGAGGAATGATTACATTGTACAAATATCTTAGGATGCTGTGGTCTTCATTAATCATACTGACCTGCATAAAATACTGCAAAAAACAAAGGGAAAAGATATAGAATCTCATACTGCTCTACAAATTAACATTAAGGATACTCCTAAATCAACCAGCACGAATCAAAGATCAAAAGTAGGATTCAAGATATTCATATTGGTGCCTCCTATTATATTGTAGCAAGCTCGCATAAGTCCGATCCCAGATTCCAATGTACATACACTCATCATCAGGACTCAGAGAAACCCCAGAAATTTCCCCAAAGAAATCAATCTCTTGACGTTTTTTATAATCTGCCTTTGTACTATAAACATGCACAAAATCTGCAGGCTCAGCAACCACCATAAATTGACCATCCGAAGAAAACCGAATAGACCGTGTTGCCCCTAGGTTACCCTTGAGAATGGCAATAGGAGACGATATGTGTCTAGCATCCCATACTCTGCAAGTCTTATCCTGATTCCCCGTTGCGAAGGTATGTCCATCAGGATGCCATGCAGAAGCAAAAGAGTAATCACGATGACCAACCAATGTTGCAACAGTCTAAAACATCAAACAAGTCCCAAATATGTTAGTGGAAGTTCCTTCTTAATATGCTGTTTTTGGTGAAGTATAAAGCTAAAAAGTAACTTCGTAGTGTTTACTCTCATTGCATTGGTATTTTGCAATTCTGTCTCCCTCTCTCATATCTAGTATGCATTCACTGACCCTTTGAGATGCTTAACAGTGACTACTTATATCACAGCATCTATACTCAATGAAAGTTTTGCTTGTTCACATTTTCTTGTTGAATGATTGACATAAAACTAAAGAGAAATAGACCAGTAACATGTGCACAAACAAATTATAAAAAGTTATAGGAATTAGTCTCAAATTGATGAAAATGAATCACAAAAAATAATAACGGGAGGAATAAAAAACATCTAAAATGATTATTCCTCCTGAATCTAAAGGCATAGCTTTCTACCAATAATTTAATAAAAAAGAATATTTCAAGAAGTTAACAAAACAAAGACAAGCAGTTTTTTTTTCCTTTAGGATTTACATCTTCAAGCCCAACAGAAAAGTTAATCAGCTTTACAACTATATCCATCATTCTCCAACAAAAAAAATAATCATAGACATAAATTTAGAAGAAATTTAAAAAAATAAAGGATTTGATCCATTAGCAAATGCTTGATGAATTAGAAGACCATCATAAGCTAAGCAAAGACAGACAGAATATTCACAGGAAGAAAAGAGAATGCACATGAACAGAAAATCCCAATAAATGCATGACCAGAGGAACAAGTACCTTCCCATTTTGAGGATCCACTAGCAGTCCATCGAGGTGATCTCCAACAACAGTCATAAGCTTACGGTCTGGACTAATTGATGTGTGCTGCATCAAGAGTGAATAGTTAGGAATCAATGCATTATATATAAAATTATATAAAATAATAACCACAAATCGTTTTAAAAAAAGTAGTAAAAATATCCTCAAAACTGCATTTTCTTGTATGTAGAAACAATGTAAAAAAAAATAGCTGAAGTTCACACACATTGTGAATGAAACTGCCATGCAAAAAGCAAAAGAATCAGCTAAGACAATCCAACAGTACAAGAAATTTGAACGATAGCAAAACTAGTCAATGTCAGTCCGCCTTGGCTTTACTTGATTACACTCTTTCCTTCTATTAAAAATATGGAATTTGGAACCTGGGTTCTTCTTTCTTTTTTTATGCAAATATTCGTGCAAATCTTATTTTCAATTTCTCTCATTCTCCTTCAAGGGAAAGATTTACCACGATAAGTCAATTCGGAAATCCAAAGCTTCCTCTTAGGTCATTTGTTTTTTGGACAGTAATACCTGATAGCATTAACTGTAATCGCAAGTTGCATGTTCAATGGCCACATAAAGCTCTCTCTCTCTCTCTCTCTATACACACACACACACACACACATATATATATATATATATTTCCTGCATTGTTCAGCTGTTAGCTACTTTTGAAATAATTTGTTAGGTATTTTCGGGTAAGAAATGAGTGTGTCCCAGTCTGTTGGATCAGTTTCTTGAGGCCCACTTTCAAGGGTTTAGTAATAAGAATTCAGATGAAAAACAAAACATGGCCGTATGTGGTTTATGGGCTTTTGTGGTGTATGCAATAGGGAAAGGGATGCTTGTATCTATAAGGCTGCTTCTTATTAGCTATGGATAGAATTGTTATGTAGCTTCCCTTAGGTGTTAAGCACATGTATTATACCATGGAATCAGCAGCTAGGATATGCAAAGAGATTGGACAGCTCTTCTACACTGGCTAGTTTTATAGACTTCAGTTTTGGTGTCTTTGTTTTGGTTTTCTTTATCCATTCTGACATTCCTTATCCTGCATCTTTTTGTACTGTTTTCTCTTTCTATTTCTAATACAATTTATTTTCTTATCAACCAAAAAAATCCAGCAGTATAAGAGAATCAACCTGAATGGAGAATAATTAGCCAACAAGCAGTAATTGAAAAAGGAAAATAGAAGAAAAAAATATACTGCATAACTCAGATTGCTTAGAGAGTGCTCACATTCACTGGCCAAGGAAACTGGAAGTGATTTAAAGGCTGAAACCTTTCTGTGTCATATTCCCTCACACCACAATCATTATTGGAAGCTATAAGATGAGTTGCACCACTGCAAAACTTTTCATGTCAAGCAATGTTCCAAACTAGGACAAATAAACTTGGTATGAAAAATACCTCAAACTGTCATATATTTCAATTGCATTTGTTATAGCATTATCATCATGTGTTGTCCGTGTACAAAAGCTTACTCCCTTCTTATCCAAACGCTGCACTCAATAAAGACATTGTAAGCTGCATCCATCATAATCCTAATAGGATAAACTGGGGAAACAGAGAAGTAGTAGGCTTGTGTAGTAGCAATAATCCCTACTACATTTAGCATATATTACCAGCCCAGAAGACAGCAAGGCAACAACAAGAGGAGAAAGAGAGAAAAAAACACCAAGATCATAGAATCATGAATGGGGGTTCAATATGGTACTAGTACATACACAGACAGCCCACACCAAGACAACCAAACATATAATGAATCCATTTTAAGCATCAGCTTAATGATCGTGTTAACTCCCATTAATACATAAAGTTATCTCATCATTCAATGAAGTAACAGAAGCCCAAAGAACTATGTATATGATAAGACACCAATCATGTGGACTCACCTTACAAGTAAGCTCTCCTTGGAAGCCACCAGCAGCAAGAATATTATCCCTGACAGCCAATGTGCTAATCTGGGTCTTTGAAAATCCTTCCAACAAATTTCCTGCATATCTCTGCAAGACCAAAGAAAGCATAGTTGAGTAAAGCAAAGAAATTATAAATGTATACTTAAAGTAACGCACAAATATAGAAACCATTTAGATTGGGTTCTTGTATAAACTTAATTATAATTAACACTCTTAACTACATTGTTTTCCCAAACCATGTTAATTTTTCCAATTTATTAACCACACCAGGATATTGAACAAAAGTAGGTTTCTTATGATAAAAAATACAATTCCACATAAGTCTTGCATTAATAAAACATGAAAAAACGCAAATAACACTCTCATTCCTCTTTGTTTATAGATGAACAAGGTTGTGTAAGAGACTGCGTTACCTCAGTAGGGGCCACATGTCCAGCAAAATTGATTATCTCAGACAAACTGCCACTTAATGATGACCAGTGCATAACTGAGTAGTTGGAGATAAGGTAGACATCATGTTTTGAAGTAGCCCATACTAAGTTTCTCAGCTGCATCCCACAAATAAATATGTCATTAGGCTAGATTTTTTTTCCTTCTCCAGTAAAAGTCATTAGGCTTGAAAATTAATTAAAAAAAAAAAACTACTCAAACCTATTTTGTAAGACCATAAACTATACAAAGAAACAGTACAGTCGTCTCCAATGCAAATGGACACATGCTTGTATTATATCCAATAAAACAATTTAAATCCAACTTCTATTGTATAGCACAGTGAAAGGATTAGAGACACAATAGTAAATTTGAAGATTCTCCAGTTTGCTTTCTGAAAATCCAAGAATGAAATTAATGCATACGATATGCAGCCATAAAACAAAAGAAAGCCACACAAGCCACAACACTTTGATCAATCACCAAATATGGCAATCACCAAAATAACAAATATCAAAGCACATACGTGAATTTTAAGCCATATTATACTAACTGCTTATTTAGCCATTCAAAACTACAAAGAAATAAAAAGAAAATAAATCATTAGGCACATGCAGCATGTAAAAACCAACAAACCTGAAAATGAAGAACAGTAGGCTTAACCACTCTTGTATTATGAGAGAATTCATAGTATCTGCCACCCTTCTCCACTTGTTTTCCCTCCTAAGACCCCAAACAGAAAAAATAATAAATAAACTTTGAATATCAAAATCTTTGTCAAACAGCTTCTGATCCCATTTCCCTGCTTCCCAACAACCTCAAACAAATGAAAAAGGGCTAAGAGGAAAAACAAAAGACCTTGTCCTCAACATCCCCAGATGTAAGAATGTTCTCAAAATTCCTGTATTGCTCAAGCCTTGTCAATCTATACCTTTCCCTCGTTATGTTCAACCTCTTCCACGGAATTCCCTGAATGTCCTTCCCCTTCCTTGCTTGTGCAGCAGACGTATCAGTCACCTTAGTAAGCTGCTCCAATCATCCAACACACCAAACATAACCAAAAAAAAAAAGAATCAAAATTTTCCCTCACTTCAACGAACGAATACAGAAGAAGACTCAAAATAAAAAAAATTAAAAAAAAAATCAGACCCAGAGAAAGGGAAAAGAAACAAACCATCTCATATTCATCATAAGCAACATGTTCTCCATCACCCCCACCATAGTTTTGGTCGTCTATTTCGTCAAAGAAATCTTCTTCGGCCATGTGAGCAAAAGGACGGTACAAGCCATGGAGAGACATCATGGCGTGCGTATACCAAAGTTCAAAGCTTGGTTTGATTGCAGTGTGTTGTTCTTCGATTAGGAAAGGTGAAGAAAACAAAACACGGTTACCACCTCTTCTACTGCATATTATTATATTATGAGAAAAAATTACAGTAAGGAAAGGAAGATATAAAATAAAAACAAAACAAAGCTTCGTCTTGTACTTCAATTAAAATAATAATTTTATCTTAATAATTCAGGTAATGAAGGCAAATACTAAATATTGGCGTATATTGTTAAGATGAAAGTTTAATTTTAATTAAGAATGCTCATAAAACTATATTTAAATTTTTTAATAAATAAATGTAATAAATTATAGGTTTTTGCAAGGTGTGTTTTGAAAAATTAAAATATAAGAATAACTATTTATATATTAAATATATTTAATATTATTTAAAGTAGTTTATGAGAAAACAATTATTATGTTATGTCAAAATATGTAGTTTAAAAAAAAGTTTATATGATATTATGAAAAATGTTTAATGAAAATAAAAAAATATTACAAAGATAGTAATTTAATAAAGAATATTAAATAGGTCTTAATTAATGCCGTTAAGATAATCATATATGTGTTTAACACACGTTTATTATTAAATAAAAAAAATGAATTAGATGGATAGCATATAAAAGAAAAAAGAAAATGGTATAAAGAAGTATGGGTTTGTAAAGGGCATGATTGGTAGCTTATAATTACAAAGGCACGGAAACGCAATTGGTATAATGGCATTGCGAACTGCGATGGGGGAATGTGTGTGTGAATTGAGTAAAGGAACATTGTGTGATGTGTGTGGACGAAAAGGAGATGATGACAACCTCGTGGGACACTTGACTCTTGTCTTCATCTTTTACTTTATTATCTCCCACCGAACTACCCAATACCTGTCCCTACTACTCACATCACCGTAATTATCAGGGATTTGATACTCACTAGTAACATTCCTAATCAAGTTCAAAAATATATTAAAAAAATAGACAAATTGAAAACAAGCTTTGCCACTAAAATATATATATATATATATATATATATATATATATATATATATATATATATTATCGTATACTCAATTAAGAAGCAACTTGATTACTTGTTAGAATAAATATCAAATTGATCCTCGAGTGATTTTTCATCATCACTAGGCATTATTTTGTTCAAAATAAACAATAATTTATTTTTTTAGGATTATACAATTATTATAAAATTTCAGGACTTGTACAGTGATACAACTTTCAAAATTATTTTTGAATTTTTTTTATATTTTGAGAGTTATACAATTATTATAAAATTGCTCAAATATGTTGTTGACTTAGAAAACATTCTTTACCGAAAAACACGATTAAATGGGGTCATAAGTTATTTAGAAATTTATTGCATCAATCACAAACTAAATTTTTATGATAACATGAACAATAATATATTTTATTTTCTAGTGAGACAATTAAAGGGTTACGAAATTAGCTTTTTTTTTTCACGCCTTCTAGCTTTTAGACTTTATTTTTTAATACATAAATAAGTATTGGACGTAAAGGACTTGCTTATTAAAAAGTAAAAGCATGCCACAAACCACAAGTTAATGCTTCCAATAACGTTGATCATCAATTACCTGCTTAAAATACGTCGTCAGCAATAACCAGACCAAAATGCTTTGACCAATGATACTCTCACACCCTTTATGGAGTGCGAGGTAAATATAGGAAAAAGAAAAAGTCAAGGGAAAAAAAGACACCTATAAAATATGATTAATAACTTGATAAAAACAAATAAATAATATTATAGATGAAATATTAAAGAAAGGGATGTAAAATAATAATTGAAAAGCTTTTGTTGACTTGGTTTGGTATCAATTGTTAAATAAACCCCGATTAATAGCTTGTAGATGAATAGGTTTGTTATAGCAATTTTAGGGAATATGCAGTGCAAGTCAAATATTCAGTTGAGTCATGACAAAGGCATAAACAAAGTTGAAACTGTTACACTCACATTTCCCTGGGTCCAGTTCAGAACAACTACTCGATTTCATTTATGGACAACTAGAATCCAATTTACAATACATCGAATCAAACTTTATTATGGAGGCTCGGAATAAATAATTGGATGAGGGGGAAAAAAGAGTAAGACTTGTAACATGAAGATATTGTATCAGAAACCTCAAGTCCATTACTTCATTGACTTTCATCTTCCTGCGGCAGAGCTTCCGTTACTTTCGGTCTAGAGCAGTTCATCTTTGGTATGGAGCACTTCCTTTACTTTCCAGGAATAATGCTCGTTAATGAATAATGAACTTAAGCAAAGTGAAATCTTGCAATGAAAAAATTGCCAGAGCAGTAATCTTCAATGTGCTTCTGTAATTTTAAGCAACGTGCAATGATTTGTGTACATCTCTACAAAGTTTTCACTTTACAAACCTCAATCATAAATCCACAATCCATAAGCAGCAATAGCCAAGCTCTCTGCTGTTCAGAGAGTCGATCCCTGGGGCCTTTCACTTCAACAAGCTTTGCTTCACCACTGTAATATCCGTGGAAACGCCATAGCAGTAAATCCGGCATCCCACTGGACCAGCTCCGATAGTCTTGAGCAAGAAGCTGGCAGAGAGATGCCAAACAACAGCCCCCAATACAAGTAACAACAGCTCGTAGCTCATCTAAAGAATGGCAGTCCCAATTAACTCCTCTACAAGCTGTTCCAATATGTGTTTCCCATGACCTAATGAGAAACTCCTCAGCCATGCCATCACGAATTTGCTGCAGATGTGATTCTATGCTACTCTTTCTCACTGAATAAAAGCTATCAGTACCCAAATCCAAAGGAGCATTCTGTAAATTCAAAAACAAATAAAATTACAATGAATGAATATGGCTGTTTAAATCAAATACCAAGTATCAGTCCGCCAACATTATAGATTTATTTTTTGAACCTTATTAAGTGAAAGTAATCACATAAACCTTCTGGTATAAGAGGAGACATCAGGTGAAGGAAAGTGAGACAAAGTACTAACGGATAATTTTAGCTAAGAGAGTAATTATGCAAAAAATCAGGTTCAGCATAGACGAGTAACAGTCATGAAGGAAGACGAGTTGATGGTACTTTTAACATGAGTGGACAGAAGTTCCAACTTCCAAGAATCGATGGTCCATGGAAAGATTAAGACCCTCTATCCCTTAATTTGTTAAGCTTTGAGATTAAACTTGTCAGCATTTTAGGCAAAGGTGGTGATAGGAGGCTTACGTAAAGCAGCTTTTGAGAACAGTAATAATAAAAACAACTTTAGAGGGAAAGTTTAAGAACGCAGGTGTATAAAAAAAATGCTTTTACAATATAGTTTTTTTAGAGCTTTTCTTTTCATAAGCTACTATGTTTAACTTCTTCGAAAAGTCTAAGAGCCAATCTGGATAAATTTCTTAAGAATCACTTAATGAAAGGAAAAAAAAAAATTGAATCAAGGAGATAAAATAAATCAAACTTTGTCCATAAATTAAAATCAACTCATGTAGCTTCACCATAAGTTGATTTTAACTTGTAAAAAAAGTTAGATTCATTTTACCTGCTTGATCTATTTTACTTTATTTTCTTATAAGTACTTATTAAAAAAATTTCCCAAACTAGTTCTAAAAAACCTTTTAAAAAATTATCTAAATTTAATATTTCATAAACAATATTAACTGAAAGATATTTTTCTTAAAAATTATTAAGGGCCCCTAGTCTTCTAGCTTAATGAAGGCAACAGTTCCTTGAAAACAGTTTTGTTTCTTTTATACAGAATCATTTTGATAGTGGTACTTGAATCAGTTTGATCAGAAAATGCAAACATGAGGGGAGAGTGCGTGTGTAAATAGACCAAAGACTGGATTTTCTCAGTTCAATGCTGAGATCAATTTCAATATCTGGCTCATGGTCATTATTAACAAGTTTATCTTATGTATAATATAGGGTATTGGATGGATCTTTGTTAAGAAAAAACTATCCTAAATTTAAGCTGTTAATTTGAATTTTGAAGCCCAAGAATGGCTTATATATATTGTAACATCCCCTCCTTAGGAAAGATGGGACATATATTTGCAGCACAAAGTTGAAACCTGAAAAAAGATGGGAAAGGTAATTACTCAGTAAAATGTACCTGAAATCTAGTATAGAAGACATTTGGTACGTCAGCATATATGACATCCCACATAAGAAGCCCAAAAATGGTTAACCATATGCCACTCTCTGCATGAACACCTTGCCATCCACCTCCCTCCCCAGCATAATACTGCAAGGCAAGCTCTTCCACTCCACATTGCTTCCCCTCTTCATTGTAGTACCTGTTCTTTGCTCCCAACTCAGAATTCAACGGTCTCCCTTGAACAAATACCTGAATAGTCAAGAGCCATGGGCCATATTGTTAAAGGAAATCAGTAATGTCAATTTGACTAGAATAGTACACAGGCAAATTAGAAGCGAGAATCATAACACAATAAAACAAAAAACCAAATTACCTCAGGTATCTTCCGCAGAGCAGACCTAGAAAAACTAGGAACTTTCCAGCGCCTAGGGGGTTTTCCTAAGCGAAGAACCCGCCTTTGCAGTGCCATTCTTGACCCAGCACGTATCCATGGATTCAGCAACCCATCTTCAGCTAATTTAAGGCTCTCATCAATGCAGCCCAGGTGCTCCAAATCAACTGATAACCTCAGTGTCCAATATCCTCTTCTTACATCAGAAGTGAAAACATTTAGCAGCAACTTGAGTAAGTCAACTGCATCAGTGTACCTGAGAAACAGACACCGCATTGTCAAGATCTGTAGCGTATAAGAAGATAAATAAATCATATTGATAACACAATGCCTGTGTAAGTAGGTACATAAGCTCCATTTATTTCTACATAAATGGAGAGCAGGGCACTGTGAGCACAAGTGATGCGATGTGCCACTGCATCAGTGTATCATATGAATGAAGAAATTCACGATTAACACTGGAAGCTGGACTACAAGTAATAGCATACTCGACATCCCTGAAAAGAAGCATATGAGAGACATGCTTTCTTAACAACAAATAAAGAACCATATCAGACAAAATCCTTGAAGCTGGAGCTGTATGGAAGCACCATATTGTTATTGGAGTTCATTAGGTTAGAAGCAGGCTCTAGAGTTCATATTTTATCTGTGAAGCTTTTTCATTTAGTAAACATGGAAATAAATCCACTAATAAGGTTGAGGGATGAAAATGTGCAGGGATACGAGGTAGTCATGACTTGTGCATATTGAAGTGAATAACCCAATGACTAGAGATGGCCAAAAGGCAGGCAATGAGGCAATTTGTTTCAGCCAGGGTGGCAGCAGAAGAGGATGGAGTTCCAAAAAAAGCCTAAAACTAGATATATGTAGCACTCCTTAGCTGTCATAACAATAATATGATCAACAGACTTGTCCATGGGCAATAAATGCAGACATACCAGGTAACTTAGAACAATTTTGTTTGACTACTTGAAGTGAGCAGTTTCGAAACAATTATAACAAACAAAGCATCAGTGACTCAGCCATCATCATCACAACCTCTCCTGCTTCCCCAGGCATTTTCACTACTCTAAATGGTAATAACTAAGGCAGTGATCACTAGAATCAAAACGTCTAAGCATTTTTATTGGAATCACAATATACTTAAAGAATCCTAAGATACACGTCATATTAAATTTGTGCCAACAAATGCAAAACCAAGACCTGTACAAAACACACAACCACCAGGGCACCACTTGTATTTGCCTTTTTTTCTCCACATCACTAGTAACAAGAAACAGGGCCTGCATCTCATGTTTAATCTCTCAACTCTCTATATTCTTGGAGTAAAGGTCTTCCTCAAATTCAACTAGTAGAGTATGTGAAGCAAGTAAAGCAACAAATCATGTATAAGAGATAAGTCTTGCCATGATAAGATTTAAGTAAACAAGGGCATTATAGGGATGGGTACTGTCATGTGTAGAACGATCTATTATCTAAGATTCTATGGTATTCTGAACCAGATTAAACACCATCATCCAATTTTTTCAGTCATGTAACATAGTAGAATTGGGAGGTGAATCCCCATCAAGGGATTGGAACAGCAGAGAAATAATTCGGATAACTGCTTTAATTTCTTGCAATTCTGTTTCCCCTGATTTATTGGTATCTCTTCCCAAAACTGGAATCTAATAATACCATACTACACAAGCTCCAAATGATTCTGCTATAATTTTTTAATACTGTAATCTTTTACATGTTTAGGACATGACCTAAGGGTTTTATCAGCATTATGTATTCACTTGACCAAGATTTTAAAAAGTGCATGAGTTTGTTGATTAAAACACAAACCCCCATACCTGCGCTCTTGCTCAAGGAAGGAAATCCCTACTGTGAGCACTTTGGAGTATACCCATGATGCTGTAAATAAGTAACGGATAGAGGATACTGATTCAGAAGTTGAGTACTGGATGGGCAAATCTGTAGATACACAGGATTCAGCAATCTTTATGCACCTTAATACTACATCAGTTTTGTTTGCATCAAGAGCTTCATCCATAATTTGCGCCAATTCAATGGCCTGAAAAACTAATGTCACACATGGAAAAAAGAACAAAAGGCCATCAACATCTCTGAACTTAGACATGTACCTCTTCATAAGAGAGCAGATCACTGCGATTTGAGAAAATTGGCTCTGATATTATGCGGGTGTAAGTTGGATACTTGATTTTACCCATATCAACAAGTAGAAAGGACGAGAGATCCTGTTCCCCATTTAAGAAGAAAAGTCTCTGCAAAAGGAATATCATTTACATTAGATCTAAATATTACCCAATTTAACTGAATTCTTCAATCAACACAAGCAACAGAAGTCAAATAGGAACCTCAGTACGCCACACAAGAGATTCAGCTTTTGAAGAAATCCTAATACAAGAACCAGTTCTATCTAAAATCAAAGTTGATAGTTGTGACCTACATACAACAATAACCAAGTATTAAATAAAATGCTATTTGAAACTTTCACACATTGTAAAAGCACAACAAGAAGTTTAATACCATAGTACGCCAGCATCTATGGAAAGAAGAGATGAAATCAGATGCTGCTTCTTCATCCCGTGACTGCAACTCTGGTACATTAACATACAAAATTTAATAGCTAGTTCATAAGAGAACTGACAAAGAAAGACAGCAAATAACTAATGAAATGCATTATACCAGAGTTATGATTAGTTTATCAACTTCTATATTTATAAAGAGAAGCAAAAAATAATGTTCAATTGTTTGGCCCGTATCTGTCCACACAGTAAGCCTCTTACTATGTAGTCATCGAAAGCCAATTATCAATTTAGGAACATCTACTATGGATACAGCCAAATTTAGAAGGATCCATCCAAAATGCTCCACTCACTTATGGTAGAACATGTATGCTCGGGATGCTCTCATATATAATTATAACATATCAGCAAAACAAGTAAAGGATGGGGGGAGGTATGAAAGTCTGAAATACAGACATGTAATTTGACAAAATAGACCAAAGTAAAAAGCATAAATTTCATAACATCTTGCAAATACAAGATAAGTTGTGCTGCTAATAAAATCAAAACATACAAAATACAATCAGGTCATTCACCATACACACAGAGATCATTCATCCCAAAAATGCAAGGAAAATCATACTAGAAAAATTGTATTCTAAAACTAAAATGCAATGATCTATTTTTTTCATTTTATAGAAAAAAAAAAAGACTAATAACAAAATAGTTAGGAATTAAACATCGACTAACTTCCTTGCCCAACTTTAGTAACTTCTCTAGAAGCAAAGTAACAAGAACTCAACTTAGAACCTTCAACATACAATATATTTGTCTGTGCAAGATTTCACAATAGACAAATTAATATCACTTAACTGTATCGAATAAGAATCTTGAGCGGACCATACCACAAAAGCTAGTTTTACTTAGAGAGCTCAAAGGCTTATAAACCCCCCACATTACAATTACATGCTTCCAATGTGTCCCTCGAGTCTCATATCTTACAAATGGATTATAACATTCTACCAGGTTCTGCAGCTTCGACACCCATGCAGGCTAGCCATGCACTAAGGCCTTGATTATTTTCGACTTTCAAGCAAACACTGTGATGCCAACTTCACTACTCACATCTAACTATTCGTTTGCAACTAAGAGATATGGTAGAAGGATCTAATACCAATTGATAAGAAACTTGGAAGAACTATACTACAAAAGCTAGCCATTGGAATTGGAGGGACTAACACCTTATAAACCCTACACTAAAATCACATACTTTAAATGTGAAACTCACTTTCATAACTTACAATTGGATCCTAATAGTATCAAAGGACTTTAATAACAAAAGGAAACTGATGGCCCAAGTCCCGACTACAAACTCATTGAGCATGCAACTTGTACACAAAGTAAGAGCAACTGTTAAACCCTAAACCCTAAAAATATTATTCGCATTAATAGTGAAATCCACTCACTATGAGGTTTCCCAAGAAAATATATTATTGCTCTAAACTTAGCAATCGATTCAAACCTTCTTAAGCAAAATGCAGCAGATTTCACGCAACTCAAAGACAGTGAGGACATTCAAGATATCATTCATGTCACTTTCACACAGTTGATTGGCATCTTCGACAGAACATATGTATTCTTTATCTGCAATATGATCATACCAAAGATACAGGTTACAAAAGTGGAAATAAGGTTTGACAGCAAGAAATCAAGCTATATTTGCAGGGAAAAAAATAAACCTTATGATCATACCAGCAAGTCCCTTGACTGCCTTTTGAGCATCCACTATTTCAGGATAGGATATACTAGACATGCGAAACCAAGGTCCTTCATGAGAGTCCAATATGAAAATTATATTAAATCCAAAAGAAGAAACAATTTAAAAAAGAGATTACTAGATAGTTCAGTAAATCATAACTTCAGTACAAAAACATCACATCAAGAAAGCCATTTACAACAATGGACATTTTTCTTATAACACTTGGCACATTGTGGTTTCTACTTGAATATAGTCAGACATATTTCTTTTGAATTCCCATATGCACTACACAGCTCAAAATCTTTAAGAGATGAGCAGCACTGCCATGACATGGACAATCGTGATATCTACATATGGGATGTAGTTAACCTGGCAATGTATCAATTTTTTGCAAAGGTGATTTGCTTGGTATAGAAGTAATGTGAATGGTCAAATTCTTAAGCTAAGTGACTATGACTTGGTGTCAGTTTCTACAGAAATTCCATCATCTGGAAAATTCAAGATCTAGTTCCATTGAAGACCTTTCAACTCAGATGTTTCTGCAGATGCCTGAGAAATTGAAAAAGCATTCTTCATTCTAGAGACCAAAACCACCCTCCAATTTCATTGATATTGGAAAGCTCAGCAATATTGAAATTATTAATCACTAATATGTTGCAAATTTTCAGATATTATAAAGCATGTATTTTCATTAGTCATTGTTCCACTCAGAAAATGCTAGCTAATTTCTTTTACAGTACTAACAACCACTTTAATTTCCATTTTGTTATTTGGCAAATTGCAGCATCTTTTCTGAACCCAGTGCATTGTCCATGTCTATAGTTTCCTTTAATTGAGTTTAAAGTTTTGGTAGTACAGAAGGAGCACGAAATCTAATGGCAATGTGTGAGATATATGTTTTCTTTTTCAACAAAATGGCAGTGAGGTATATAAGATGTCTTTTGGTGATTTGGCCAGAGCATAATGCTTGTAGTGTTTAAATGTGTGCATATTTGAGAAGTCTCTTGTCAAGGATATCCTACTGGACATAACTGCCTTTATTAGATCTTTGGTGCATACTGCATAGCACTTAGCATCTTCAAGATCTTCATACATAGAGGTGCAGAGGGATTGGGAAACTCAATTTCATTACTGAGTTCATTCATTTCTAATGGTTTTACCCTTGTACTGAGGTTAACAAGATTGCAATTCATCTTCTTGTACTATTTTTTCCCCTTTATTATCAAGAGACGGACTAAGAAAAAATATTAACACAAGCACTGGCACTTCATGTCAAACATAAGAACTTAAATTTATAATATTCAAATAACCTTTTCTAGTGTATAGCCGGATAAAAAGCCTCTGACTGTCATTTGAGAGTAAAGTGAATGAATCTGTCCAATCACCCATAGATGAGACATTATTTAAACTATCTGATAAAAAAAATTGAAGAAAACAAAAGTCAAAGGTATTAATAGTAATACCCAGATAGGTTTTTTCATCTTCTGTTAGAAGGTGAATATTATTTCTTAACACCTCTTGTAACATAAGACAAAAATTCCACTGATACTTTACAGATGAAACAGGATTTCTGATTGCAAATTCAACAACACACTGAACATTTTTCCATAAGCATTTAAAGGACTGATCTGCATACTTGCTTTCACCATCTGATGTTCTGTGGCACATAATCTGAATTGGAACAACATCAAGAGAATGTTTTGGAACAGAAGAGACATGTCCCTGGAACAAGTTCCAAAGTGGAAAAAAATTGAGGGCTTGGATTAAGTTGTTTAACCCACATCTTTTGGAGTAATTATAAGGATTATCAAGTGATTTTAGTATAAATGATTTTCTAGAATTATGACTTGATAAAGAAGAAATAAGATGTATTTTCACAGAATGATAACATTCACGAATTGTGGCATTGTGCAATGCAATCAAACCCTATGTATTGTGCCTATGTTTCTTTCTTCTTCCTCTCAATTGCTAACCTCTTTTCTTGAATTTTATCAACTATCCATAAGTAGAACAGATTTCAATATAAAATACCAATCCCCCCTTCTTTTTATCAAAACTCATTAAACCCAACACACAAAAAGCACCCTGTTCACAACACCAAAATAGCCACAAATCTAACCTTAATCAAATTGCATCAAATGGAACTTCAATCCACCTATTTTCAATGATTGATTTATTCTAGAAAACTGTGCAATCCTGAACTAGAACAATCACATAATTCACAACTCAACTCACAAGCACCTTCTATTCCAGTAATCCATTTGACACAAGTACAAGAAATAAAGCAAGGAGTAGTGATAAAGGCACATAAATACATAAACAGCACATCATTAGGCCAAACTATTTAATTAATACCTGAAATTCAAGGCCATAGTTGTCAATAAGAGGAGACAGATACTGCACTAGCTCACGGGGAAGAAAACCTAATAACTTACACATCGCAGAATCTGCAGAAACAACCTGAACCAACCAAGAGAAGCAATGAGCTCCTTGAAATTACATACATTAGATAGAACTTCACAAGCTTTATAGTGCCAAAAAGAAATTAACCTTGATGGCATTGGGATCCTTAACATTTTGAGGATCCCGCAAAAGAGAGATTGCAGCACCAGCACATATTTCCTCTCGATCAGTATATTTCCGACCAACGATAAACGTTTCAAGCGTCACGCCGAGTACATCGTCTTTGCATTCAAAATCAGGGTCATCCAGTTCAGGTACCCCATTGTTCAAGGGCAAGGAAGATGAGGAGATGCTAATAGTAGAATCAAGATCAACCTCACGACTTCCACTGAGTTCTTTTTCACACTCATCATTCCGAGGCGTAGCACAGGGTGATACAGCATTGTAACCGTTACTGAGATTCTCAAATTTGGGCTTCGATAGGGGGCGCGTGAAGTTTAACTGAAGGAGAGTGCGTTGGGTGAGTTTTCGCTTTGTTGTTTCTCCTCTTTGTTTTGATAGACACGCATCTGAAAGCGTAAATTGAGATGAGAGTGTAACGAAATATTGCAATGGAAACAAAACGAAAACACAGAAAGGCACATACCGAGATGAGAGTTGATGTGTTGGTTATCCCCGGGAAGTTTGCGGCCACAAACCGGGCAATTTACGTCGTCGTTTTGGGGGTTATTACTATCTGGTTGTGGTGATTGCGATGGCTGAATAAGGTTAGGGTTAGTGATAGGAATGGAATCGGAGAGGATAGAATGGCGATTGGGAAGGAAGCGCCGCCGCTTGCCGATTAACCGAATCAAGCTTTCTCTGCCACTCAGCACCATTACCTCTTACTCTACAGAACCCCGCCAGAGAGAGATCGTGAAACCCTCAAATGATCAAATCTCCCGCCACCTTCACCATTTCATAGATAACAAAATTATTATTATTATTATTAGTAGTAGTAGTAGTAGTATATTAGTATTAGTATTATTATTATTATTACTGTTATAAAATAAAATTTAAAAATAAATTATATACTTATATTTAAAATTAAAAAATATAGTTTATCTTTAATAATAAGTAATTTATATTCAATAGAATTAAATTAAAAAAATAAAAAACTTAAATAAATAAATAAATTATAAAACTTGAAATAAAATTTATTTCAAAAAAAATTCAATGTAAACAATGTTATATGGCATAATAAGAAAAAATTTATTTTTAAAATACATATTTAAGATAATTTTTAAAGACATTTTCATTAAAAAATTTCAATATTTGATTGTTACAAAGAGAATAAAGTTTTAAATTTAAATAAAAAATTACTAAATTAATATATAATTATACTTAAATTAGTTTATATGTTTATTTTGAATATTGATTTTATTTATAGTAATTAGATTTATTAAACATATTAATCTATAATAACTTACTTAAGATGACAATCTCTAAACAACCTATAATTTCTTTTTCATGTGAGTTTAATTTCTACATTGCAGTCTAATAAATATTCATGCTTATATATTTAACACTCTATGTATAATTGTTGTAAGAAATTATAATATTGAGTCACTTATATATAGTTTTGGAATATAAATCTTTTATAATGAGTTTTTCACTATATCAAATCCAATTTCAATCATAATTATCTATTATTATATTTGTTTCAATCATAACCATTAACTATTATATTAATTTTCACTACATCAAGTTTTGTTTTATATTAAGTCATTTCAATGATTGAAATCATCCGCAAAGATATTATTATAAATTAAAATTTATTTCAGATGGTCCAATCAAGCAAAATTTTATACTTCCGCTTAAGTAAAAAAATTTCATTTAAACAAAAGGATAAAATTCACTAATTTGACCGTTAAGTCACAGGAAAGAATCATGATATCTATATTATCACTAAAGAAGTTTCTTTTCCACATTTTTGAAGTACCTTTAAATACACTTTATTATATTAACCTTACATATCAATTTTGTAAAAATAACATACTCCAACAAATTTCAAATTATATATGTTCATGATAATTAAAATATTTTACTTTACATTTTTTAAACTATTTTATTTATTTTGTATTTATATTTTAATTAACTTATTAAATTGACCTAAAATAAAAGTTTCCATTTAAATTCTCTTTAAATTTTAAAATCCTTCAAATTTAAAGAAGTTTTATAAATGTACGCATCTCTTCATTAAAAATCCATGGCTTGTTTAGATATTTAAAACTTAACCAATATATATATATATATATATATAGTATCTTAATAGCTCATTTGGCTAACTCATCCACTTACAAGTAGTTGACGAAGAAATGAGAATTTAGCATGCCTTAACGGAACATCCCTTCCCTCTCTCAATGGTCAATTTTCGTCAAATACTTTCCGTAACATTAACCAGTTTACATAAGCTATTAATTCTTAAAAATATAACTGTAACCAAATTATCCGTTTACTCCATTATATTATCAAATTTTATTTATTAAAGATAGAAAGGGAGACGAAAATAATCCAGGACAAGAAAATTGAATACATTATCAAGTGAAAAAATATATATATTTGCAACAGTGCTCCTAAAATTGAGACAGCATTGTTTCCTCTCTTTAAACTGAATGTTGATTTTTCAATATCATAAAAATTAAAAAATATTTCCGTGGTTTTTAAATAAATCACTAACATATTATATAAAAAATACCCTCTAGAACACGGTAGAATGTAAAAAAAAAAAAAAAAGTTTCCAAATTTATATCAGAGAATCAAAGTGGAAAAGTCGTCAAAAGACGCGTACTTCATTTGGGAGTTGGGATTTGCTTCTACCGACGATACTAACCGACATTAAAATGCCTTTACAACAGAGTATCTGAAGCTGTCACGGTATTAATTAAATAGAAAATAAAGGGCGATACGAAAATTCTTTTAAACAAGAATTTTGTGTCTCATTCTCAAAATAATAAGGTGAACAAAAGAGTTCATGACAATTCAATTGCCACTTTTTCCATTAACAGCTTTTCCATTTGAATATTTGGAAAACTCTTATTTTATTAATAAATCCTAATGAAACTTGAGAGAAACAGCATCTCTGGCAAAATTCACTTCCCAGTCGTTTCTAATCAGACTGGATTGGGCATACTTATAATTAACGGCGTACGTCTTCTGAACAGATACCAACGGGTGAAGACTTTTGACACAATAGGTCCAATCATCTATATTTTACTGAGGGACAAAAAAAAGGGAAAAAGAGGCCTGTTACCGTTAACTACTTGAACGAGTTTGTTGTACTACTGCATCCGTCGCACTGCGTGTTCTTGTCAGAAATGGAGCATAGACGCCTGATAACTTCCCAAACAAACCAGAACTTGATCCATTGGTTTTTTCTTCTTTAGGAGTAATGTTTTTTAAATTCACTTGACTACTAGAGAAATTTCTCTCTTCTGATATCCGTCTACTATCCTGAAAAGACAGATCACCAATATAATGAAGTCAATAAATATGAGAAAGAGAAAGACAGTAACATAGACAATAAAATCAACCAAATAGCAATTCAAATTATAACTAGAAAAACAATTCAAACCAAATGGAAAAGAGTTTTTTTTTTCCTTGCAAAAGACACCCCAATAAAAATAAAAGTGAGTTGTGTAAGGATAATATTTCATTTCATACATAACGAACATAAACTTTTCAACTTTAGCCACAAGCATATAAACCACTAAAAATTATCTAAAATTGCACAAATGTAAAGGGATTGCTTTTTTTTTTGGCAGTCAAACGTAGCCAAGCATCTCTGAATGAGGCGTCATGTGAAAAACTACCTATTCCCTCTTCACGTCTCTTTAGTAAATTAATCTATCTAAGGCAAATAAAAAACATCACAAACCTGGTGAGATCCAGCAGAATTTGATGGAGATGGTGGATCAGTAGACATTGTTGGTGGCAAGGATCCACTCTGTTAAGAAAACAAATGGTAGGAAGTATGAACTAATAATCGGCACACAACAGCGAGGCTACAGTAAAAGCTTTCAATTAAAAGTTAAGCACATTATAAGTTTTATGATGGGTTCAGATAAGAGGTAAGGAGTGGGAACTGCGAAAGGAGGGAAGGGTGAGAAAAGTAACAAAACCTTGCATGGAAGATTTTTAATGAGGGGATAGGTGGGGAAAGTGTCAATTAGAAGAATAGGGTGTGTGATTGAACAAAGGTGCTAATCAACCCACCCTTAAATTGGATATACGCTTTTCTCACTCTTAGCTCTAGAATTCCTACTTCATCCCAATCACATTTCTAGGTTCAGGGTTTGCTTGGTTGAGTAAGGGATATAAGGGGGAAGATTGAAAATAGGATGGAATAAAAAAAATAAAAATAATAAAAGACGTGGCTCAAAGTGAAAATGAGTATATTTGGTCTTCCAGCTTCACATGTAAGTGTACAGTAACTTTCATCCCATATTTTCCATAATGCCTACTATCCACTAACTCAACCATGCTGATGGTAAGACAGACCACAAATGCCCCACAGATATTAAGCATAACAGACATACACAGGTATAAATCATATAGAAGTTACCCTTGATGATGAAGTAACGGATGGTGGCTCAAGAGATAGCCTAGAAGGACCTGTCTGCAAACCCTGTATAGTTCAGATTACAGAGTAAACATAGGTTTCAAAAGAAAGAAAAAATAATAAAAAGGAAAACCCATGGGGGGGCTGAAATATAAAACCAAACTTGATGAGTGTGTATTCATTCTTTGGCTAATAATTAAAATATTTACTGGGCCAATTAACAAAATATACTGTCAAACTACCAGCAAGAATTTCTTTCAATTTACAATAACATATACCATTATGACAAAATTCATAATAACAGTTCTCCAGAAAAAACATATTACCATTGATAAATGAGAGTAAGAAAGAAAACGCTTACCCTGGAAGAGGGAGAAACTGGTGGTAGCTCAAGGGCTGCTCTTGAAGAACTGGATGAAGATGCCTATATAATAAAAATTGTGTTAACAATTATTGCAAATAAATAGAAAGAAGACAATAAAAAGCAGCTCTGAAAAATTCAGACTGTGAAGCAAAGCAAAGCCAGACAAACAGAAATCCATTTGTGACAAAAAATTAGTTCTTGCCTGAATATACTCTGTGGGTCTGCTATTCTCCAAACTCAAGGTAAATTGACACAACTTGTTTACTCCTTCAGTTGTGGCCACCTAAGCAGATAAATATCAATAAATGGTAAGTCACAGATATAAACAATATTACTAACCTAAAATAAACAAAAAAATGTCTATAATAAAATTATGCAGTGACTGAAATTAAATTGACAATACCTGCTTCCCTTCTATTTCTTTAATTTTAGATTCCTGAGAAGCAAAGTAATCAAGCTTAAATAAAATATCCAACAAAAACTCAAAAGATATACTGAATTATTGCAATTGATTTACCAGAACATGGACAGCAACACGAACAGATTTGAAATCTCCACCTATTGTATCTGCATCCCGTTGTATAACTGATATCTGTAATAAAAAATATTCTATATCGTTAAACAACAAAGAAGCCAAAACTAAACACCTAAAATCATAACTCACCTCCTCCCTGGTACTTTCAGAAAGTGCAGCACATTCATCCAAACTTTTATCCAGACGGTTCATTCTTGCAGATAATTTCTTCTTGGCATCCTGAAACCATTGCAGATAAATGTTCATCTTTGAGTATTCCATACCATAGTAAAACAATCATCAGTGTTATTCTAAATGTCTAGAGAAAGTTAAAAAAGTAAACTGAGCAGAACGCAAACATTAAAAGATTATCTTTTATAGTACACAGAAAATATAGGAAAGAAGGATTTGTTTGATAATGGAACAATATATTATGCACTTAACAAACATTACATGAATAAGATTAACACAGAAAGGCTTGACAGAGAAATCAAGTTCGAAGATCATTTCAATGGAGTCAAGAGAAAAAACAATAAATACAATTAAGTAGCACCTCTTCCTGTGTCAAATTACAGTTCAATAGTCATTGAATAACGTCACATAAATGACACACTCATCCTAATGTGCGCTTCAAATGTTTCAGGGGAACCACATGTGAGCTCAATATATAAAAATACAAACTAAGACCCTCATCAAGTTCATATCTCCTAAATAAAAAATAACAGAATAAACTATATTATTTAAAAAAATTGCTGAATTGCACCTTCACGTTTTGTTATATAGGTATACTCTAGCTAACAGTTAGAAATTATTTATTGTCATCACTAATAGAAAATGCCTGATTCTGACATAATCTAAGAACAAACTATTCAGTAAAAAAGAAAAATTACCTCAACTGATTCATAAAGCTTCCCCATCTGATTACCAATAGACGAGCAAGCATCAGATAAACCACGCCTAGTTGCAAACATCATATCAGGAAGCTTCCATCCCTGTAAACATACAAGGGCCATAAAACTCAACCATAAGGGCATGGGCATAGGAGATTTGGAGATAGGAAGGTACGATTATGGTAAGAATTAATTTTTTTTAAAAAAATTAGAGAATATGTCAACATGGATCAGGCCGCTCTGGCATAAAGTTTAGTATAGCTAAATTCATTCACAACAATGGTCCTGTGTATCAAAGAGGGGCCAAGCCTTCAAGAATTTACAGTAATAATACATGTAGTTTGCTCTATTATTATACCCAAATATTTTTTGAATTGCCCCCATAATAGTTTGAATTTTTATTTTTATTTTGTATAAATTTTGCCCCATAAACAAAAATTCCAGGATTCGTCACTCCATGGCAAGCACTGCATAATTGATTGATTTGATTCTGATCCAAATTGAGTAAAATATTGAAATCAACATGAGTTGAGATCAAACTAAGCTTAGTAAAGCCCACTCTCAGAAAAGAATGATAAACACAGTTTGGCTAAGTTAAATTAAATATTATACCAATTTATGCTAACAGAAAGAAACTGCAACAACCCAAACAACCATGAGTGCCATATGAACAAATCCCAATAAAATTGAAATGTAGGACTACAACATCCTGCTACATAAATCAACAAATATCAGAATAAAGGACGTTACCTTCCACCAAATGTATCCATATCCTACTGCAACAATAACAATCACTGTTACATACTTTTTTCCACCTGTGCATTGCCCAAACAAGTCAGAATATAACACAAAAATAAGAAAACATTTGTTAGCTTGTACAAAGTACAGAGACACCCACAATTAAAACCAGTGATCACAGGTTTGCAAATTAACATGTTAGCATTATTAAATTCCCAAAGAAATAACTGAAGGCCCCTATAATGTGTAAAAGAAAATAGTTAACCAGTACCTGATCCACTTGCATTTACAATAGTGATTGATCTATCTCTAGCAAGAAGTTGTAGTTCCTGCCTAAGGCTGTTCACCTGTAGATCAAGAGTTAATCAGCATTTTCAATTACCATCACGTTGCTATGTATTTACTAGTCTACCATTGTTTTAGTAGCCAATTTAGCAGGGGAGAATAGCAATCTTACTTTAACATTTCTCTATCTTTTTTTATAAACTAATTTGGATAACTCTTTCCATATAAAATGGAGAAATATAATCATGTTTTTATTCAATTCGTAGAATGTAAGAAGAACTAAAGTATACAGCTAATTGTGGCAGTATCATAGACAGCTTTGTCAGGCACAACCATTCACCACTTTCCCAGATGCTACACCACATATCAAGTATAGGCAATTATATGCTTTTTTAAGTATAAATGGATAAAGAGTGAGGTTCACGGATACATATTTTTCATTATCTAAAAGTAAATTTACAACCCCTATTCTCTTAAGCTAAGATCACTACTCCTTTCATTTTATGAGCTATTAAGCACTCTATATCAGAAAGAGAAATGCTAGCAACACATTCTTTTGGACACACTCTTCAATACACTCCTTGTGATTGGTCCTTTTTTAAAAAAAGTTAAAGCATTTGCCTCATAAATTGATTCCTTTTTAAAACATTACTTTGACCTTTTACAAAAATTGACCAATCATAAGAAGTGGGTTAAAAAGTATGCTCAGAACTCAGAAGAGGGTGTTGCAAACATTACTCATATTGGGAATCATAGATAACAATGAAAAAGCTAATGTAACTTCATATGTTTCGAAAGCAGTAGTCCCAGACTCCCTCCATGTATCTTTACTACAAATAATTCACGAGGACTCTAGACTGAACAAGTTTTTACTACCATCCTGCTCCCAAAACAAAAGCTAGCATAACATCTAAATTCAAATCCTTGTCATCAATTCAACTTGTAATAAATCAGATCACACTAACAGTTGACAGTCCTAGAGGATGCAAAACAGTTAACTAACAAATATTATTTGGCAATACAACAACCTTGAAAAACTCAGGACATGACAATTTAGGTGTCTGAATAGTCATAATTTATAAATCCCTGGCAGTGGCATGTCTGTTGCAAAGAATTAAAACCAGACATGTATCCTTAGTGCGAACAACATTCATAATACATTTCATTCATAGTTATTATTTATGGTTTTGTATGATGCTCTATGTTTCCACTTAGAATAAGTTTTGCCAAATATCAGATGACTAACTATTTCACAGAAAACATTTTATAGATGCTAGCTATGATAGTAATTTTGACCTGTTCGGCTGTTTCAATTTTGAATCCAAATGAAGCTATTCTCAGTTCTCATACAAGTACAATACTACAGGTTGGCATTTATATAATGTAGATTATCATAAATAGATCACAAGTTCATTGGCAATGAAACTTAATGGAATAAGTTTAAAAAAATGCTTATATTGATAAGTTACACCAAGAAGCTTATTAAAATAAATTAAAAAGAGCATATAGAAGCCATAAACTATTTTCATAAGTTTCCATATGCTCTTCTATATGCCCCCATAATCAGTAATGATGCAGACCTGAGCCATCAAAGCATCATTATGTGGCTGCTTTTTCACAGTTGGAGCAGAATCATTGCTTTTAAGTTGATTCAAAACAACCTGGCCAGAAAGGGGGGAAAGTCTACAGTCAGTATAGAGCCTGCATATTTAATTACCAAGAATAAATGACAGTTTCTATACACTAATTCACTATACTCATGGAATCTGGAGCCAATCACAAATATATAATAATACCATCCAGAATATTTCCAAACTTGAGGATTTTAGGATGCAGCACAATTAAAGGAACATGACTGAATTTCTCTTCTGAAGAGCAAACAACAACTACCAACCTTATCCACATCAATCTCCATATCACTTTGTATATGTAGAATAATGAATCTGATCCAAGATACCTAAACCATACAACTTGGGCATAGTCCAACTCTGATCCACAATTTTCACCTTCAAAACCTTGTTACCTCACATCTTACTAAATTTATGTGCCATATACTTTGCCTTACTCTTACTTAACCAAATACCCTTTGGTTCAAATTGTGATGTTTATCCCATTTAAAAGACATCTTTATGCTAGAATTAAAAAATTTAAAGAATTAAAAATAGAAATAAAAAGTTATTTTTTATGATTCATAATCTATTTCATAAAATATTCAAAGCTTTCCTCCACAATTTAATGAATTTGTATAATAAATTTAACACTCTAAAAGTTCGATATATTGCCACATTGAACATAGAAAATAAAATCAGTGGAATGTCAATCATTCAACTTAGTAGGATATTAATTTTTTCAAAAAATGCTCAAGTTTGAATAGCTCAAGTTTTCACATAAAAAAAAAATTAATAATACACACAAGTTATTTGTGAGCTCTTAGTGACAAGGCAATACAGCTTTAGCTTAGCTCATTTATATAACTGAACGTATGTTTAAGCTCGAGCCTATTAGTTGAGTTAAACAAACAAGCTTGATTGAGTGTTTAACAAGTCAAGCTTGAATAGCTCATGGATAGCTTAACTCTTTTAACACACGAAAGTAAGTGAATGGACAGAGTTCTAAACTTTTCAAGGTCAAGGTCAAGGTCATAACAGAGAAAATCCGGAGGTACAGGCAATTCTTTGGAGATGAAAACATTATATTTCTGAAATTTTGTTGCACCCCCATACCAATGGTACCTTCTCATACCTGTCTGTACCCATATAACATAGCCACAGACTAGATTTCCTTTAACTTAACTTCTATTATTTCAATCATCATCTCAACCATACAGCCTTGGACACCAAAAAGAAAATTGCATTTTATACATGAAACAGCACCGATTCCTCGATCACATTGAGGAACATAAGCGGAAAAAATTAAGAAAATTATAAGCAACAATCCTCTAAAAAAATGCATTTATCAATCTGTACCATCAGCACTGTACATTACATGCAAACACCCTTCTCGAGAGGCTCAAATGCATACAGAGAATATTAAAAACACAGAACCGAGAAAAACAAGTTGAGCTTTAAACAACTAACCTTAAAAGAACCAGAGACGAGACCAGAGACATCTGGTAAGCGCCCTTCTTTTGCAATCACTGAACCAACAATACCTAAAAGATAAACGAATTTCCGTGAGGAATTTTTTCCTAATGCTACACCATGTGCCACAAACACCATTCACCAGTCTCCAATATGCCAATGTTCATATAAATGCAACATAATAACCCTACCAATGCAAAATTCTAGTTTTGTTGAAAAACCTAGATTTCTCATGTGACATAAGTAAACGAACCTAAATTGCGATCGCATCAAATTTTGAAAAAATAAAATCTGCAAAAAATCGAAACTAAATAAAAAGCAATACGAATATAAGTGGCGCAAGAGGATAACAGTGTAAACCTGCACCAACGAGAATGGTGAGCTTCCCAAGCGAAAGAGCCATGGTGGCCAGTGACTCTCAGCAACTAGAGCACTCTGTTGCGAAGCATTTAGCGTGAAACGCAAGCGTTTAGGGTTCGACGATGATCGATTATGGCAAAACCAAAACTCCTTCTTCTCTATCTCTCGCCGCTAGTGAAAATTGATGAGCAAGGCAATGAAATCGAACAAACCCTTGGGGGAGTCGCTGCTCCTTTTTTCCCTCAGTGGACCCTACTTTTGAAGTTGTGAAAATATGTATAATAGTATAATAATAGTATATTCCCTTTCTACTCACTTACCACAAATTTATACACACGTGCCAAGAGTGTGGCTGTTAATGGTTATTGTTTTTATTTTATTAACCTTTTTTAAAAACATTTTTCTGTTTTTAAAAATAAAATATAATACAAATTAAACATAAAAAATTGTTTTTAGAAAGAGAAAGAAACACACTCTTAATCACTTTGTGTATTTTTATAAAAAAAAAAAAATAGTTATTTTTAAATATTAGTTTGTTATGCAAACTTCTTGAACATATGAAATTAATTTATTTTGAAACTCAAGCTTACTTCTTGTTATAGGTAATGATAAAACTTTGGTTTTACTGTTTCAATTGTACACTGCATAGCTGTTTTGGTGTTTGACTTTTTTAGACAAATTATTTTATCTTTAATTCCTTAATAAAGGTAATAGTCAACAGTCTTCATATAAAAAAACACAAGTATCACTCACATAACAATCACATTCTCCCTTACTGTTGCTTTGTTTTATACTTGTTTATCTTTTTAAAAAATTTATATTTTTCCTAAACTACGGATACTTCTTATAGAAAATTATATAATTTTAATAAAAAAAATATTCACAGTATGATAAGATTAGAATAGTCTTTGCTGATAACAATATATTAAAATAAATTCCTTTTCACAGCTTTTATTTTTTTCTATTTACATTTTCTTTTACAAAATGAAGAAGGGTTTTTTATTAATTTTAAATTTTAAAAAATAAAAATAATTTCCAAATTTTAATTTATAAAAAATTATATTTTCGAAACAATATTTCATATACTCCCAAAATAATTTTCTAACTAGAAAACAAGGATGCAGAAAGAAAAACTCATGTACTAAACCCAATTTGCATTATAAAGAAAATGCCCAGCCCAAATGGTTGGATCCAGCCCAAATACTTTTCACCAAAAAAGAAAGAGAGAGAGAGAAGACGCGACACGCCACGTAAGTAACCCCTTTCTTCCACGCAACGTGACAACGTTTCTTCTTTTATCTGTTTCTATTCTTTCTACTACCAAATACAATACTACTATTTCTATAATATATATATCCAAATCGATACCATTGTTCCATTTCAGTCTTCGTTCCCACCTTCAACTCCAACATGGATTTTTCTTCTTTCATCTCTCACTTCAACTGCTTCAGAGCCTCTGCCAATTCGTTTCTCTCTCAATACGAACCTCTCGCTCTGCTTCTCCTTCCTCTGTTCTCTATCCTTCTCGCTCACTCTCTTCGTTCCTTCTTCAACCTCCTCCTCGATAAAGGACTCAAAGCTACACTCCTAGGGTTTCTCATTAACTCTGTCAAGTACTGTATATCACTCCATGCATTGTTTTCTCGAATCAATTTTAATGATATTGTTATTTGGTGTTTTGCTAATTAATCTGATTTGTGATCCGTTTTTTGATCGACAGATTGATCCCTGGCGTGAAGAGATATATAGATGCGGAGAAACGGAAGGTCTGGTGTAGTGTAGTGTAGTTCTATTGGATTGAGCTTTGGTTTTTTGTCTTGTTATATTGTAAATGGAGTCAACTTTGCATGGCTTTGTTTCTTTCGTTGAAATGTGGTTTTGTTTCTCGTGATTTGAGGGGCAGTGAGTTTGATTTGATTTTCGAAGATGGCGCATGCACTTTATATGTTCTTTTATCAGATAACTGGATTAGTGGTTTGTTCAGTTTTTGTGTCTTAGAAATCTCAAAACTTTTTAGATGAGAGAGTTTGGAGCAGTATATGTCATTTTCGTTACGAGGTCCAGTTGGGTTTTTGTATTATCTAGAGTTATATTCATTAAAATGACTAAATGGAACTCTAGTTAACAATGGACAGGATATTATGGATAGAGAGTTTTTGAAAGGATTGGCAGAGACGCATAAGATTATGCCTCTCTCAATTTCTTCTTGTGATGGAACCTCACCTTAGATATTCCATCTTATTTTTTGTGTTTTTAGTTTAGTATCCCCATATAATTGGGGTCCTTGACCTTGAGGCGAAGAAACCACTTGGGTTTGCCCAATAAGATTATCTGTTAAATCCAAATACAGAGTTCTGTTTATGGCATCATTCTTGTTCCTTAAGTGGTAGATGAATGCTAGGATTAGTTTCTAGACCTGAGTGTCAATATCAGTGGGGATTCCTTTTTAGCAAACAGGGTATACTAGTGTTCTTTGCAAATAACTTGGATGTCTGGGCGTACACTTTGTTTTAATATTTTGGTGCTTTCTTTAAGTCATAGATTGTCGATGGTGACTGATTTGGTTATTAATCTTGTCATCGAGCTCACAGGTTGTGGATAAGCTGCAGTCTGATAGTAAATCTAAAAGAGAAGGTTGGGAAACTGAGTTGCCAAGCATAGGATTAGGGACATCTGTCCTTGAAAAAATGACAGAAGAGAAAAGAAATGATGCAGTTTGGCGAGGCAAATGCTCTGGTACAGTGTATGTTAGTAGTTTCGGTAAAATATTAATTTCTAATTATCTTTACTTGGGATATTTTATTCTTGATCCATTTGACTGTGCTTAGGATTGATGTGTTCTGTTTTTTAATCATTTGTTGTTTATTGCAGCTACATTGGAGGAAGTGAATCTGATGGACATTTTTCTCTGATAAATGAGGCATGTTCAATGTTAGTAAGTCATGACAGAGTTTTCAGTGGTATTCTATGTTTCTGTTAATATGATTTTTTAAAACGCTGTTTAACCATTGTTATTTAACCCTGTAATATACATGTAGATCGATGTTTACTTTGATCAGTGATTTCTAAACTTACTAAAGTTTCGATACACCTACTTCAGAGTAACTGAGTTCATTTCCTGGGGTCATCCCACACTGCATACTATTATCAGATTTTGTGTTTTGCCTTAAAAGCAATCTGTCTTCTGACTCTGCTCTAGGATTATAGTAATTTTTCCTAATTGTTTGAACTTGAAAATATTCAAAGTAAGCCTATGGTTATAACCTCCAGTTTTACCAGACAGCAATAAACTTGACACCTGTTTGCTATTCTTATTGTTATGTGATTATTATCAATCATTATCTGGATTAGTTCTATATGTTTCTACTTTCTCCTAAGTCTCGTGAATCTGTTTCAAAATTAGGATTTGGCCTCAAATTAATTAATGATGTTGAGGCATTTAAGTGACTGACAGTTTAGAGTTTTACATCCAATTGGGATATTGTTTAAGGTCGTTGCCATGCTTATTAGGTGGGTTGCTGATATTGCTCAGTGTTGATGAAATTTCAGGTTCGCACATACCAATCCCCTGCATTTGGATGTATTCCAGAGTGTTGTGCGCTTTGAGGCAGAAGTGGTTGCAATGACAGCTTCACTTCTTGGAGGTAAGGAAAAGAGTTCTGGAGGACAAATATGTGGCAACATGACATCAGGGGGGACTGAAAGTATATTATTAGCGGTCAAATCATCCCGTGACTATATGAGATCTATGAAAGGAATTAGAAGACCTGAAATGTATGTTGCTAATAATTCATTGTTACATATTTTGTAAATTATCATTTTTTAATATATTTTCAAACTACTCAATTGTAGGGTAATTCCTGAGTCTGGACACTCAGCGTATGACAAGGCCGCACAGTATTTTAATATCAAACTATGGCGTATTCCCGTTAACAAAAATTTTCAAGCTGATGTGAAAGCAATTCGACGTCATATTAACAAAAATACCATTTTGGTATGTAGTTACTTAGTCATGTACCTTTTTGTTTGATTTAAAATATTCTATTTAAAGGATTCAAAGTTCTTGCTACAGGATTTTATATGGTAAACAAACTCCTAATAACTTGAATTCTTGTTTTCCAATGAAACTGATTATCATATGATAATACAGATAGTTGGATCTGCTCCTGGCTTTCCTCATGGAATAATTGACCCCATCAAAGTAAGTTTTTTCAAAATTTGTCATCTAATGCTGAAAAAGAATATTAGTTCAACTTGCTTGCTGAATTAACATAATGCAGATAATTTGGCAATTTCTTTTGTAGGAACTTGGTCATCTGGCATCAATCTTTGGTATTTGTTTCCATGTGGATCTTTGCCTTGGTGGCTTTGTATTACCTTTTGCGCGTGAGCTTGGGTATTGTTGGCATGACCTATTTTATATTACTGAATCTTCATTCAATAATGTTGTTTTTTAGTTATACTTTCACCTTTGATTTTACCTATTCATTGTTTTAGGTGCTATGCTTTCTTATTAAATCTGATCTTTGGCACTGAATCTACTAATATGTTAGGATTGTTCTTCACTCTTTGACAATATATTCCAAAATTTTCCCTTTTACTGAATCCAATACTATCATGTGATCCATATAATCGATCTCATATGATGGGATAAGGGGATGGAACAGCTTCCCGAGTATTACAAGAACTATTTTACAACTACACAACTTTTTCCCAATCTATCTCTATCTGCAAGTCTTATTGTTTGTTTGGGATTATGTAGTTAGCATAGTAATTCTTCAACTGCTCTTGGGACTGGGGTCTACTATGTTTTGATGGTTGATGATTATATTAATTATACAACACATGCAATCATACAACATTACAACCCACACAAAATTGGAAAGAGACACTGTTTTAATGGACTGTAGTTCTTATCATAACCTTATGCTAAATGTCTGTCCTGTTCTTCCTAGGTACCAAATTCCACCTTTTGATTTTTCTGTTAAAGGGGTTTCTTCAATATCAGTGGATGTGCATAAATATGGTTTAGCTCCCAAAGGAACAAGTGTAGTTCTGTATAGGAACCATGAAATCAGAAAGGTAAGGGAATAATTTAGTCTTTAGTTTATACCAGAATTCCAAAATTGGTTATATAATTTATTTACAATTATTTTTTGTAACTTTTTGAAACACCTCATAGATTAAAATGTGTGTTAATCTTTAGAATGTATACTTTCTTTCATAGGTCTTTTTTTCCTTGTGTTGATTTCTATCAGAGATCTAAAATAACAGTTTAAAAATACATCGTATTGATTACTAGTGTTTCTACTTCATAAATTGGAAGTTTTTCCTGGTCAAAGTGTTGTTTTATGGTTATATGTTTCATTCCTAGAATCTGAATTATCATTTTGACTCTCGCACACATGTATAGCATGATATATATCCTAGGCCATACATGCCAATGGTTTCAGTTCAAGAGTTCTTCATCTCTTGGAGAGTTGTTAGAAGAAATATTCTTGCATTTCTTCCCACCTACAGATATTAAATTGGAGATAGAAACTTGGTTTTTCTGAATGCAATTATAAAGGCAGGAAATAGAAGAGGATCTGTATAACATGGCTAGTCCTTTTAATCTTAAACATTTACTCAAAATACGAAATCCTAAGTACATCATTATTTTTCATATGGACATTCCTTAAAATACCCTTCTCACGTTGCATCTCATATTCTCTCCAAATTTTATTGGAAATTTGGAATAGAAAGGGACAATTTCAAGTGTACAACCCCTTGTGATTGTGAACATATGGCATTTCATTTATAGAAAAGCCTAGTAACAGGAAGTAATAATATTGTTTGTGTGGGACAGATTCTCTGATTATGTAATGCCAAAATCTATTTTAGAAAGAGTAAGCCACCTTTTTTGCAATGAAAAAAAAGCTATTTTCCCATGAACATTTTTTTCAATTTTAGCATTGGGTTTGTCCTCTACTTAGGAGCAGTTTTGGATGATTTGGTGTAAAATTTTATGAAAAAAAAAAAATTGATTTTAAAAGTTTGTGACTCTGCAGTTTATGTGTTCTTTTGGTTGGACCAAAATGATCCCATTTTTTAATTTTTCTCTTGGCATCCTAGACTTGCAATAGGATTATGTTTATGCCTTTTCTTTGGTGTTTTGCTCACGGCTATTTTCACAGGAGTTGCCATTCTATTAATTGAGAGAATAGTTGGCCTTGATGCATTGTATAGTTTTTTCGGTCCATGTTCCTTCCTATTTGTTGTATCAAGAATTTCCTCTTCCTTTAATTGTATTTTTCTGCTTTTCTATCTAATAATTTTTTTCTCTATACAAAAAGACAGATTCTATACATATATCCTAGTTTTCTATTATTTGTATTCCTCCTTCCCTCCTTTTCATTTCTATTTTATGGAATAACTTACCTGCAAAATGCCTTTCTGTTATTAGAAAATTGGTATTGTTGACTTACTTGCAACAGATTATTAATGTATTTTCTTTCTGGCTTCTGGACACTACAGCATCAATTTGTTGCTGGTAAGTTTACAATTTGTTTCTGATAAACAATGTCTTGGGGAGTTAGGGTTATTTTTATATTGTGCATGTAAATGTGTGATCTATTTTAAGCAATATATTATAAAACGTCGAGGGTTATTAGTTTCCTATCTTTGAGTGGTTAACATGACCAACAATCTGTAGGGAAAGGGGAAGATGATAGGTAGTGAGATAAACTTTAGACGAGCTAGTCTTTGTTTTTTAATTCTAGAAAGTGGGGCTAGTCATGTATCTGTTTGGAGGAAATGTTTTGTCTATTATTGGGAATAGTTCAGTTGCAATTTTCTTTGTCTTTGCTAATTGTTTTTATTGTCACAGTTACTGAATGGTCTGGTGGGTTGTACGTGTCTCCCACCATAGCTGGAAGCAGGCCTGGAAGTCTTATTGCTGGTGCATGGGCAGCAGTGATGTCTCTAGGGAAAGAAGGTGACTGTTCACGACTTCTCTATACTGCCTTTGAAATAGTAATCTGATTTCCCTTTCTGCTAATTCTGATGCCCTAGCGTTTAGTGTATGGATAATTTATGGTATGGTTTACTCTTCAGGTTACTTGGAAAATACAAAAGCAATTATGGAAGGGTCAAGAAAAATACAGAAAGGGTACAGATACTGTCTCTCTCTTTCTGTATCTTTCATGTTGTGTCATGTTAAAATTTTGAACGTAATGGTTAAGTCATGTGGTGCAGCATTGAGGAGATAGCTGAATTGTTTATTGTTGGAAGACCAGACATGACGATTGTGGCTTTTGGATCTGATGTTCTGGATATATTTGAAGTCAATGATGTTATGTCATCCAAAGGGTGGCACTTAAATGCATTGCAGAGACCCAACAGGTTGTACTTTTACAAAGATTTCTTTCTTTCCTTTTTTATGCGGGAAGGGGGAGGGGGGTGGCGCACACTATATTTTCAAGATTAAACTGCTAGTGCTTGATGGATTATGGCTCACTTTTAAGAAACTGAAAATAGTTTCTTCTTTGTGCTTGAACCAGCATCCATATCTGTGTGACACTACAACATGTACCAATTGTTGACGACTTTCTCAAGGATTTGAAGGAATCTGTGAAAACTGTAAGTTGTTTACTGATGTGGAATCCTAGTTATAAATGGATCATTTATTATGTGACTATGGAGTTTGTGATACTTTTCCTGGGCCTCCAACAGAGGGTTGTTGCAGGGATGTCTGATAATGTAACAGTTCACTGCTTGATACAATGCATGCTACTGTCTTAATTTGATTTGTATTTTCTGTTTCACTCTTTTTTTTCTATCTTTTCAATTTCAGGTGAAAGAGAATCCAGGTCCAATAAGTGGAGGCCTAGCACCTATATATGGCGCCGCAGGGAAGATGCCAGATAGAGGCATGGTCCAGGAATTGCTGGTAGATTTTATGGACGGTACCTGCTAGCGTTTGTACCAGATTTTTCTGGTAACCTGTACTGTAGTGGTCCTTTAGTTAATAATATTCGATTTTACTGTGCAATGCATTCTTTCATATTGGGTTAAAAACTAAATATAGAACTGAAAAATAAAGCCCGCTTGTTTGTGTGCCGTTGTACATTTAAGAGGCCACATCATTTGGATTCACATCCGAGCATAATCATGGGAGAAAGTTCGTTGCTATTTCGTTATCTTGACGTTAAATCCGGGGGTACTGAAACTCCCAGAGCCAGAAACAATGTACATGTGATTGATTGTACGAAAACAAAATTCATAATCATTAACACGGGTAAAAATCAAGGTTACAGACAAATGTAAGAATTTATTTTGAATATATTGATCGTATATTCACATTGTTATCTTATTATGAATTATTGACGAGAATTTTTTACTTTTGTAATAATGTTATATTTATTGTATATTTAATTGGCTGATAGTGTAAGAAGTTTTGTAATGGTGATGAATCATAATTAAACTCCAAACATGATGTGGAGCTAACATGAGGACTAGGCATGGATACGACAGCTATTTTTTTGTCGCAAGTAAATATTAAAACTATACTCTTTTTTAAATTTTAAAAAATTCAAGAGATATGAATATGTTAAATTTTATGCTATTTTAATATAGCTTTTTTAATGATTACGTATAATTGTAAATGGGTTTGGTGAGTTTCCTATAACTTTCGGTACGATCAGTAATTAATATTCATTTTTATTTAAGAAGATGAAATAAAGTTTTAACTTTAAAACAACCCTAACTATCGGTATGTGAATTATATTTGATTTTTTTAAAAATCTTTTAAAGTCTTAGATGATAATAGCATTTGAAAAATTAGTCAGCAATTATGTTGAGACTTGAGAGTTATGACGAGGAAAAAAGAATTGTTCTAGGTAAAACATATTCAGGTCTAATCTGCTAAAGCTTTTCTTACCCTTTTGTCCGGATGAGAGGACAGAAAACGAGTGAGGAGCAAAAAAAAATTGAAATTTCAATTGACAGGAAATTTCAAAAGTATATGGGTTAATTTATTTAAAAAATTAATTTTTTTCATTTTTTTTAACTTTTAATTACAAAAATTTATATATTTCATATTTTCAAAGGTTTTATAGGAAACAGGAAAAACAATAAAAACTCATTTTCACTATTTCCTATATAAGCTTTTGAAAGCAAGAAATAAAATAAAATAAATAAATAAAATTGACATTTTTGTAAGTAAAAAAAATAAGGAAAATACTTTCTCAGCCTAAATGGTTTCTTATTTCCTTTTCTTTTTTTCATCCGAACATAGGGTGAGAGTACTGATTTCATGATTGATTTTCTTAAATTATAAGTGAAGTTCACCTACGTTTCACTTTTAATGTGTTGAGCTATTATTAGATGTTTGGTCTCTTTTTAAAAAAGCAATGATATATATAATACAGATTTGTTTGACAAATGCTGTACGAATTCACGTGTTAACATATATATAGTTTTGGTAAACACGAATTGATACTAAAAAAAATTGACTGAAAAATTCGTGGAAGTTTGCTCTTGTAATTTTGAATTAGGCGAGTTTGATGTTTGCTTTTTTGCTTGCACAAAAAATGAATCGATAAGTAGAAAAATTATTTAATTTTTTATAAAGACTAAAAAAATGATATATTTAGATATACATAGAGAAGCGGTTTGTTTAGTTACAAAAGCAAAGAGTGTGATGCAAAATTTGAGTATTGTATTCCCCATGAGCAGTTGTGACACGTGATCAATCAAACATATAGTCAATCGTTTCATTCGATTCTTAAAAATAAAAAAGAACATTGTGGAGACTATTTTGATGGGTAGTGCTACATTCCCACTGTTACCATTATCACCCACATGCCCTACTTGCATTTCCACTTTTCTAGATCCACTCACTTCAACTGAATCTGTAGGTCAATTTGCATTACTTTAAAAGGCAATAACCCTGTTTTTGATAAGAATAGATATGCCCCTCACTGTTAAGATTTCATATTCGTTTCCTATTTAACTTATTACACTTTCCTGCAGTTGAAACTTAACATGATGGCAAATGATAGCACAACGAGTTGGATAAAAATCAGCTATAATAATAATAACATGTATTCTATCTTTTGATCTACTGCACGATAAAACAACCAATAATTTAACATTTAAGATAAATTTAAACTTCAATTTTCTTGTAATTGTTTTTTTGTCAGAAAATCATAATTAAAAAAATAAATTATTAAATATTAAATTTTATTTTATAAAATGATTTAAATATTTTTATTAAAAATTGTTTGTATAATATTTTTTACAAAAATTATTAAAATCATATTTTTGAATAATTATTTTTATAAAATATTAAAAAGTGCATAAAATGATTAAAAAGATAGTAGAAAAAATGTTCTCCGATATTTCCTTACCCTATGTTATTAACAAGATAAATTATCTTATAATATCTTTATATCTTGATCATCCAATGAACCATGTTGTTAATAAAACTATTTGTTGAATAGTATTTTAACAGATCTTATAATATTATTTATAAAGTATATTTGAATAATATAAATTATAGCTGTATGTAAACAGGTGAAATTATTGCCACTCTTCATGAATGGATAGAGTACGAACCGAAAATGAGGAAAAAAAAATCCTATCCCAATTAAAAAAAATACAATGCATTTTAGTGAAGATTAAAGGCTCTCAAAGAAGGTATATGATAATAGTTTTTGAGAGTGTGTTTTTCTTTTCTAAATCCTTTACATTTTGTTATTCTAAATACATGTAACTATGATCCTAGCCATGTAGTTTATCCTTGATGAATATGATATATGATGATCTAGATTTTTAACATAAGTTAGAATAAGTCCCTTCTGAATTGAGCTTGGTTTTGGAGTTTGAGTTAAACAGTGTCGGTACTCAATTCTAACAGTTACTAAATCATTATAACAATGTTGTCAGCAGAAAGAATCAAAGATGTGAATCACAGTTTAGAACAATGGGAAAGTACATTTAACTTTCTTCAAAAAGATAAGTACTTAGTAAATCTGAAAAACCATATGGCAACATTGCTAACGACAGATATAACACACCATATTCCTTCTACGGTGGAAGGGGGTCGCATGACCTACCAATTGGTGCATAGTTTATGAATCATGAATTCATTTGAAAAAACACAGTAGAAACTGATGCCAAGTGTCTGGTAGACCTAAAAAAATGTTAAGCATGCAATTGCTTTAAATTTTTTCCTTAAGAATAAGTTGGCGATGTTATTAATTTTGGAATACATGTGTGATTATAGCCATTCTAACTTAATCAAAAATCATCCAACCAAAATTTTCTAATTATGCAACATTGTTCAATAGACAATTACTAATAACTGATATCAAAATTATAGCACATAGAAAGAAAATAATTGAAGAAAAAACGGAGACACAACATATCATTTACAGGGGTCTAATTTGTCTAGGCAGTTTTTCAGTCACCACTTGCTCTAAGCTGCAGCAATGGGCCCTGGATTCTACCATGGTCTAGACTATTCTAACTTATTGTCTGAAGGTGAAAAGATACACTTGTTGGTCAATTGTGGCATACAACCAATGATTTGGACTACCCAATCACAAGAATCAATAGTTCATCACTACTCATACTAAATTGCTGAAATGCACGAGGCATAATATGTTGCTTACACACGTTGTGGTACTTGACTACCAAACTAGTGTATATATACTCAATATGCATGCTTAAGTACAAACCAGAAGGTGTGAGAAATTCGAGGCATGGTATCTAAATTCTTAACAATGGACAAAAGAATACTGATGAGTAATATTTTCTATACCAAAACATGCATAAAAATTTTAAGACTTACTGTTAGTCGACCTTGCACATGATCAGATTAGCGTGTTTAGGACCCACTTGATTTAATGTTTGGATATAACAGCAAACAATGTTTGTAAGTATCTCCATGTTTTTCTTGCTGTATCCTCTCTATAAGACATCACTGATTCTCACCAGTTTTTTATATGCACTTTATAAGCTTTCATAATTTAAACACGATAGACAGTTCCTTCAATTACCTTATCTTCTCAATCTAGGCAATCAAAACTCAAGATTTTCTTTGAATATCAAAAGATGAAGGTAAGATCCATTGTGAATCATGTCTTGCTGAAAATAAAAGTTGGCTATACATACTTTTCTAATTTGATTTCTTCATTTCTTTGCTGTAGTTACTTGGCTGGATGCATAGGAAATTTCGCCAGAATAGTACTGAACCATTCAAAGACTTGGTCATTGGTAAGTCATATGCTGTTCTTAGAAAGCCACATATTTTATGTTCCTCCATGCATGCATGAACTATGTGATGGCCATCAAATTAGTAAACAACCAGTGGTAGTACATGAAAGCAAAATTAACCATACTAAATAATTGATGACTTGATTTTTTACGACCTTGAAACTGCAGCAGGTAGCTAAGGAGAAATCAAATAATCACTTGCATGCACAGAAGTAAGACCACAAATATACAGCCCATAAAGACACAGCAATAAACTACCTATCTACAACCATGGAAAAGCTACGAAGAATGAATCAAATTTGAATTATTCATTAAAATAAATTAGATTGACTGAATAGAATTGAAAGTCGGAACATAAAAAGTAGACTATTTAAAATGTTGTTAAAGGGTAATAAGACCCATAATATCTCTCCTTTTGCTTAGTCTATAAAAATAAAAGTTTTATGTTCTCTCAGTTGTTGAATACGAGCATGAGATCAGTATTATATAGTCTTGCCAAATGCTCTTAAGGAATTCCACTTCATGTATTGCCTCTCACTTACCTTAGTTCTTTAAATTTGTTTGTGACAGGGAATTCTTGCAATTGTCTTTCAGGGCAGCCATCACTTGATGATGAACAAAACTATCAGAAACCAACCCTTGGGATCAAACTTTCCAAACAAACCCAGAAAGGTCACAACCTTAGAAAATCTTTTGCTGGTCTAGAAGCAACAACAGTCGATGAAGACTATGAGGGAGTATCTATGTGTGATCTCTTCCCTGGCTTCCTGGCAATTGGAACTCTTGGTTCAGAACAACTATCTGACCCATCAACACCAACATTCGCCATTTCTGTTGAGAGTATAACTGAAAAAGAAGATGAAGTCACTGAGAATGATCTGAAGCTCATCAATGATGAGCTAGAGAAAGTGCTAGGGGCTGAAACCAAGGATGATATTAGCCTTGATTCATCTAGGAGGACTAGTCATGTTAGCACTGGAAGAAGTAGCCATGTTAGTGCTGGAAGAAGTAGCCATGGTAGCATAATAACACTCGGTGGAAAGCCAATAGAAGGCACAGAACCAAATGCAAATGGAGCTACAACTTGTCCACTTCAGGGATATCTCTTTGGAACAGCTGTTGAACTATCTGAAACAACTACAGCAGCCAAAAAAGAACATAGGACATCACTTGGAGAGCTGTTTCAGAGAAGCAAATCAGCTGAGGAAAATTTCTGTGGAAAATATGAAAAGGATGACAAAAGAACTGAGAAGGAAGCAGACAAATCTACCATGAACCTGATGAAAGAAAAGCTGAAAAGAAGAATGTTCCATGCTTGTTCAAAGAGTTCCACATCAATAAGTGGTGGGCCTATTGATTCTGCTTCAGCAGAGACAAAACTGAATAAGGTACACACATACGGATTCTACAGCTAGCCAACCATAATTTTCTATTTGCTCTAGTTTATCTAACTAGAATAAATGTATTATACATTACCATAATCTTTAGTAAGAGTAATGATAACCAACACGTTACATTAAAATTGTATAAAAAGATAATATTGGTTAAGTACTGTCATATAAAGTAACTAAGCTTTTCACCTTTTCCTTTTTTGCCTTAATTAATATATTATTTATTGATGGTCTTAGTCTTAGGATATAATATTATTCTGGTCTTGACTTTAGCTATGTTTGTGGCTTTTAGATTCTCCATATGTTCCGCAAAAAGGTTCACCCTGAAAGTTCAGCAGCTGCACATAAGTCTGCTAAACACCAAAAGAAGAAGAAAATATCCACTGATGGAGGCCATATCAAAGCGGACCTGGTGCATCCAGAAGATGATTTATTTGCCAACAGGGAGCATTGGATCAAAACAGATGCAGATTGTAAGTACAACACCATTATTGTACTTGAGTCTTAAAATAATTTATGAAAAATATTTAGGACTTTCGTTAGTTATTTTAAATGTACTTCAATAAACTTAGTATAACTTATTATTTTTAACTTATTCAATAAAGTTTATTGTATAAGTTATTGTTTACTTATTGAATACTGCTTAAATAAATTATGTATCCAAACATACTTTTAGCATCCAACATGAGAAATAAAAAAAAATACAAATTTTTAATAAAAATATTATTAATGTACTTATACCATTTTCTTTAATGTATTTTAACCTATTTTTAATAAAAAAATATTTTATTACTTTTATAAGCACTGTTTAGCAAGAGCCTTGTTAGTTACATAGCAAATTTTTTGTTTCAGACATTAATATCTGACAAGCCTATTATATTAGCATGGCAATTTTTAGTTTCAAACATATGTGATGCTTCTTCTACTGACTCACTTTGTTGTGTGCATTGCAGACTTAGTTCTAGAGCTCTGAAAGACATAGAAGAAAGGGTGTTGTTTATAAGCTGTGATTCTCTATTAGTAATCAATCTGTGATGTTGTGTTGTGCTATGAGAAAAACTTATTATTATCTAATAAACAGCTTGGATGGTACAAACGAATAATTGAGGTAGTCATTTTCAATGTCTACCTAATCGTTGTCAGTGTGAAATGTAAGATTTTTCTAGCAATCATAAAAAGGAAAAAAATCGTAGCTATTGAGTTGACAATATCAATTATGGTTAATCACAGAATCAATAGTCAAATCGTGGAGGTTCATTGCATCCACACTTGATTAATAAGCAAGTAAATCATGCAAGCATAGGCATACGTAACCAGTGCTAGTTTGTGGAAATGGATCTTTGCATGACACGTTTTATTCATATCTATCTCTATTTTCATAAATATCAAATATATAAACATAATTTGAACGTGATTTTATCATGTTGAAATTTCATGATAGATAATGAATAAAGGTTTTATTAAAAAACTTACATTGATATTTTGGGTGTGCTTATTATTACTCTTAAATATTTATTGAAATTTTATTTAAATAATTTGTTTAAAATGTTTTTTATTTCTTAATCAAATTAATAAAAAGAGCACTTTTCACAGTCTTTTTTTAATAAAAATAGTAATAAAAACATAAGAATGATACTAAACACTTCATAATATTTTAGAATAAGTATTGATATCTTTTGTATTTGCTGTTGTGCCGAAACAAGAATCAAAAGAGTATTCTAAGATAAATTTTCCAGATTATATAAAAATAAATAAATCATTAAATTGTTCCATCATACCCTTGAATTATTTTCCCTCCCACAAAATGCACACAAGCTTTCTATGCAAACGTCGACAAGAACAAAGCCATTAGCTAAATATTCAAAATTATCAAGTTTATGTTTGGTTTATCTAACTTATTAACTTGATATTTAATAGATAAATATCTTCATGCTATAAGATAAAAGAAAAAGAAAATTTGATAGTAAAAAAAAAAAATACAAAATTATAGGTTCTGTGGCGTTAAGTGATTGGTATTTAAACAAAGCAGACACTTTGATTTTTACAGTTCAGTGACATAAGTTTCAGTTGTGAATACCAACATGAAATAAGGAGTTCAAGCCTAAAAGCTAAAACCTATAAGCTAGAACATTGAATGGTCAAGCCTAAAAGTTTATGTTTGGGGTGTGTTTGAGGAAATGTTTCAAAACATAGGATAGCCCCTATCATGTCATAATTTTTTGGTATGAATCAAATCATGACTTTGAGATATAAAACTTAATTACTTCACTTTTATCCTAAAGTTAATAATAAAGAAGGACTTTTCTTTGAAATTTAATCACCCTATACTATTTGCTGAATTATTCACTTAATCATTCACCTTCTTCTTCTTTTTTAATCTCAATCATCCTCATCCATTTCCTTTCAATAATGATACAAAAGATAATGGGTAAACAAACCCAAAATGGGAGAAGTTGATAGGTGTTTATAAAGTATTATTGCTTTTGATTATCACATTATTGCCATCAATGAAAGCTGTCAATTATATAAATTTTTATTATGCGTTTTGAATATATAGTAAAATATAAATATCGTCAAAGTGTTCTTTTGTTAATTGTCTTGTTCTGGAATTTGTAAAGATCAAAGAACGAAAAACAAAATCCCCTTGATGGGGTAGAAGATTCTTGGGATATATAGGTTGGAAAATAATTAAGCTTATGAGATTATCAATAGACTAAAGCTATGGGCCAAAAAGTATTTCAAAACACTTTTTCTGTTTTTCAAAAGATTAAAACAGTTTATTTATTTATGTTTTAATCTGATTTAAAACTTGACTCGTTTAGTTTTTTTTTATTAAATATCAATTCATATTTTTACTCCTTTAAATTTTTGGTCCTTTCCATTAAATTATTATTATTTTTACTTGTGATTTTTAGTTAGGAGTGTAATTAATTGAATTGGTTTGAAATTAGATAATAAATATGACTAAATGAATTAAAAGTCTTTAGTATGAATTGGGTCAGTTCAGGTGTGATTTTAAGTAATCCAACCCAAACTAATCTGATTATAGTTGAGTTAGTTTAGTTCTTGTGATCAAAACTGTTATTTCTTTTAAAATAGCAAAAAACTGAAGTTTTAGGGAAAAAAATTAAAAATAAAAAAATTGTTAGAAAATAGAGAGAAATTGAAAAATTGAGTGAGTTTTATCTATTAAAACTTTGTAAATTATGATACTTAGTTTAAAGTTCATCAAATAACAATGCTTAAAGTTTATCGAATAAGAATTATAAAAATATTTATATGTTCTTACTTTTTATCTTTGAACTAACATGTTTAGTAACTATTCATGTAGTATTTTAGTTTCATTCTTATAAGTTATAAGTTTAAAAATTATTGTTAGATACTTCAAGTTTTTAAAGATGATTGTTTATTTTAATAAAAGTAATTAGCAAATAAATTTTACTTTAGGGTTTAAGGTACTGAAAAAATTATACTAATGTGCATAAAAATTTATCTTATAATCTTGTTAGTAACTTGTGAATAATTAATAAAATAATAAAAAATAAGACTGGATAATTTGTAAATTTATTTATTTTATGAATTTGAAATGAAATTGTTTCTTAGTTTAGAAATAATGTCATGATAATTTAAGATAAATTAAGCTTAAAAATTTCTTGCAAATTCTTATTTTGATGCGATCTTTTCACCCTGCTTCCTTTTTTATTTTGATGCTCTTGGCATTAGGATATCCACTAATTTTTGGTAGTTTCTTTTGGGTGATTTAGACCTCTTGAATAGGGAAAAAAAAGTTATTTTAGTTTGTTTAATTAACACCATTTTGATATATTTAGTACTTGTTTAATTATGGCTACTTACAGTTACTTAAAATTATTTTTAAATATTAATATTAAAAAAATTGTTGATTTATAAAGTAAACTTAGTTAAACAGATTTAATGGTATAAATAGTTTTAATTTGCAATAAAGTAATAAAATTATTTAATTTAATTGAATAAAATATTATCATTTATTACAAATAAGTTTTAACATAGTTGAGGGACAGTTGGGTCTCTTAAACATTTTTAACTATATACATGAAAAATATATTGAAAGAGATAAAAAAAATTACCTTTATAATATTTATTTCTAAAAAAAATTGAAGTGTTTTTGACAAAAATAAACAAATCAACTTCTAACTTATATTTTATTGTAGTTTCTGTTTCCTTATTTTCTCATGTAACAAAAAAAAAACTTCTCACTTATATTTGAATAAATTAAGAACTTTTTTTTTTTTATCAAAATAGAGTTGTTTGGTTAAAAAAAACTTATTTCACCAGTTTGTAGTGTTTTCTACAAACACTGCTTCATATAATATTTAAACTCAAAATATTAATTTATTATCTTTTTCTCACTTTTATACTTATTATTTTATTAAGTTTTTCTTACCTTATTTTTTTAGAAACACTTGGCATCACTTGCTCCCATTCTCATCAAATATAATTTCTTTTAAATTATCAAAATTACCATACAATTATATTTATACTGTTTCATTTTATTCAATAAAAAATTAAAATTGAGAATAAAATTAAAACGTTTATCCTAATTTTTAATACAATAAACTATATACAAAATTTCAAGTTATATATATATATAAGTCAGTTATTAATACAATGTGTAATGGCTCTTAAATGAGGTGGGAGATGTTTTAGAGTAACAATTCTAACGGATAAATAAAATATATGTATTGTTATTTTTTACATGTTTTCAGTATTATCTATCAATTAAAATTAAAATTTTCAAAAAATATTTATATTTAATATTACAATAAGCCATTGAAATAAATTTATAAATTTCCATTATTTTATTCAATCATAAATTTTCATCCATAAAATATTAACATACTTAATTAAATGTTTGTTTAACCTTTTTATACTACGCCTAAAGTTTTAATTTTGATTATATATTTTTTAAAATAAATTAAAAAAAATCTAAAAAGTTTTGATTAAAAAAAACAAGCTTAAAAAAAATTATAAATTGGTTTTATAAACTCTTCTAAATATACCTTTGAAAGAGGGGGAAAAAAAAAGCAAAACATGCATACAAACTATAAATTACTAGGCTTTAAATATATGAATAAGGGTTTAAATATACCCACCTTGATCGCAAAGTTTGACAATAAAAATATTTTAATTTAATCAGCAGTTTGTTATTTTTATAATTTTTACACAATTTTTTATATGTTTCAATTAATTTATCTATTAAATTAGTCACCAAGTAAAATCAATAAAAAATATAAAATTGCAAGTGTAGGCTATAGAGATTAACAATAACCTGGAGACAAAGTAGTTGGCGATAATTTTAATTTTATATGTTGTGATGGCATTATTTTATTCCAAGTAAACCAGAGAAAGATGAGTTGTCCGAATCCTATAGGATACTTCTAGAAATCACAAATAATAATAATAATTTAAAATACATAACACATTTTTCAACACACTTTTAAATATTAATTAAAATTTATAAAAATATTAATTTAAAAATGAAATTCATGTTATTTTTATAATTTTAAATTAATAATAAAGATTATATTAAAAAATTTGTAGTGATGATTTTTTTTAAAATTAATAATATTCGCTTTTCCTCTGGACCACCAACGCAGAATATGCCCTTCATACTTTCTTATTTCCCTCGATTGTTTTATGCCACCCAACAGCCACTTTTTGTGGCCAATATATAAAAACATATTTTAAAATTATAATTTCCTTATTTTCTCTTTATTTCTTATTGATTTTTTTTAAAAGTAAAATCGTCTGTTAAATATAATTATTTTATTTTAAAAAACGTTTTTCGAACATTTTGAGAAAAATGAAGAAAATATTTAATTTCTTCACTAATACATTGATAACAAAAATATGTATTTTAAAATTAAAATATGACAATATATTTTCTAACATACTACTTTAAATATAACATTAACAATTAAAACTTATTAAAACTTACCAAATAATATAATTTTTATTTAGTTAGTGTTATTCGTAATGACACATTTTCAACAATTGTGATTAAATTTTAAAAATATTATTAAGGTATTTATTAATATTCATTTGTAAATTTATAAAAAATAACGTTAACATGCCGATTTTAATACCAGCTCATAAATGAATAATTATAACAGTATATTGAAAAATAATATTAAATATTAATAGAATATTGAATATTTATTGGGGGAGAAAGTCGCAGAATAATAACGTTAACGTTCACATTCATCCACGTGTCTAATTCTCCCGCTCCGTCCATCTATCCGTTAACCCTACTCTCTCTCATCCCTTCTCTCTCTCTCTCTCTCTCTTCTGCAACACTTCGCCATTGAACACAAGAAACAACCAAAAATTTTCTTCTCGAAATAACAAGAAAAATAGAAAATACGAAAACGCTAACCACACATTCGTTCATTCATCACAATGGGGAAGCTACTATGCGATTCAACCACCGTCGCCGAACCATTTCAAGGTTCGCCGCCGGCAGCGCTTCCTTGGCGGGATACTAAATCCGAATCCATCGGAGCCGTAGATCTCGTCGTTCCGGCGAACGTCGCTGGTGCAACCTTTTCCGGCGGCTGGGAAGACGTCGTAGGATTGGAGGAGGCGCAGCGGCGCCATCTCCAGAGGCTCCACGCCAAGGGAGTGCTCTGGAAGCCACCAGAGGAGGAGGAGGACTCGTCCTCCTCGTCACCGTCCTCCTCCGGTCTCAGATCCGTCGTCTTCCACCTCTCTCACGGCGGTGAGGTCTCCGCTGACGGAAACTGCCTCTTCACTGCGTCGCGGAAGGCGATGGGCGGCGAGGACGTGGACGCGCGCGAGCTGAGGCGGAGGACGGTGGCGAGGTTCCTTGAGGATCTCGGATCTGCGAGTTTTGAGGAGAGAGAAGCGATCGACGACGCGATTCGGCACATGTACTCGCCGGATCTGAAGAACGGGTGGGGGATTCATGTCGTTCAGGAGGTGAAGGTGTTGGCCAAGAAGGAGGATCGATTCGCTCTTGATTCGGCCATCGACGAGCTCGTTCACCTCGGCATGCAAAGGTATTGATTACTTTCTCTTGTGCTCTTTCTTTTCTTTTCTCATTTCTTTGGTTTTGAATTGCTTAAAATTTTCATTCGTGGATTTTGCAGAATCTGAAATCTATTTGTTGGAATTGAAAGGAAGAAATGCAAGACTGAGTTGTTCTTTGTTTGAATTGTTTCATTTCATGATACTTTGCATTAGTAGATTCGTATTTTTCTTTTTTTAGGGTTTGAGAAATGTTTTGAAAAAATTGATGTAGAAGTTTACATTGTTCGTTACATTAGTGGATTCACTGTTGCCATTGTATAGAATAAAGTAATTAAGGAATAAAAGTTGTTTTTTGATTTGTTTCTGAACTGCATTTTTTTTTCCTGCTAAAAAATGAGGTGTTTGTGACGGATACAAGTTTTGATCATATTTTGGTTCCAGAAGTTTTGGAATGGGGCATGAAAGTTTCATCATAATGATGTTTGTTGCGTTTGGTTTTGCTTGTTTTCTTTACTATCTGCTTGTTTTTGATTGAAGAGAAACGGCGGCGGAGTCTATTTACAAAGAGAGATGTATTCCCGTGAATGATGGTCCAAGTTGGGCCAAATACATGTTGATCTCTGGTTCTCCTGATGATGAATATGATATCATCACTTTGCAATATACTGAGGAGGGTTTATTATCTGTAGATGATAATAGAGAGGGTCGTGCTGCAGCTTTTGGCGACGATATTGCAATTGAATGCCTTGCTACAGAGTTCAAGCGAGAGATATATGTGGTAAGAAATCCATGAGCCTTCGGTGGAAACTTGGAGTTTATTCTTTATGGAATCCCTATTGTTCTTTACATTCCTACCAGCAGTGCAATGTTTAGTAAGTTTACTTTCTTTGTGCTGCTGCATGCCATTTTTCAGTGAACTTGTTTATTGAGAGGTCATAATATTCTATAGATCTAGGGATTTGTTCAACTGAATTCCAGGAACTAATTGGCGGATTGATGGGATCAAAATTCAAAAGAGCCACCACTAAAAATGAATCACTGCATGAAGTTGAAGTCCTTGGTCTGCAATTGCAGATAGACTTGTACATTGATAAAGTAGTACACTGTGATGCAGTCTGTTATGTGAGTGTAAAGTTATTGTAGTTTGGTGAAATTTCATACTGCTCCTTCTAGGTTTGATTATGACTTTATGTGTCTCACTGTTACGAGTCCTTATAATTTCGAATTCTTTGGTGGTAGTCCAAGTTTCTTGTTTTCCCATTTTTATACGGTCATTTGATGTAAGTTCTCCTGAAATTTACGTGTATATTGACGGTTCAATGATTTGATCTGGAATCTTAAAAAAACGAAAAATAATGCAAATACATAATTCATCTCTTTGTGCCGTTCAGTTTTGCACATATTTGTAAGTAATCTCTATATCATGCTTCCATATGAAATTGTTCATCTTTTTCAGGTGCAAGCGCATGGTTCAGATGCTATGGTTGACGAAGAAAATTGTGTTTTCTTCCTTCCACATCGTCCAAGGAGCCAAATTACTGAACCTCCGTTTTTCCTTTTCATGAAAGGAACAGGTAACGGTGAACAAAATTTTATATAATTTTGCTCAAGCTTTCAGTTTATTTTGCAGTCAGGTTATGTTTTCTAAAATTAGTATTCGTTTCATTCTGGAGAAAGGTTCAAAACCATTCAAACAGTAAATTGAGATAATTTTTGTTGTCTTGGTTTTTTCTTTTTAAATTTGGAAAGGCTTGAATATTTTTTGTCATTTTCTAAGCAATTTTCAACGTACAGGTTGGTGCGGTGCTGGAGCTGACCACTACGAGCCCCTGATTGCTCAACCTTCAGCCTTTGTTTCCCAAGAAAAGGTTGCTGTGGTACTGTGAGGTCTCCCGGCCTTCAATTTTGTGGAGTAGAGATTGAGTAGAATTAGAATTTCTTCACCCTATTTATATGGGCCACTCTTAGAATGTTTGGCCTGCAATGTGGTTCACCCTATTCTTCACTCTTGTGTTGGTCCCAAGGTTGAACCTCATTGGGTAGCGTTTATTTTGTTACTGACATTTAGAATCAATCATCTTTGACTCTCTTGACATTGGACAAGCAGGTTTGGCATTGCCTGCAGTTTGAGCAACCCTAGGGTATTATTGTATTAGTTCACCGGCTTCTGTTTTGTTGTTCCTGTTGTTGAGTTCATTAGAGGGTTATACCGTCTAGGTAGTGTGTTGTTCAAATTGGAAGAATTGTATCTCAGTGGATTTCGTCACATTAATGAAGTGGCTTCTTTTCTGGGCTTCTGCACGTGTCATTTTACCCTGCATTCCAAAACGTCACATGTTATCAGTTTCCTCTGTCCAGTGGCTAAATGGTAACTGCGAGCAGCTTGTTCCTTTTACGCTTCTGAAACGTGTTTCTGTCGCTGTTTCAGTTTGTGAATAATCAATTATTCTGTTGCAATTTCAGTAAGTTTTTATTCGAAATGGCTATTTTCGGAAAGGGTCTCAGAAAACACTTGGGAAGCTCTAATTACGCACGGAAAGCACATAACATCATGATAAATTTTGAAAATTATTTGTGAATATATAAATTATCTAAAAATTTAAAATTTGATATATATATATATATATATATATATATATATATATCTATCTATATGTATATATAGATATATATTATAGAAGAGAATGTGTATAATTAAATTTTAAAATAGACAAAAATAAACAATTTAAATAATAAACAATTTTTTATTAAAAAAAAAAAAAACTCTACCAATCATGCAATTAGTAAGTGAATGACTTAACGAGTTAAGATATAGGTCTTTAAGTAATGATCTAACCTACTTTTCATTTACATTTTTATATTTATAAGAACTTGGAAGTTAAAAAGGTGACCTCTTATTTTTTTTTTCAAAAAAAGAAAAAACAGTAAGCATATGTAACTTAAACTATTCATCCATGCTCTAATGTAAATATTCTTTAACAAGTGAAAAAATAATAGTAATAAAGCACTATACTAATTATCTGCTTTTTCCAATAGTAATAAACAATACAACTTTTTTCCTTCTAAATCGTCCTTGTTAAATCCTAACACGGTAATTTATTTTTAGCCATACAAGTATACAACACAGTAAATTAATTAAAGTTCGAAAAACTGAATCCAAATATCACCTCATCGAGATATAACCCAAAAAAGATAACCCGTGAAAAAAAGAATACATATTAATCATTAATATGCTGACCCATTTTAACATGTGTGGTACGTTCATTAAAACCAATGTTAATGGATGCAATACGAGTTTTAAAAAAAATAAATAATAAAGAACTAGAAATGGTGAATAAAATGGAGAACTATTAGGTTAGGTGCAATGCAAAAGCAAAACTGAATTAGCAAACCTAACATGTTTTTGGTTTGGGGCCAAGTAAACAAAAAAAAATACCTAATAAATCGGAGGAATCAAACAACGTATTGTCCTCTACCATCAAGCAAGGGAAAGGGACAAGCAGCCCTTCGGAGATCTCAAGGGCCTTCTAATCTTTTCCTCGTTCTCTCCGAACTCACTGCTTTCCCTTCTCTTCTCTTCTTATTACCCATTCTCTCTCTCTCTCTCGTTCACCCGTTTCCTTTATTCCCATTTCCTTTTGCTTCTTAAAAGAAACGCATGGCCACGCTTTACTCAACGCATTGTCATTCATTCGCATCTTCACCCTCTTCTTCCTCCTCCTCGCAACCGTGTCCTTTGTCGTCTAATCTTGCTTATCTTCAACGCGTGACCTTCTCTCAGCGTTTTCTCGCTGCCAAGGTTTCTCTGAAATCTCAACCCCAATCGCATCAGACTCCTGTACTCACCCAGCAACAAGAAGGTTTTTCCTTTTTCTTTGTCTTTTTTCATACCCTTTTGTTCATTTCATTTCAATTTTGAATCTTTGTTGAAGGGCACTTCATAAATGCTATATTATGCATGAAATTCTGTTTTTGGAGTGTGGAAGTTTTGTTATGTGTTAGGGAGAAATTTGAGCGCAGGGAATGTGTGTTTGTGTTATAATATATGGTTTGGAAAGTCCTTAGTTATGTGCAGATGGCATGTGAATGTAGGTACAGTAGAAGCTGCTGTTACACCTGTTGAAAATGGCACTTCTCATAAGCAGTTGAAAGCTGAATTGTTGTCTGTTACGACTCCGGAAGAGTCTCAAGGTGAAGTAAGTTTTGAAAAGGATGGAAATGAGTCCAGTGTTAGTATTACTGTTGTTGGAGCCTCTGGAGACCTTGCTAAGAAGAAGATTTTTCCGGCCCTCTTTGCGCTTTACTATGAGGATTGTCTCCCTAAGGTTGGATTTTTGGTGGATAGTGTTGTTATTTGTTCGTCTATTTTGGAAGTTTCGGTTCTATCTGTATGCTTTGGATTGAACTAATGGTTTGGTTTATGGCAGCATTTCACCATCTATGGTTATGCGCGGAGTAAGATGACTGATGCAGAATTGAGAATTATGGTTAGCAAGACCCTCACTTGTAGAATTGATAAGAGGTAATTATTATATCTCCAACGTGTTAGAGGCTACAGTCTCATGGGGTTTAGATGATGATGCTTGCTTTTGTTGGGGTTGGTGTCAATGCCATTTATGTTGCTAATGATATAATTTGAGTTGATATGATTTATTATGCTTAGGTGATATATTTAACGCTTCAAAACTCATGTGGAATTTCAGAGAGAACTGTAGTGAAAAGATGGAGCAATTTCTTAAAAGATGTTTCTACCATTCTGGACAATATGATTCTCAGGAAAACTTTGCAGCACTAGACAAAAAGCTGAAGGGACATGAGGTAATTGAGAAAGGGATAAGCTTATATGTCTGTAATCTATAACTTACTATAGTTCAGATTCCTTCTTGATTTTATATTTTTGCTATGAAAGTATGCTTCCTTGTAGTGAGCATAATTTCAAACCAAGTTAGGTGGAGTTTGCAAGCTAATAATGCGTGGATCATGAAGCAAATGTACTCTCTTGACTAATATAACAGTGAAAACAATAATCTGATTAAGAATCTATCTTTAAACAGAAAGATAAATTTGGGTTCTATAAACTTTTATAGGCTCTGCATAAACAGTATTTTTAATGGATAGTGATGGAATTGTTGCTGTATTAAAGTGTTGCTGAAGGATTTCTCCTGTTATTCATGAATAAAACTTTTATGCTGTCTTCTATCACGCCTTGCATTTGGGGCTGGTCCTTGTAAAGTAGTAAGACCTTTGAATGTAGTTTTAAACATTAGGTCACCTACATGCAGGGTTTGGATCCTAAACCCAGCAATATGTTTTAGTTTTCTGCTTGATGCCTCCTGTAAAAAGCACGCACTGTCTCCTAAATATAGTTTTCTGAGATAGTAGTATTTTACTAGTGGAAAAGAAATACAAATCTTCAATTGAAAAGAAAATCAATATATAGTATGAATGAAGGAACTTACTCTTGTTTCTTTTTCTTCTTTGAATAATTGAAACTAATGTGAGCATTTTATAACCATTCTGATTGAATAGAAAAATTGTTTTTGTAGGGTGGGAGAACTTCTAATCGCCTGTTTTATCTTTCAATTCCTCCTAATATATTCATAGATGCTGTAAAATGTGCAAGCTTGTCAGCTTCTTCTGGTAATGGATGGACCAGGGTCATTGTTGAAAAGCCTTTTGGTCGTGATTCAGATTCTTCAGCTGCATTAACAAAATCACTCAAGCAGTATCTGACAGAAGATCAAATTTTCAGGTTTTCCAACTAAAACTAATCTTCTGCAATTTTAAGATTGTAAAGTACATTTTATAAAATGAGAAGTATTATGCAGGATCGACCACTATCTTGGAAAAGAGCTTGTGGAAAATCTTTCTGTTCTCCGATTCTCAAATCTCATTTTCGAACCGTTATGGTCGAGGCAGTATATAAGAAATGTACAGTTGATATTCTCAGAAGATTTTGGCACTGAAGGACGTGGCGGGTAACCTTTCTTCCTTAGTAGCTTCCACACTTTCTGTTCTTATAATGGGGATTCTTATCCGTTTTCATATTTATACCACGTGTAGGTACTTTGACCATTATGGCATAATACGAGACATTATGCAGAATCATTTACTTCAGATATTAGCCCTCTTTGCTATGGAAACCCCTGTTAGTTTGGATGCGGAGGATATTAGAAATGAAAAGGTCTGACATGGTTATATACCGTGAATGAAGTTGTTTTAAATAATTGTGATTTTTTTCTTTACCAGAATTTCAATTACTTAATGATTTTCAGGTCAAAGTTCTTCGTTCAATGAGACCCCTGCAACTTGAGGATGTGGTTATAGGTCAGTATAAGAGCCACACAAGAGGAGGCGTTACATATCCAGCCTATGTCGATGACAAAACTGTACCAAAAGACAGTTTAACTCCAACATTTGCTGCAGCTGCCCTCTTCATAGATAATGCAAGATGGGATGGAGTACCTTTTCTGATGAAGGCTGGGAAAGCATTACACAACAAGAGGCAAGTTTGGATGAAATTTTTTTTTCGCATTTATATCTTGTGTTGGTTTAATGCCACCTTTGATTTATATTTCTAGATCATTCCCCCCCCCCCCCCCCCTTCCCAACAGATATATTTAACTGGTGTTTTGTTTTGGGTTCAGAGCTGAGATACGGGTACAGTTCAGGCATGTGCCAGGCAATTTGTACAACCGAAATTTTGGGACTGATCTTGATCGAGCTACAAATGAACTTGTTATAAGAGTTCAGCCTGATGAAGCTATTTATTTGAAGATAAACAACAAAGTACCTGGTCTGGGAATGAAGTTGGACCGCAGTAATCTAAATCTTCACTATGCAGCAAGGTATTTTTTTCACTCAAAATCAACTTTGTGGGGTCCCTGAAATACATTGCACATTAGATGGAAATTCACCTTAGAGAACCTTTGTTAAACTGGTGGCACAATGGCATTGATTAAATGCCCATATAATTGTTGTGGCTTGTTTGCACTCCATAAATGCCGGTTCTTTCTTGTTCCATAAATGAAGTTTGGCTAATTGACCGATAGTAAAACCGCTCCCGCCACCACCCCCATTTGTAAATGACATATTATGTGATCACTTAAGCTAAAATTTTCATGTGTATTTCAGATATTCAAAGGAGATTCCAGATGCTTATGAGAGGCTACTTCTGGATGCCATTGAAGGAGAAAGAAGACTCTTTATACGTAGTGATGAACTGGATGCTGCTTGGTCACTCTTTACACCTGTACTGAATGAGCTAGAAGACAAAAAGATAATTCCAGAGTACTATCCTTATGGTAGTAGAGGTCCTGTTGGTGCTCACTATCTTGCAGCCAGATACAACGTACGGTGGGGTGACCTTGGGACTGACATAGACCAATAACCCTCACATGTTACAATTGTGATCAGCCTCGGATGTTAGCCATGCTAGTTTTGTGGTTTCTTGTTGGAGTGGCAGGTCTTTTTCATCATACTATTGGCATGGTTACATCCTTGGTGAGAAGACAGGTACTAGGCGCACACGAAATCATGTAAAGCAATATTGCATCAAATTTCAAAGTAGAGTAATAAAGCACGTAGATCATAATGCATTTTTTAGAGTTTTTGTTGCTATTTGAGAGGTGGGATTGGGACGGTTTGAATGGAGAAGATGTTTCCTATAGTTGGCCAAATGCCAATCAATTTAGTTAGATAATGTATTTTGATTTTGAATTTATATGCTTATTGCATTTTGCTACAAAATGGGAAATATGAAGAGAGTTACAAAGTTGGTATGAATCAGTCATACTCACTTGTAATCAGTCCAATTGAAGGTATTGTACTATTATAAAAAGAGTTTACTTTAATTCAGTCACTACATTATAGAATATCATTGAATTGTGTTACATGTAACTAGCAGGAGTCATGCATATTACTAATGTGGAACACTTTTATTTACGATATGAAGTGCGATACATAATTTCTGCCAAGCGAAATATAAGTGTTCGAACAGTGAAAAATCACGCTATGTTCATGAAAGTTATAGCTTGTAACCTTAAAATTAATTTATGTTTAAGAAGATTTAATGTTAATCTAAACACCTGAGAAAGTCAGATTAGTCTCTTTGAGGATAAACCATTTTTAAAGATTGTCTGGACTGATGAAATATGCATTCAAGAACTTGTAATAATTGTTTTGGCTATTATACCTATTTGGAAAGTAAAAGAAAAAAGGTGTAAAAACATCTGTGAAAAGTAATTTTGAATATTATTTGGATAATGTTAATAAAAAACACTTTTATACGCGTAATTGTTAATGAGTATGTAATTATTGTTAAATTAATAATAAGAGGATATTATATTTGGACAGTATAATTGTTATTAAATCAATTTTAGCATAAAATTATGAAATATGTAGCACAAATTTTAATCCATGTTTAGTTTTTCAAGCATGATCTTACAATTAATGTACATGTTGAAAGCATGGTATAAATATAGACCCATTGTCTCAAGTGGGAGTTAAAGCAAATTGAAGTCATTTGGAGAAAAATATCTTTGGCAGACACGTGTGGAGGGTTCGTGTGACTCTACTATGTTTGGATGAGACAGACAAAAGTGAAGAGAGACAAAAAGCAAATAATGATGTGGCAATTCACTTACTAACCGTACATGTCAGTACTCTGTCTGCCACATTATTATTTTTATTTTTTTATACCACATAAGTTGGATTTTATAATTAATATATTTTTATTTTTTATTATTTTATGCTAAAATTAAAAAAATATTTTGCAAAATTTATGATTTGTAACTTTTTAATTTTAAAGATTAAAAAGTACAATTTATATAATTTTGAAAACTAATTCAAAAATTTAATCTTGGAAATTATATTACGTGAAAAAATTCTGAGAGAAAATAAAAAAGAGAAATTATGTAATTTTTAAAATTTATTTTTTTATATCTTATTTTAGGGTGTCAAATAGGTAAAGAAAAAATAAATTAGAAATAAAAATAAAATAATAATAATAATAAAGAAAAGATAATAAAAATAAATATAAAATAATTATTATTATTATAGTTATAAGACATAATTTTAGCCTTATATTAAGTTCAAATTGAGGTGATTTTTATTATTTTACTTATTTGGTACTATCTGTATTTTCATTTACATAAACTAATAAAAAAGTGTTAAGTTATTAAATTTATTCTGCATACACTTTAGTTCGACAAAGACAGCTCGCAACACTGTCAAGTTGGCGATATTTTTATTTTTATTTTGTCTTAATTTAAAAAATATGAGAAAACATTATAGTAAATAAAAATGTAAAAAATAATTAAAAATCTCATCAAATAGTGCCAGAAACAAATTTATATAACTGATTAAAAGTTAATTATACCTTAACTTATTGATATATATATATATATATATTTATATTTATTTATTATAAATTTATTTTAGAACAATCAAACCTCCGTATCAGATATATGGAAATGAATCAATTATCTAAAAAGTGAAGCTATTATTTTTTTATAATACGTTATGTGTATATTTAAAAAATAAAATTTAAAAATATAAGTAAATTATGGTTTTTTTATATTTTTATTTGTACTCATTTTTATTTAATTTTTTGAACACATATTTTTATATTTATAAAAATTATCTTTATTTTTTTAAATTTAGATTTTTTTCTTAATTTTTAAAAATGTATAATTATTAAAATACATTAATTGTTGACATTTAATTTAAAAGATCTTTTATACAATATAATAAAGTTTTATTTTGAAATAAAATATATTTTAAAAATTAATTATTTTACTATATACTATTCATATTTATAAAATAAAGTATATTATAATTATTTTAAACAATGATTTAATAGAGGACATTGAAGGAGATAAAGAAAAGAAACATATGGATGAAAAGGGAGAGATTCTTTAATTAATTGATTTAACAGACAATCTTATGGCCACTGGATCAAATATATAAACACCACTTTGCCACACAGCCAGGATTTTGCAGCCCCCTCCATTATGCTTCATCTTTAAAACTACAGTTTAAATAAATTTTTAAGTTAATTATAAAATTATTTTGTAAAAAAATCTTTTTGTATCAGTATAAGTTTAAAAATTTTTACATTTAATTTGAGTTTTTTATTCAACTTATATCTAACGAGTTATAATTTATTATTTCACTGAGTGCTAGATGTAAGTTAAATGAAAGACTCAGATCCAATATAAATTTTTTTAGATTTACACTAATATAAGAAGATCCCTTTCCAATTTATATACATTAAATAAATTAATTTTTATAAAAAAAATAACCATCATAATAAAAAATAATCAAATCTTTGTAGAATGCATGAGAGATAGTATGCAGTATGGATTTTTATTTTTTTATTTTAATTTATTATTTTTTACATTCATTTTTTATAAGCATGAATTTTTTAATTTTTGAGAATTTATTTTAAATTATTAAATAACCATATATACCTGTTTATGCGATAGAGATAAGACAAAGGGTAAGAGAAACACACAAACATAAACATACAACGCGCATCCACCATACAGTGCCAAGTCATTCTTTCAAAAGGAGCATGTTATGGTCCACTCTCACATTAAGACATTTTTGCTTTAACTTTTTCTTATTTCATCATGCATATCAAAAATTTTAAATAAAATTATGCAAAATTTTAGAGTGTTCTATTATAAATCTTTGTAAACCAATTATTAAAATAAGTAAAAACTATTTAAGATCTTAACCTTGGATTGACCATATACTTCACATTTTGTTAAGGGGTATGATGGTAACTTAAGTTCATTTTTTTCTCTTATTTTTTCAGTACCATAGTCATTCATGAATACTCAATAGGGAAAGAAATTATTCTCAGCCCACCTTTGTTTAGAAGCTTTAATAGCTTTCAATCCATATTTATATTCATGTGGGTTAATTCATTTTTAGGGTTTTTATGTTGTCGGTTCATTCTTCAACAAGCACACCATTCAAACCACTTTATTATTGGCCACTCAAATAGTATTTAATCTTGCATGCTAGTGGCTGTGCATGAGGTTTTTGGTGTTTCATATTACTCTATCAAGAAATTGGGTTAGTAAATTGAGAATAAAATTTATTTTTTAAATAATTTTTATAGAGTTTATTTAATAACCTACAATAACATTAAATATAATTTTAATTAATAGACAATACCTATGACACAAAAATACCATAAATTTTGTCTTTTATAAAAACCAAAACACATGCATCCACATGCCAACTCATTTTGTAAATTGTAAGTAGTTTTTAAAGGGACATTAGGTATATGTAACTATTCACTAGAACATGATCATATGCTCTTTTTTTTTTGGGAGTATTAATACACCTTAAAATGAATATCCTTAAAGAATTTTTAATTTTTTGCAATTTTAAAAAAGTATTTTAAATGATTAAACATCATAAATGCAAATAAAAATGTTATTAAGAAGTAGAAATGAATAATAAAAGCATGGCATTGAAAATAAAAGAATGAAAGAAAATCCCAAAAGAGGGTTTAGAATAGAATTGAAGGCAGATACACGTTTCAGTGTTTGAGTGTGGATGCCAACTCATTCATAAATGGTTTATTGAAGAACAGAGTATAAATGCCAGCTCATTCATACCACTTTGTTATCATTCACTCCAACATTCAGATGTTTCACCTCCAACCAAATTACCATATTTTACTCTTTTTCATTCATCATCTTTCATATACCAATTTCTCATATCAAAATATTCAATTTCTCTCTTTTTAAATCTACAAATATAAACTTGTTTAGTGTTGTGTTAGAACCACACCTTTATTCTTAGTATCTTGAAAAATGTGCATCTGAACTTTCACTTTCAAATATACAAGCTCATAGGTGATAATTAGAAAAACAATGATTAAGATATCACTAGAATATATGCCTTCTATATAGTTTAAATAAGATTTTAATTCTTTTTAAATTGTAACTTTTATTTATTCCTTATTTTTATTTTTTATTTATGTAATATCTGATTTGATTCATATAATATAGCATAAAATTAATGTGAGTAATAATATGACTTTTTTCTGGTAAAAACTAATGTGATATTTATATTTTTTATAATTTTATATCTTAATTTTATAACTTTAAATGTCATTAAAAATATGAAAAATAAAATATTTTTTTATGTCATATTCCATTCAAATTACCAATCAACTTAAATGTTACAAAAGTAAATATTGGAACAGATTAACAAATAGCCCCAATAAAAATAAAGAACAAATTTTAAGGGTTTAGATTGAAAAGAATTAAAAAGGAGACCAAATAAAAAATATTATATATATATAAATTAAAACCGTATTTAAACCTACACTAAATTATAAAATTATTAAACAAATCATCACTAGTTTTAATCAAGAAATAATATTTTTGGATAGACATGAATGTTTCATTAGTGAGCAATTAAACATTTAAGGATAATTAAATCTGATAATAAAATTGATTGGTGTGTGTAATTTGGTTTAGGTGTTGGTCCAGCTTCGGAGCCACCCCACCAATGGATGACCCAACCACATTCCAAAGCCCCAAACACAACACACATCCCAATTCCGAAGGTACAAGGAAAGTCCAACAACCAGACACACGAATCAAATCAAACTCACACCCCAAAAACCAAACACTTTCTCACTCACTCACTCATTCACTCTCCGTTATCTAAACCAAACCAAACCACTCCTCACTCTGTTCTGTTCTGTTCTGTTCTGCTCTGTTCTGTCTCAACCACACCACACCACCATGGATTGTTGGTCATCTCCTCTCCCTCTCGATGATGAATTCGAGAAGCTTGTTATTCGAATGAATCCTCCAAGGTCACAACTTTCAACCATTTTGTTCTTGCTCCTTCGTAATTTTCGTGTCTTGTTATGGAACTCAATGTCTCATTTGTTCATTGTTTTTTTCTGCTATGCAGAGTCACTGTGGATAACATTTCGAGCAGAACAGCCACTGTGATAAAGGTGCCAAATTGAGTCTCATCTTTTCCGCATTGCAAAAGGGTCTTTTGTGTTGCCAATTTTTCGTGGATTTTGCAGGTTGATAGTGCAAACAGGCGTGGAAGCTTGTTGGAAGTCGTTCAGGTTCTTACTGATATGAATCTCATTGTCAGAAGAGCTTACATTTCCTCTGATGGGGAATGGTTCATGGATGGTACGGTACATTTCACAATTCTCAATTTTCCATCTATTTATGTGAACACTGTGGTTTTGCTAAACATTTGTTTAAGTTCTTCTAATCTTGTTTTGTACTTTTTTTTTCTTCACTGTCCAGTTTTTCATGTTACGGATCAAAATGGGAAGAAGTTTCTTCAAGATGATGTAGCTGACCGCATTCAGCAGGTAGATCTGCAAAACTAATCTGAAACCATTTTTATTTCGACTTTCTTTATGCTTGTTTTAGTTTATATAATATGATTTTGGTATTGAAATTAAGATTGAATTTCTTGATATTTTCTTTTTGTTCCCCCTAATGACAACGTCTAGTAAAGAGTTATTATATAGTTTCTTAAATCCATGCTCAGATAATGCCTTTATCCTGCTCAATTGTTCAGTTTTCTGCCTATGGTGGTGTGAATTCATGACCTTGAATATATGCTGGTCAACTATTTGTCGTTTATATATTGAATGAAATAAGAATTCAAAACATGGGAAAAAGGAGTAAACAGTGAAATTGAAAAAGTGATTGCTTAGTCTGCATATAACTCCAAGAAAGCAATGCATGATTCTGTTTATGATCTTTCTTTTCAACAAATCAAATAAAAAACTAGACTGTAAAAGAACCAGACAATAAGGACAAATTGTTCTCAAACCTGAATCAGCAATTTTGCTCTTGCATGTCATTTCTCTATGGAGCCATTTGAATTACTCAGTTCATACTGAAAATTCCTTTTGCTTGTTGCAGTCACTGGGTCCGAGAGCCCGTAGTTTTCGATCTTTGAGAAGGTCTGTTGGGGTTCAAGCTGCAGCTGAACATACGACCATTGAATTAACTGGTAGAGACAGGCCAGGATTGCTTTCAGAAGTTTTTGCTGTTCTTGCAGACCTCAAATGCAATGTGGTAGCTGCAGAAGTGTGGACTCACAATTCAAGAATGGCATCTGTTGTTTACATAACGGATGAGGCGACAGGATTGTCCATCGACAATCCTGATCGCCTTGCGAAGATTAAGCAGCTTCTACTGTATGTACTCAATGGAGACATAGATAAGAAGAGTGCCAACACTGCTGTTTCTGTTGGTTCTACTCACAAGGAAAGGAGGCTGCATCAGTTGATGTATGCCGATCGTGATTATGACATGAATGATGGGGATTTTGGGTCAACAAGTGACAGAAGCAAGCTCCTTGTAACTGTTGATGATTGCACAGATAAGGGATATACTGTTGTGAACTTGAGGTGTCCAGACAGACCAAAGTTATTGTTTGATACTGTGTGCACACTCACAGACATGCAGTATGTTGTGTTCCATGGCACTGTCATTGCTGAAGGACCAGAGGCATGTCAGGTTTGTTATTGAACATCTTCTTGGAATAGACATCATGTTAGTACTTGTACATCATACCTTTGTTTGAATGATAATCATACTTGGTTACATACTTACATGTCATGTCTTGTTTACTTGAGTGGAAAAGCCTATTCTTTCATTTCAACTCCTTTGTATCAACTTGTCTTTGGTTGCTGTTGGAATTCATCACTAACATGTTTTGTTTCCTTGTTTTTCAGGAATACTATATAAGGCATGTGGATGGAAGTCCTATCAGTTCTGAGGCAGAAAGGCAGAGAGTGATTCACTGCTTGGAGGCTGCTATTAGGAGACGAACTTCTGAGGTACTACAACAAATAATTTAGATGCTCATTCACAAGTTCTTGCCAAATTTTATAAGTGAAATGTAACCAAGATTTTGTATTTGATTTTACAGGGCATAAAGCTAGAACTATGTGGTGAAGACAGGGTTGGTCTTTTATCTGATGTAACTCGCATCTTTAGAGAAAATGGTCTTTCAGTCAACCGTGCTGAAGTTACAACAAGGGGTTCCCAAGCCATGAATGTTTTCTATGTTACTGATGTATCTGGAAATCCGGTTAAGAGTGAAACAATTGAGGCAGTTAGAAAAGAGATTGGCTTGACCATACTACAAGTAAAAGATGATGTTTGCTCAAAAGCTCCATCCCAGGAGAGTGGAAAATTCTCTCTGTGTAATCTCTTTCGGTCAAGCTCTGAGAAGTTTCTTTACAACTTGGGTTTGATGAAGTCTTGTTCTTGAACCCCATGTATTTCCTTAGTTAGAAGCTATTTGTATTGTTCTAATTTGTAAACAGTAGCTTAGTTTAGCCTAGATAGACTGCTTTGGAACCCCATTGCAATGATTTGTTGTAGATCATTCTAGATTTGGTGTAAGTATAAGTTGTAATTAGGTGTCAGATTGTAGGGTTTTATCTAGGCATGTTTTTGGTGAATTGTATATTAATATGCCTTTGTAACACTCTTCTGGTCTCAAAGCATCGTCACCACAACAATTTCTGAGTACTCGCTATAAATTATGTAACCAGAACACATCATGTTAAACACAAAGCACTTTAATTCTATAAGTGTCACTGGAACAATTTTCACATATTAATCTATATAAATATAGATTATAGAGAGATATATGTTAGGGAAAAAAAAAGGTTAGAGATAGGGTGTTATGTGGCACGCTAGTGTACTCCTACTAGCATGTATCCTTTACCTTCTACAAGACCTATTGTAGTTTCAATATAGTGCCAGCTAGATTGAGATGTTTCTTATTGCCACCACACAAGCTGGTTCAAGGGACGATACACTTTTTTTTTTTTCTCTACACTGAAAAATCCTCTATGTACAACACTCTAGAGACTGGTTATTGCTTAGGGAGCAACGAAGATAAGGTTTTTGTTTGATTTAGATACAAACCATGGAAAATGTGAACAAGTACAAATATGAATATAAATTTGACTTCTAAATATATAGTTAACTTCACATAAAAGAGGGAAAATTTTTCCCTTTTGATGAATGCCCATTGATGTCCAAGGGCACAACATTAATAATGTTTTATTTTCTCAATATTGATGAAATAAATTATACAACCTTTTTAACATCCATTAACTAAAAAAAATGCTACTTTATTCTACTTTATATTTTTGAAAAACCAATGAACTTGGTAAAAAGTAGCTATATCGGACTACACGAGTTCTCACTTTTCACCTTATAAATTCGGATTTGAATTAATATAATTAAAAAACCAGCAAAATAGTAAAATACACAGGATTAGGATTCTATCGAGTAAATTAGGATGATTTTCTCATAAGATGAGACAAAATCTTAAAAGTTGCACAGTGCTGATGAGGGAAAAAAGACACACCAATCATGAATTAATAAATGTTATTTGTTTTATATACTATTTTAAAAAAAATAAAAAGTTCATTAATTTTAATCTTTTAATGTATAAAATTATTTTTTAGAATAAAGTAAATAGATAATTTACTCACACAAATTATAAGCAATAAAAATAATAGTAGTAATAAATTAAGAAATTGCATGCCAAAGCAATTTATCTTTACAACAAATGGCGCTGAGGCTGAGTAGTGTATTTTCAGGTGTTGGTCTGAGGCATTCGAGTAAACCCAGGTGCAGTTTCAGAATCAGAAGTGGTGCAGTTACAGTTAGAATGGCCTTCAATGATTCCAAAGTCATTGATTCCCATCTGCACGTGTGGGCTTCACCTCAAGAGGTGACTTCACATACTAACACTTCTTAACTTTTGCCACCATACTTGTTTATTCCAAACCTTACCTTTATTTATTTCTTTATCATCAATATTATTACTGTTACTCTTACAATATTACAAATGACCCTCACAGGTTTGTGTTTGTTCTATATAAACAATACTTTATTATAATCACAAAAAACCCTACATATTTGTTAAACCATTAAATTTGCTGTAAATTTTTTTTCCTTTCTGCATAGTCCTAAGCAGAAATTTGTGTGCAAAATAATGATTTGGTATATATGACTTTATGCATTTTTTTTTTTTTTCGAAATGAAGGCCGGTAAATTCCCTTATTCTCCTGGACAAGAACCTAATTTACCAGGAAATGCAGATTTTTTGCTCCAGGTATTGATTTCTTTTTTTCTTCTTGATTTTGCATGTGTTATTCTTGTTTTTCCAATTTTTGATGAGTTTAATGATATAATTGTGATTTATGTAACAGACCTCATTTAGTGGAATAAGACTTGATTTTTGTTGTACTCTTGTTTTTCGTGCAAATCTTGACCTGTTCATTTAGAATGTGATGCAGTCTCCATATCTGCTATTTCTTACAAATCCTAATGACATGAAATTAATTACATAAAAACTGAATGTGATTTAATTTGTGTTGTGTACATATCATGATGCTTATGCTCAATTTTTCCAGTGTATGGAGGAGGCAGGAGTAGATGGTGCACTCATTGTGCAGCCGATTAATCATAAATTTGATCATAGTTATGTGACAAGGTATGTTCAGCAATTTTTTCACCAGTTTGATGGAAGAACTCAAATTCAGTGCTTTTAAATTAAACAACACTGAAATGCCCGTTTGTGTGGATAATCTCTGGTGGCATTTGGCTTGTTCTCCAATGCTGGAATTGTTAGTGTTATTATATGGTATTACTCATGTCAATTTGTTCATTGATCAGTGTTTTGAAGAAATACCCAACCAAATTTGTTGGTTGTTGCCTTGCTAATCCTGCTGATGATGGAAGTGGCCTTGAGCAGTTTGAACATCATGTTGTGAAGGTCTAATGATGTATTCTTTTTATCAAGTGGCTGAATTCTTTAGAACAATTGAAGTTGAACGACTTCTCCTTTTATATGGTAGGATGGTTATTGTGCTGTTCGATTCAACCCCTACTTGTGGCCACCTGGTGAAAAGGTAGACAACCCCTTTTCTTTCTCACACTTCTGTCTGTTCTTGGTTTAAGCTGAAGAGTTCAATTGAGCCATTCTCTTTCCCCCCTGCACCCTTCTACGAATGATTAAAACAGGATATAAATATGTTTAGCAAGATTCAAGAAACACTGGATTTTAGCAAAACTTCGTCATAAGAGCTGTTTCTTTAAAGTTTAAATTTGATTCACATTTAAGAAAAAAGATCTTTGTTGTCCATAAACTTGTAAATATGATTTTTACTTTTAGTAAAAGATTGGAACTGATTTTTAGAAAGGTGGCAACAGTATGTTTTACTTGTGGGATACAAACTTTTTACTTTGTATTGGATCAAGTTAAGGTTTCAGACAGAAAGGAATGACATCATTTCATCCATGTAAAACAGCTTTTGTCATTATTGTGGTTTATCAGATAATTATTTTCCCCTGGTTTATATTTGAAATATCTTATTGCAGATGACAAATGAAGTTGGAAAGGCAATTTTCCAAAGGGCTGGGCAACTCAATGTGCCAGTGGGCTTCATGTGTATGAAGGTTTTTTTCTTTTTAAATAATTTCCTTGTAAATACAGAAGAAGTGAAGAACTATTTTGTAAAGCTTCTTCCTCTCCCAGTAACACAACTTTCTTTGCTATAGCATTCCTACTTGTGGCTTATGGTATTGCTACCCTTCTATATAGTTGTTGGAACACTTTTTTATATGTAGTTGATGAAATCAAGAATGACTGAATGAATAATTTCAGGGGCTTGATCTGCATATATCCGAAATTGAGCAATTGTGCACAGAATTTCCATCAACAGTTGTGTTGCTTGATCACTTGGCCTTTTGCAAACCACCAATGTAAGTTTTTTTTTTATAATCATCATCTCAAAGGCTTAAAAATGTTCCCTTATATGAATATTGTGTTGCAGAAACGATGAGGAAGGTCTTGTCTTTTCTCAGCTTTTAAATCTGTCTAGATTTCCACAAGTAAGTGTTTGATTCTCCTCATGAGGAGCACTTCAAGGAAGCAAAGCATACATAATTTTTATTTATTCCATTTTTGCTACACTGCTGAAAGCATCTAGAAAAGCACAAATGTATAACTCTTGATGATTCTTATTCTATCTTTTTTAGTAGTCTCATCTATTAAATGAGTAAAATGATAAAAGATTTTAATTCGCAAAATATTAAATCTGCAATATGGATATGATAACCAAAATTCATTTAACTTTCTGAAGTGCCTTATCAAAATACTATTGTTAGTCTTTGTTTTTTCCATAATTAGTGAAACCTCCTTGATGAGTAATAAGTTTGAATTTTTGACAGGTATATGTGAAATTTAGTGCCTTTTTCAGAGTTTCAAGAGCACCGTTTCCTTATCTGGACTTGTCTCCTCTCTTATCCCAACTTGTTTCTCGCTTTGGTGCTAACCGTGTCATGTGGGGCAGGTAACTTCTGAATTCTGATCACACATATCTTTAGCCAAAATAGAATCAACATTGCGAGGAAACAGTAGAATGGGGCAAGGGGTGAGAGAACCTTCTCCATAACAACCAAATTAACTATCTTTTCTATTTTTTTTCAATCATGTTGTTACAGTGATTTTCCATTTGTTGTTGCTGAATGTGGTTACAAAGGACCCAAAGAAGCTGTGCATCTTATTGCAAATCAGATCTCTTTGCCTTCATCTGATTTGGAGTGGATCATGGGGAAGACAGCTTCACAACTCTTCCAAAACCAATTGACTGCTGCCAAGCAAGGTTCTCATTGAGTGGGGGATGCTGTTTGAGTCTTCTCAAAAGTTTCTAGATTTTGTGTTAGTAATTTGATGTTGAACGTACATGACATTTGTGAAAGCATTGAATACGTTTTTTTTTTTTTTTTGTTTCACTGAATACTCCTTGTCTTTGGTAACACAATGACATGAAAGAACATTTTTTTTGTTGTTGTTTGTATTGGTCTCTTTGCTGGTTACACTTGTAATTTGTAGCTTGGTTTGCCTAGAGTTTTTAGACTGATTTGGAAACTCCTTGCAATGGTTTATAGTAGATCTTTCTAGATTTAGTTTAAGTTGTAATCAAAGTTGTGTTTGGTGTGTAATCCTCAATGAAAGGAAAACATAAATGCATTCGTAGCTAGGATTATTGCTTAGAGGGCAATCTTCATGAGATTTAGTTCAAATGTTTTGCTTCTAGTGATTATACCACTGTATTAGTGAGGCCCAAAGTCAGAATTTGTGAACTTCATGGTCTCTTACAAATAACGTGAATAGTTATTAGGATCCAATTGCAAGGTATAAGAACGTGCTTGAATTGACGTCAAATTTACTTAAATATAAGTATATTATAATGCTATAAGTTATAAATTCCACGATGAATCATAATTTAACGTGATTTTGTTAGATTTTCAAACATACATTATATTCAATGTCATTTGGAAAAACATTATTTTTTGGGGATTCAAATTCATTTTTTAACAAATGCTAACCAATATTTTTAAAGAATTAAAATATTAAAATTATATTTTTGCAGTAATATATATTATTTCATGATTCTTTTATTACGTTAAAGTTTACACTGCATTCCTCTTTTTTGAACATCTTTTCTCCATAAAACGTGTTACTATAAAATTTACTCTTTTCCAACATCGATGAACTAGTTTTTGTATTTTTTAATACCATGTATTAACTTAAGGGAATAAACAGTCCCAACCCTGGAGTTCTTAGCTTTACCCTTCGAAATTTGGATTTGGATTGAAGGGAAAAGAGAGAGCTAAGAAAGTCTGCACCGGATTCCAGCTTGTAAATTAAGATGATTATCGTTGTAACAAGTGCAAAATCTACTACTGATGATAAACAGAAAGTTAATACATCTTCAACCAAGATATGCTTTCAGTTTCAGCTTTTAGTGTTGGCAGTGGCGTTGACCTTGAGAATCACAAGTGGTGCTGCTGCTACAATGCCTGAAACTGAAACCTTTTCAATCACCGAAGTCATTGATTCTCATCTCCATATCTGGGCTTCTCCTCAAGAGGTACTTACTATTACTATCACTTCACACTTCATTCTTCTATATTCCAAACATAAATGCATATGCTCCTTTATTATTATTGTTGTGGTTATTATTTGTTTCAAGTGATCATATTACTTATCCAATCACGCTCTGAGGTTATTGTTAAAAAATTCTTGTACAGTTCTTGACTATTAAATTTAAAATCATCAAAACTTTTCTGCGTAATCCATGCAGAAATTTGTATGCAAAATAATGATTTTGTACTATGTTCGTGACTTTATACTTCTTTTAATAAGGTTGTCCATTTAGCAAGCATTATCCTATTTTTTTTTCCTTGAAAATGAAGGCTGGTGAATTCCCTTATGCTCCCGGACATGAGCCCACTTTACCAGGAAATATCGATTTTTTGCTCCAGGTATGCATTTAGTTTATTTTGTCTCTAACCATGTCTACCTTAGGGTCAATAACTTCGGAATTGTGTATTTTTTTTAATAATATTTTTTCTTGATATTGCATATTTTTTTGTAGACCCCTTAATTGCATATTTGACTCATTCATGTAGAATGTGATGCAGCCTCCCTATCTGGCATTTTCATACAAATTTTAATGTCTGCTTGAGGTCAATTACATGGAAGCTGATTCTGATTAGATTTGATCATTGATGCTGATACACAATTTTTCTGAAGTGTATGGAGGAGGCAGGAGTAGATGGTGCCCTCATTGTGCAGCCAATTAACCATAAATTTGATCATAGTTATGTTACAAGGTATATTCAACATTTATTTTTCCTCATTTTGCGTAGGAATTCAGTGATTTTATAGTTTTTAGATAATACTGAATGGGTAGTTGGTTCCGATGGAATATCTAGTATTAAATATGATCTCAGCACTTGATATGTTATTTTTGCTGCAATTTCTAGTGATATAAGAGAATAGGGTATAGACTGAAGGTTAGGGAGAGATTTTGAAAACACAATAATTGATGCTCATTGTGTGTATTTAAATTTTTTATTTCTTAATGCAAAGGACTTAACAAAACATGATGAGCCAAGATATGCTTTATCCGATTAGTTGCTAAAATATTAGCTGCACAATGAGTTGGATGGCCATATACTAGAGGAACTTTGACTTAATTGTGGATTTCATTGTACTGATTACATCTTCCATGTAATGGATTCTTTTTATTTTTTATTTTTTATTTTTTTAGTGTTAATTGTATGTTGTATCACTTATGTTAATTTGTTCATTGTGCAGTGTTCTGAAGAAATACCCAACCAAATTTGTTGGTTGTTGCCTTGCTAATCCAGTGGAGGATGGAAGTGGGCTTAAGCAGTTTGAAGATCTTGTTTTGAAGGTTTAAAGGATAATTTCTTTTTATCAAAATTGCTTTTTTTTTCAGAAAGCATTGAAGTTTTCTTTTTCTGTTAGGATGGTTATCGTGCTGTTCGATTCAACCCAGATTTGTGGCCATCTGGGGAAAAGGTAGGCAATCCCTTTTCTTTTTCACTGGTTGGTTTATTCATGGTAGAGGCTTAAGAGATACAATTGAGACATTCTCTTTCCTCCTCACTCTTCTGTAACACTTTGATTAGTCAAGAAGGTAGTAGTTAATAAGGAAGCCGTTCTTCTCCCTGATATGCATTGAATATTCTGCGGTGATTGTACCCACCAGATGATATTATATCAACCAAACTGTATAACTAAGTGAGGAATGCTTATAGGACTGGCTTAATTGTTGGACTGTAAGATTGAAAAGCGTTATCATTTTAGCAAGAAACAGAAGATGTGAATAATACTAGATTTAGGCAAAACGTTGTTATATGGTTTATTTCTTTCTATTTAATTCTTTTTAAATTTTAAACTTGATTATTAGTGTGACTTTTTATACTATCAAGATAAAAGAAAGTGTCATCATTGTAGACTTAAAGTAAACATGGTTTTTCAGTTTTAGTAAAAGATTTGAACTGCTTTTCAAATAGTTGCTCCCCTCATACATTGTACTGGATCAAAATTATTGTTTTAGAAAGAATACAATGACATCATTTCATCTACCTAACCTACATCTCCTTGTAGAAAAAGGCTTTTATTGTGGGTGTTAATCTAATCACTTTCTTTTCTCGGTTATATTTGAAATGATCTCAATGCAGATGACAAATGAAGTTGGGAAGGCAATTTTCCAAAGGGCTGGAGAACTCAATGTACCAGTGGGCTTCTTGTGCATGAAGGTGTTTCATTTTTTTCCTTGTAAATATAAAAGAACTATCTTGTATAGCTTCTTCCCCTGAGTAATACAATACAGAGGAGGGACATTTTTGTATAGGTAAGAAGTTGGTGAAATTGAGAATTAATTGGTTGAATGATTTCAGGGGCTTGGTCTATATATTTCTGAAATTGAGGAGTTGTGCACCGAATTTCCCTCAACAGTTGTATTGATTGATCACTTGGCCTTCTGCAAACCACCATTGTAAGCTATATTATAATCATTGTTTCGAAGGTCAAGAAAGGTGCCCTTACATGAATATTGTATTGCAGAAATGAAGAGCAAGGTCTTGCCTTTTCTCAGCTTTTGAATCTATCTAGATTCCCACAAGTAAGTGCCTGATTGTTTCCTCACAAGCAGAACTTCAAGGAAGCATAGCATGCTTAAATGTTTTGTTAGTTGCCTTTTCTGCTTTATTACTGAAGACCTTGGTAGAAACATAAATTTATTGTTCATGTAGATGCTTATTGTGTCTTTTTTTTTTCCCTTGTGTCAATTAAATGAGTAAAATGGTAATAGGCATAAATCCAATATAGACTATATCCATGATGTATAGATACGATTCTTCATATCTGTTAATGTTTTATCAAAATAATTGTCTTTTTTTACTTTCCTTAATTAGTGAAGCCTTCAGCTTGAGGAATACTAAATTGTGAATTTGTCAGGTATATGTGAAATTTAGTGGCCTTTTTAGAGTGTCAAGAGTGCAGTTTCCTTATCTGGATTTGTCTCCTCTGTTGTCCCAAGTTGTCTCTAGCTTTGGTTCTAACCGTGTAATGTGGGGCAGGTAACTTCCTAATTCCTATCATACGTGTTTAACTAAAATAGAACAACTGAACTTCGTAAGAAAACAGCAGAATAAGAAAAAAGGGGTGAAATAATTTTATTCATAACAATCATGTCAACCTTTTTTTCAATATGTTGCAGTGACTTTCCGGATGTTGTTCCTGAATGTGGCTACAAAGGAGCCAAAGAAGCAGTGAATCTTATTGCCAATCAGATCTCTTTACCTTCATCTGATTTAAAATGGATCATGGGGAAGACGGTTTCACAACTCTTCCAAAACCAAGTGATTGCTGCCAAGTGCTAAGCAAGTTTTTCATTGAGATTTGAGAGTATGAGTGATATCTCTCAGGTTGAGTCTTTCAGATGTTGTATTAAAAATTATATGTTGACTGTAACATGTACGATTGTGTTGGCATTAATGATGTTTAATTGTGTCCTTGAGCTCTTGTTTTTTGTAACCCGTGCAACTGCCAAAATCCTTGGACTGATAGCAAAGAACTTATTTTTGTGGTTGTCCTCCTTAATCACCTATTATTTTCAGAAAATAAAGTGTGTTTTCCCTGTTGTAGGGTTCAATGGTTATCCCTTTGGTAGTCTAGCTGAGTAATCTGGCATTGATTAAAGGGTAGAACAATACTTCGTTATGACAATAGTGTAATTTTCAATGAATTTGACTGATCCACATTCTTCTACATATGATTTGTTGAAAGCGATGAAACATGCAAGGAATAGAAAAGCTTCAAATGGTATGGTAAATTTGGATTTCAATCAATAGAGGAGAAAGATTCAGTACTTAAAGGAAGAAAATGATGTTTGCAAAGCTCAACAGAACGCCACTTCATTGGATAGCATCAACAAGGCAAAAATGAATTACATTAATCACTGACAATAAACACCAACTTCATAGACAAAATTAATTAATTACAAGAAATAAAAAGGCAATATCACAAAGATGGCAGATTCCTTTGGATAAGGGCACATGTCAGATGGAACCATTTTTAGGGTCATTTTCTTTAAGTTTGGGATCAGCATTTTTCTTCTTCCTCCTCAGCTTCTCACAAGCAAAAGCTCTCTCGAGCTGCTCCACCCTATGTGAGAGAGAGCTAAGAAGCCTAGTTTGCATCTCGTTCCTCTTAAAGAGTTGTTGCATCATCACCATCATCTTCTCGTTATCCTCCATCATCTTTTCCAACAACTCCCTCTTACCATCCTTCTCCTCTTCCTTCACCGAACAATTCTCGTCAACCAAACTAGTTCCCACGCTTTCTTTTCCCACCTCAACCTCCTCCTCCCTCAAAGTTTCCATTTTTTCACCTTCCTCATGCTCCTCACATTCACATTCACATTCAGCTTGACCCTCTTCTTCCCTGACCAAATAATTTTCCCCAACTTCCTCAACCAAACATGTTCCTACACTCTCTTCTCCAACACATTGACCCTCACCATCTTCCTCCTCCTTTTCTTTTACCTCCATTATCTCCTCACTCCTCAAATCTTCCATTTTCTCACCACATTCAACTCCCAAAAAATTCTCCTCATCCAAACTTGCTCCCACACATTTATCCTCCTCCGTCATCTTTTTCTCCTCATTCTCCAAAGCTTCCATTTTGACACCCTCAGCTTGAGCCATTTGAGGTTGATCTTGATCAGAGGGACCCACCAACACCATTTGATCAACCATTTCTTGAAGCGTAATGGCTTTCTTGATGAGGGTCTTTCTGCATTCCCTGAGGCCAGAGTAGTGTAAGACCCTTACAGAGTCCAACTGGAGAAGCAAATTCATGATGGTCTCGCTTACCCTCACTCTCTCTCTTTGCTCCTTCCTCATCAACTCCACAGTTTCATTAGCAGAAACCTTGTTCTCTATCTGCTCCAATTCCACCCTTATGCCTGAGATCTTCCTCACAATGTTCCTCACGAGGAACCCTCTCAGCACCTTCTGAATCTTGATGGCAGAAACATTTCGGGAACGCTCTGAACCCACGAAGTGAACGGGGATTGTAACCACTTTGGAGGGTGTCTTGTAGTTGTAACGAGGTGGAGATTGAGACTCGGGCACAGCCCAACGGGTTCTGTAGAAAGGGTTGTTGTTCATCTGCATCATGATCGTCGTAAAATGTTGATTTGCGTAGTTTAAGGTTTTTGTGAGAAATAAGGTTAATGTTAAGGTGATTTATAGTAATGGAAGGAACATGACGAGGTTGTTGGTTGGAAAGTTTGAAGTGAAAGTTCCAGAAGTTTCAAGAGCAAAGAAGAGAGGGGAAAGAATTAACTGTTTGCTGACGTGGCATGGTTCTTCTCTCTTTCTAGATAACTGTCGATTCTTCTTGTTCTTTCCAGAGAGAGAGAGAAAGCGATTCCGTGTTCTACGACGTCATCATTTGCCAAATTTAAGGTTTATTTTTGTTAATTATTTCATGATTTGACATTCTTTAATTTTATATAATTTAAATATTTTTTAAGGGCAATTTCATTCGTATTAATCATTTACCAAAGATCGAAATATTACTCATTTACCAAATATTGCTATTCTTCCAAAATATTTTCCTAAATTGAAATATCAAGAGTATTTACGTTCACTTGTTATTGTTTAACCATTGTGTAAACTATCGTATATTTGAATTTCACAAAATATAATTCAAATAGCACTACTCATATGAGGAGCAACACCAGAACAACTTAAAATTAAAAGTAAAACAATAAATTCATATATTTGTGAGTAAGAACACCACATGATATATGAGTATAATATATCAAGCAAAACGATGTGTTTTGAGGCTATCAATCCAAGTTAATCTACCCTATGATATGTTGGGCCTTTAAATCGGAAATCAAAGGGCTAGGCCCAATGCTTATAAATGCTAATTCAATCAACTATTTTGTTGACCCCAAAAAAAAAACAGCTATTGTTAATTAAGATATAAGACAGGAAAAATTTATTCTATTATCTAAGACAGGCCCAATTTAGTTCTCATTTTTCAACTCAAAATGTTCACAAATTAAATTATTCTAAGCTTTCAGCTGAAAATTTACTAATAAATTATCAAAATTCACTTAAAATTAAAAAAACCTCCTTTAATAATAATCTACCATTTAATAAGCTTAAAATTGATCAAAATTTCATTAAAATTTTGTCTTTTAAACTTTCAAAATTATTTTGTATTTCAAATTTATCATAATTTCTCTACATATTTAAATACAAAATAATAATTTGAGGATTTTAATTAGAATAAATAAAATGATACCAAACATGCTTAATTTGAGACATAAAAAATAAAACCATTTAAAACTAATTAACAAAAAATTATGATTACGTGTATTACTTCTTTTATCTGACAAATACCACATACGGTTACTATTTAGACAAACGGAATGTAGTATTGAAAAATCGAACTAAAGCAATTAAATTGATGAAATTAGTTCACTAAAACTGATTAAAATTATAGCAATGGGTAGATAGTCCAATTACTGAACAAAAGTGTTGCAACTTTTATTTTGTAAAGTTCTACTTTCTTTCTGCTCATGAAGTTGTTATTGTTATGGTTTTTCTTGCACCTTTACTCTAAGTTGTAAGTAACCTTTGTATCTGTCTTTGTTTTGTATGCAAATTTGCGTTTATATTCGTTGGATATATGGGAAACTTGCATAAGTATTTGATCCATAGCCAAAACTATTTACTTCAATGGCGTTTGCAATTTTGTATTTTCTATCCCATTAATACAAGGTGACACAATCAAAATACAACATTGATACCTCAACCCTCAATCGTGGAAGTGCAACATGTTTGGAATAAGGTTTTGTGACAACGCAGACAATATAAGGATGATGAAAGGGATTTTTTGTCTTCTCATAATAGGTCATCTTGGAAGAAAATAAATAAATAAATAAATTAAAGATGGTATGAAAAGTAAAAAGACAAAAATGCAAAAAGTAATTGCTATGTTGGCCAAACATTATGTCACTTTGTAACATTTGGACAAAAAAAGCTAAACCTAACAAGACATAAGATTAAAAAAATGAAATTTATCTTAGGCCATTGAAGCTATTTCCATGAAAAAAGTTATTGGGAGGACCCTTTTGACGTGTATATATAACCAACCAACGGGCCCAAGTTTTGTTTAACCTCAGCAACACCTTCTTAACTTTGGTATTGATTGACTCTTATATCTAAAAATTACATTAAACCTTAACTAACATGAGTCGAGTTGAGTAAATATATTTAATGATTCTTTTAACGTATGAATGATGATAGACAATTAATAAATATTTTTGAACTTAAAAGTTGTCCTAAAATCCAAGGTAAAAAAGGGGTTTGAAAGGTGAAATGTCCCTATTTGGTTTCAGTAATGGCATGGGAGAAGAGAGTGTGATTTCCAATGCATATATTGATTCCAAAACGACAATTCATCCTAAAGTGTGGCCACGTGAGTACGGTTCCGCCGCCCAAATGAGCATGCGGTTGAAGAAGACATAGCCATTACCCCAAACACCCTCTCTTCCTCTTGTCTGTCTTCTGCTCTCAACACCAACTGCCACTTTGTCACTGCTTTAGGTGAACACCCCCTTCCCCTCTATTGCTCCTCTCTACTACTCTACACCACTACTATACTTTCATTCTACTGCCTCTATTCTTTTTAATCTCATCTAATACACTTTTTTTTCAACTTTAATTCACCCAACCCAATAACTTATTTCCCATTTTTCATCTCTCTATCTTTCTTATCACACATCTCACCAACCACCATGCATGCTTGTTAAACCATACCCATTTCTCTCTTTCCCCCACCCACAATAATATAAATAAAAATACCCCTTTTATATACTTTAGTATCAGACACTTTTTTGTTTGTGGATATAATTTTGATTTAGACCCTTCAAGTAAAAATGGGGTATTTTTAGTTGAATGTATTATTCAATCTATCTATCTATATGTATATAATAAGTGTATTGATAATAAAAATAATTACATATGCAACATTAACTTTTAGTGATTCAAGTGATAAAATGTTAAGGGTAAATTGAAGTAAGCATTTAACTTTTTGTGATGATGTATAGTAATATTTGTGAATGCATGATAGTGATAAAACGAAGTGGGATGAAACGGCTATGTTTGACTCAGAAGGTGGTGATCATATTTGGGATTTTGACAATGCAGATGCAAAGGCAAAGAACAAACATAGGTGAATGAATGGGTGAATGTCAGAAGACAGAAGCAAAAAGGGTGTTCTGCTTGGTCGACAACAAGGACGCACACCGCTCTCTGCCTACCTCCCTCTATTCACTTTTCCCAGAATAAAAGCCTGCTTCTTATGTCCCTAACCTTCAATGTCAATATTGTTTTCATCCCTTTTGAACATAGTTACATATATATATTTGACGGGCTTCGTAAATATATTAAATAAAATAATATATAATTAATGCTACTCTCATAATATCATATCAATTTTTTATATTCAACATGTATTTTATCTTTTTTTTTATTAATTTTTTACTTTTCTCTCCTTTAATTGTATCATATTGTGTGTCATCTTTTAATATTTCATTTTTCATTAAACTTATACACCATGATAAAATTTAATGTATTAATAATATTAAATATTAATGATGTAATAATTTAATGGTAACACTTTTCCTCTTATAACAGCTCAAACCTCATTATTCATAAAGAAAGTTGTGTATATATCATTGTTATATTTCTTTCAACATTTTTTGTTTCTGCTTTCACTTTGTTTCGTCCTTTCAACAATTTTTTACATTTTTGTTAAACTTTCTCCATTCTTGGACAAACATCCGGCTCCAACTGTTCAGAAATATGCTCCTTACTTACTGTGCCATACGTATAATAGATTAACAAAACAAATTTGTTTTCTTTTGTTCTCTTGCGTGTATGCTTTTTTCACTGTGTGACAAACATGCATGCACGCAGCATGCAGTCCTCGAGTATCAAGCATTACGGCTGAATGGTATAAGCCAGTGCACAATGGAGACAAGAGAAGACACTCCCTCTGATTCAGAGACACGCCCTGCGACAGCAACAGACAAAGCAAAGCACCCTCATGGAAGGGTCAAGGGCCCCATCTTCTTCAACTTTGGCATAACCTCTTCCTTATAAAACCATCCCTTCACTACCCTTTTTCACCACACACACACACAATCCTTACTTCAAAGCTTCAACTTCAACGCATAGCAGTAACACCCTTTAGTTGTTTCTTTGTTTTTCTATGAGCCAAGAGAAAATGATGCATTACCAAGTGGAGCCTGCAACTGCATGGAGCTACTACATGAGGGTTAGGAGCATGGAAGAAGATCAAATGGAGAGGGTTGTGAGGTTGGCTTCTCAGAGTGCTGTGGTGATATTCAGTGTTAGTAGCTGTTGCATGTGCCATGCAATGAAGAGGCTTTTCTGTGGCATGGGTGTTAACCCAACAGTGCATGAGTTGGATCAAGATCCTAAAGGGAAAGACATGGAGAGAGCATTGATGAGGTTGCTTGGAATCAACTCTTCTGCTGTTCCTGTGGTTTTCATTGGAGGAAAGCTTGTTGGCTCCATGGACAGGGTTTTGGCCTTCCACATCAATGGCACACTTGTTCCACTTCTCAAAGAAGCTGGTGCTTTGTGGCTTTGATTCACTATGTAATAGACTTGAATGCAAAGTTACTTGTTGTGTCGCCTGATAAAAGAAAGAGTTCAGCATTGTCTTTGATTTGTTTTGACTTAAGACAATGCATTCCTCCGGAAATCAACAATATCCATACTACAAAAGATTATGTGAATTAGCTAGCATGCCAAAAAAAAAAAAAAGAACAAGAAAAAAGTAGGGAAAACAAAAATGATGAATTTCTCTCAATTTGTTATTGTTTTTCTAGTGTGTAGTTGTGCTTTGTAGTTTGTATAAAGATGCACGTGTAATTTGGAAATGAACCAAGAAGCACTACTGAACCTCTTTGCTTAACTTTTCACTTCATATACTACTTTGTCTTGTTATAAATGTAAGCTCTCCTCCGTCTTGTGGACCTCTTTCTCTCGTGAAAGTATCACTTTCAACGAAAGAAATCAAAGAAAAACATGTGTCGTCAAATTTTTATCCACCTAACATTGCTTCATAGAAGGGAAAAGAAACTGATTATCACAGGAAACTAGTCTAATTAATAACTATTTTTTTGAAAATAAAGAGTGAGGCACTGTATTTTGCAATGCGGGTTTTTCTTATTTTATTGATTAAAGTAATTGATGTAAGGACATAGCTGTAGAGAGGCAGGGCGCAAGTTTTAGATTTAACATAATATGTTAACATTACTTTTTTACAGTAATTTTCATGTCAAGGAGTGGGATGGGAAGAAAAAAAAGAGAAGTGTAAGATAAAATAAATAATGAAATAAAAAGAAATTTTATCAGAAATTCTCTAAAAATTTTCCTGCAAGTCTGATTAAGGTTTCGAAAGCGTGGTCGAGATTAGTGAAACTTTCCACCTTTTCCATTCCAACTTTATTGATAAAATCATTCATGAGGTGATATCATTGTTCAATGAGTAATAACCAGTGTATTAGTGTGGGTTGTGATATAAAAGCTTCTCTATCAAGTTGCCCTGTCGATTACATATGTAAAGATGCCAGTGAGACTTAAACTGGTGGTTTTGTATTAGTGTCTCCAAATTGTGGTGATTGAAAACATACACAAACATTTGAGTGAAGTCACCTATCCTCATGAGATGGTAACATCTAACTACAACTGCAGTGATATACAGATGTTTCTCATCATAATTTAAGTCCCAACTTAGTTGCGCAGGAACACAAAACTGCAAGTTATGACTATAAATTGCAAGAGGTGACACTTCCACAATCATACCTTTCTCGGCCTTTTGGCTAAGATCAAGTGTAGTATCTGTTCTTATCAGTTTAATATCTGATACGTGGGTCATTGACTCACATGATATTAAATTAATTTTTTTAAGGGGAAGGTCCAACACAGTAGCTTGCTACTGGGATCTTCATGTGTCGCCCATGCTTTGCACTATTGCAAGGGCTTGGCGCACCCTAACCAATTATAGTTCAACTTTTCAATTTTGTTGTTATGTCTAATTCTGTGCTTATATTGAGCGTTATTATTGAATGCTGTTAAGCTCGTTGGGTCCCGGAATCAAATTTGTTTTATGCAATTATTTGGTGTCTCAAATCATAATCAAACTTGATAATGAGCCTTACATCTATTAATAGCCTTGGTTAAGAAGCACCATTGTATCTGCTTACATTTTGGTCATGGGATATATAAAAAAACAGTACTTTTTCGAAGTTCGCTAGTTATGTTTGTTTTGATTTTTTACCACACAAGATCCTACCAAGACTGAAAACAAGAAAAATATTGAAGGGAGATAGTTCCCTTAACACATTTTTCATGAATTTCGAAATTAACTAGTAAACATACTTTGTTAATTTCTAGCCTTTATTTAATTGTAACTTCAAGATCATATTTACATTTATGATTGCATATTGTCACTCGTGTTTTTTCAATCAAACGTGGAATTAACTACCTCATTCTATCCTCTCTATTAAGTTGCAACTTCTGAATCCCATTTTGATTTCTAACTTGAATGGATATATACCTGCGTTTCATAGTAATATCTATTCATTTTATCCTAGAAATTAGACAATACCTCCTGGGAAAAAATTTACCTCTACATTTTCTGTATCTGTTCCTATATCACCTTCTATACCAAATGAAGTCTATAAATAACGTGTCCAAGAGTACATAGAATGGAATTTTATTTCTCGTAACATTTTAATATTAGTATTGATGACTGAATATCACTTGCACACAACGACATACTTATTTCTTCCTAAATTGCAATTCCTATATTGACCTCCCATTTTCATTATTTCTTTAATTTATCATACTTCAAGTTTAGGGGCAAACTTGATGCAAGTTATAGACGAAAAATGTTGTTGGGTGTGTGGACATGCTAATCAACATAGATTAGGAGTAAATGTATTAGGATAGCATCTATTGTAGAAAGGACATGTAGAACGAGATGAGATCAAAAGGGTAGTCTCGGTGTTAGAGGCATAACAAGACCAAGAAAAACTAAACAATATAATTAAAAATGATTTAGAGGCCAGTAATATGTATATTTAACATGATTTACAACAAAACATTACAATGTCACTTGATTCATATAATTCATCTCACCTGCATTTCATGAGAATTGCTAAAATGTCACTCGACATAATATACTGCACAAAACACACCACCGTTATCAGTATTGTCCGTGTCCGCGGTGATATGTGAGAATTCAGCATAAGAATTATTAAATTCAAGTGTATAAAAATGTTAAAGTAAACGAGTAATACGAAAAACAAAATAATAAAGATTGTAGTATTGTGTATAATAAAAAAATAATTAAAAATCGTGTAAATAATTTGATTACGTATAACAAAAATCTTTTAAATGTGTGAACGTCTTAACTTTTAGTCTAATAAAAAGAAATAAAAAAAAAACTCAACTAAATAAAAAATTATTAAAAAGGTGTTAATTAATTTGTTAATTTTTAATTTTTATCAAGTTCAATGTCCTTGTGTCAATCTTACTTTAATAATATAACTAATTTATGAATTGCAATATACTATTGTGAAATTGGTTAAAACTTGTTAAAAAATATAAAGAAAAAGTGTGACTTTTTCTTATTTCCAAAATCCATCGTGCTTTGGAGCTACGTTCTTATAAAATTTAAATGTACATCTAACCTACAGCCAAATTATTGACAGTGAACAGATATAAAAGCAAAACATGTAGAATGAAAAATATGCAGAACACTGTTCCCTGTTTCCCGATCTAGTGCATGATTGGCATATGAAAGTAGTATATACGTGGTTGATTAAGAGCATCTATTTTAGTTAACAAATACAAAAAGATTAGCTTATCAAACCAACATTGGATTATTATTCAATTTTTAACTATTATAATGATTCCAAATAGGAAGAGTTTATCAAATTTCACATAAAGTACTGCACTTCCAATAATTCTAAATTTTATACCAAACAAAGATCAAACTAGGGTTGGTTGGGGTGTGCCAGGCCCTTGCAATAGTGCAAGGCATGGGCGACACAAGAAGATCCCAGTAGCAAGCTACCGCACTGGACCTTCCCCCTAAAAAAATTAATTTAATATCATGTGAGCCGTTGGCCCACGTATCAGATATTAAACTGATAAGAACAGATACTACACTTGATCTTAGCCAAAAGGCCGAGAAAGGTATGCTTTATTCAAGGACAGGTTTTCAATTTTATAGGTGGTACTTGCGATTCTGTTTTGCTTCACAACCGAGGTGGGACTTAAAATATAAGGTGACACAATGAGACAGTTATATTTCATTACTGCTGTTAGCTGGCAAAGGCATCAATTTAGCTCCACTCAAACGTGTGTATCATTTCAATTACCACATATCATCTAAGTGCGTGTTTCGATTCATGTTTAAAGACCTGTAAACGTGGACCCAATGTAAAAGTTAAACTAGTGACGTTGAAATAAGTAAAGATTTATAAGCATTTAAACCCAAAACTAAACATGCTATAAAAAGTTAGGATATGTTCCAATCAATTTGCCAGTTGATTAAGTCTTACTGGCATGTTTAAAAAAGCTATTACCTAATACAACATAAGGAACAAGTGATTATTTAAGAATTTTTCAGAACCCAGTTGCTAGAAATAAACCAATCATCTATTCAAGGTACACAATTTGAACTGAAAAGGATAGTGTTTGAGGACATGGTTGGCATGCCCTGCCCTGCCTCAACTTCTGTTGTGGCTTAAGACCCCATTGTTTTCTGTTTTTTTTTTTTTCTCTCCTTTCATTGTTACTAGACTACAAGTAGCTTGTCTTCAGATTGCACAGTTTTTAAGTTATTTGACCCAAAATCTAAAAGCAAAATTGGATGAATATGTAAGCATGTCTCTTGCCAACTATCAATTCAATTACTTCGAATTGATGATGTTCCTCAAGGATCTCCTGTTTGCTTCTCTTCCCGGTCAAGGCTAAGGTAGTTCTTTTAACAATTAGGGAGTGATGTTCTAACTGTTAAGCACTTAAACATTTACAATCCATACACTATTTTTTACTTTTATTTTGATGCATTATGACTGTAAAAGAATATTAAGCTGCCATGTGTTATCTCATTACTGAATGAATTTTTATTAAATATAAATTTCAAATTTATTAAATATTATAGCAACATGGAATTGATTGAGAGCATAAAATGTATTTATGTTGGTGGTGCACCCTAAGTTAATTCTTAATCTTTTTAAATATGAAATGCACAAGATAGAAGAAACTTATATAGAACATTAAGGACCCTGAATAAAAGATTTCAGGAGGCCACACGACAACATTTTGTAAAACGTAAAATTTGTTTGAAATGTATGAGGTGAGGCCTTTGAGTACTAAGAAGTGTCCCCTCACTGTGTAGCCCAAAAATTTTCTATACAATTAATATATTATCTTACAAGTATGTGGGAGCAAAAAGGTTCAACAAATTTGAAATAAGAAAAAAAGGGGTGATTCACCTTCCACAGGTAATTACCAAATCCTGACTCTTGTAATAAACTTTGATCATCAAAATATGAAGTGTTAAACCATGGGTGGCTGCAACTCTGCTTCAACAGGAGCGGGTGCAGGTGCAATCTTGATGCCACTGTTGATTACATAAAGCATACCACAGCCAGAAAATATAGCAAATATAACAAAAGCAAAGGCAAATATTATGAATAGAGCAATTCCAAATCCTGCCCACAATACTTCTTGATGTTTTCGAGCTCTATTCATGACATTTGACAATTCCACTATGAAATGGATCACTAGGATGAAGCAGAAACAAACCATAAGTGCACTTAAGAAAAATGAAAGTGCTAGAATGGTCATTTTCTCTCTGCCATTCAACATAGTTATTGTTTTCTCCAAAAGAAGGTAAATAAGAAATGAATTGAGAGAATAGGCAAAATAAACTGTTCCTGTATCGTTTTATTTGCTTTTGCAGAGGAAAGGTGATAAAAATGATGAGAACATAATTATTATATATGTGGCCTCGGTACCTGCACTGTCTGAATAATTGTAGTAATTTTGATAGAAAGTGATTTAGACCAATTCCGACCATTAAGATAGTATAATGCTGATCACATATAGTTTATAACATTCAATAAATATAAATGTGCAATCAAAAGATAGTTTTAACAAATAAAAAAAAAAGCTATTTTACGTTCACTTCAAGATTCTTTTTCATAGGCTACACATTGCTCTTGAACTGAATGAAATTTTATGCTCAAATAAGAACAATATAAACTTCTGGTAGTGTAGATTTTGTAATATTTGTTCATTATAAATATATTTATTATTGAACTTAATGTTACTCAGTATATAGTTAATATATGTACTGGTGACGTATGCAAATTTTTTTAATATATCTTCAGTTGCTATTATAAGGGGCCAAGTTATGTTTCACCCAAGCCTGTTGTGAAAAGCTTTGATGTGCACATTGGTTTGTTCATTGTATGGTCTGATCAAAGATTCAAGCGTCACGAATAATTATAATAATATAGGTCTGTATGGTGTATATAACATGATAGAAAAAATTAAATATACAAAGAATTATATAAGAATAAAATATAGTAAGAATAATATATTTTTTTATTTTATTTTATTTTATTTTTTATGTGTATTAAAATAATAAATTAAATATATTATATTATTTTTTATAAGATAAAATTTACATTAAAAAAAAGAGCCTATAAAATAAAATTTTAATTTATTATCTTGTCTATCGTGTCGATCAAACAAAATCTTCATATAATGTAAAATCGCAATACCTTAAGCTTGGTACTTTAAACTGCAAACTGTAAGTTACTGTACTGCGTACGTGAAGTGAGCCAATGGCAAAGATACAGCAAGAGGATAAGAAGAAAGACATGCATTTTAGAGGTTTCTTCTTGATTTTTTATATCTACTCTGTGTCTTGGAAACTTTCTTGACTCTTCAATGCTGGATTGTAACTTGCGTGGTATATACTCCATGTTGAATATATATTTGTATATGAATTATGCATTTAATTATTCTGTAAATATTAAACTATTAAGCATTCAATAAGTCTCAATTAATTCAACGAACAGTTCAATTTTAAGAAATTATGTGAATAGCCAATAATTGATTAAAAGAGTTAACTATGTTTAAATTTTGGTAAATTTATATATTTTGATTTTAGCTTCTAACTAAAATTTATTTTGTTGTCTTTATATTTAATAAATGTGATGTTCTTTTAGTCCTTCACTAAAAGTTAAAATGCACCATTCTTAATTTTAGAGTCTAAAATTAAAATTTTATTTAGGAACCAAAATTTAAATATATCAATTTTACAAAGACTAAAAGTATATTTAACTAAATTTTAATTATTATTATATTGTACATATAAGTTTATTTGGTAAGATCACATTAAAAAAGAAAAAAGAAAAGTTAATTTTCACCGTACAATTATACATCAACAGTTCTAACTTAGATTAAATTAAATAATTTTGTAAGCACTTCACCTCTCATAAATAAGAGTGAAAAAGTGCAAGTCAGACTTGACCTTAAACCGACCTAATAAATTTTATAAACTTAAGCTTGAATGTCCTTTTTAATATTTATTTCCTATTAGTTTCTTACTCTTATATATTTTCTATCAATTTCCTATTTCTTGGTGGGAGTGTTTTTTAAATTTCAAATAAGGTTAGACATTACCAAAAAAAAACAAGTGATTTTAACAATTTACATTTGGTTCAATTCAAATTGATATTCTAACAAAAATCAACATTTAAAAGAGTCTTGCACAGTTTTTCATATAAATTGGATGGATGTGATAATTTTTCGATTCCACTAGAATCAGTTCTTTTAATTTATTAATAGTTAATAATAAAAATATTTTAAAAAATATATTGTTACAATTTTTCTATCCACGAGGTGCAAAAAAAGTAAAAATAGCAAATAAAACAAACCAACTAGAGACAATTACAGTGAAGAATAAAACAGGTATCATGTGCAATGTTCTAATTCTTATCCAATTCTAGAGGCAGAAAAAACTTGAAAGTTAAAACCACTCATGTTCGTCCCAATCTATGCCACCCTCATTAATCAAACTTGAACAGGATAATTACAATGGAAGTAGAGATCAAGCTTCGTCTCTCAGACTCAGCCACTCACCAGAAACTCTCAAACTTGCTTGCACCCTTCCACACCAGAACCTTAATCCAAGAAAACATATTCTTCGATGGTTCAAACAAAGAACTCACTTCTAACCTCGCTGTTCTCCGAATCCGCTTCTACAACATGGAGGAACACTGTGTCCTCTCCTTGAAGGCAAAGCCTGTGATCTCAGCGGGAATAAGCTGCATGGAGGAGCATGAAGAGCCATTAGACCCTTCACTTGCTCGTGCATGCATTGCTGAGCCATGGAGACTCTTATTCGTGGATTCCTCCAAGATACTGAAAAGGGTGAGGGATGAGTATCGTGTTGGAGAAAATGGGTTGGTGTGTCTAGGTGGGTTTAGGAATGTGCGGGCTGTGCATGAGTGGAAAGGGTTGAAACTTGAGCTTGATGAGACTAACTATGATTTTGGGACGAGTTATGAGTTAGAGTGTGAGAGTGTTGACCCTGAGAGAGACAAGAAATTGCTCGAGGAGTTTCTTCAAAGGAATGGAATTAATTATTCGTATTCTCAAGTTTCTAAGTTTGCTGTCTTTCAGTCTAGGAAGTTGCCTGAATCAGGACGTATTTAGTCTCCTTAGCAATTAGTATTGTTGAATGTATGACTTTATGTTTATTTTTTTAGTACATATAATAATACTATTTAGTGTCTACAAATATTGTTATAAACACATTTTGACACTCCTATTTATGTTATTTATTATTGAGTGAAATCCTATTCTGACTCCATTAATTAAGTGTTGACTCAATCTATTTAGTAGGATTTCCATAAGATCTCACTCTGATAATAAATATTTTAAATGTGGTTATTGTTAACTTGTTTTTTGGTATTTCAATGGCAGTTATGAACACTGTTGTGCAGAACTATCGTGCTAGGGTTTTCCAGAGCTATCATGCTAACATTGTTAGTTAAATATTATGGATAAAAAGTTTTAAGAGGAGGGAAAGCCATCCTATGATAAGCTCATATGTCACAAGTCTCGCGAGTTACAATAATATTTACAAGATTGTTGATGATAGAATTAATTCTAAGTTTTAGAAACGATTGACGGGGGTTAAATCTAATTATGACAGGTCAAGCCATTTAATTAGACATAATACTGCTTGCTAAGCACCACTGTAAATGCTAAGAATTACATCACAAAAGTCAATTGTTGTGGTTAGAGAGTTTTGACAAACCTCACTAAAATCCCATAATTACAATGTTCTGATCAACAAATTTTTAGTTCACAGCTTGTAACGCTTATATGTGCAAATATGACGGGAAAGTGGCGGTGAAAGAAAAATGCTTAGTGAAAATAATTGTCAATCTTGAACATTCCTTGGGAACTACTGCATTATATAGGCTTTTTATTTATTAAGATGAGTGGATCACACGGAAGCTATGCGATCCCGAACCATATAACATTGTAATTCATGAGTTCTACAACTCATGTGAAGTAGGGAACTAAAGGTTCGGACCATTGCACATTGAGAAATGCAAAGTCATGTCCAACTTCAACCAATTAAGTGACCCTACATTGGCATGTACCCATATTATGCACATCAGCTTTAAATGGAGAAGTGCAAACCTTAACAGAGCATCTTTTTATTTAACAGAAAATATCGTAGAGCTAATAAACATTGGGGTACAGGGTACGATCTGTAGAGTAAAACTAAAAAGGACATACATTATTATCACCAATTTGAAATAAATGAAATTGATTTAATATCATTGGCAAGAGGATGTTTCTATACGGTATTTTAAATTAATGTGAATCACTAGTTCACAGCTATAAAAAAAAGTACATGGTATAATGAACAATGCCGCTGCATTGATTAGGCACTATAGAATAAGAAAACTACACTGGAAGTAATAGAAGAGCAGCATTGTATTAACTTGCTGTAAAAGCAAACATTCTTAGCATACCAAAATGTTTGTCTCAAAAAGCTACCGTGTATATATGACAATACACAATGGACACCATCAAAATAAGACGTCTAGGAAAAGTCATGGGCAGTTCCTCATTAACTAAATATAAGAATCTGGGTGATCAGGAAATCTGTCATGTAGTTCAAAATCATTAAGCAACTCTTGCGCCCATATACTGAGTTAATGTATAGCCAATATAAGTCATGGGCAGTTCCTCATTAACTATAAAACAATAGGTAATTCAGGTTACATCGATTTCTGCATGAAGATGGTTATACAATATTACTTCAAAGTGCTTGCAAGAAAATACCAGGAATACATTAATAATTATGCTCCTCAGATGTTCCTAAAACTACCCTGAACTTCTTGCTACATAGCTTACAAATGCATGACACAAAAATTATGAAAAGTGACTCAGCGACCACGACCCCTTCCTCGGCCACGACCGCGTCCCCGCCCTCGCCCCAAGGGTTTCCCTGAAAATGCAATCAAAATATACTCAAATTAAAATCAGAGGAACTAAGAAGGAAACAATTAGAATTTACTGAATGGATAGAACATTTTGCAGTCAGACTATATACAGTACCAGCAGTTGGCTTCTTGGGCTTGATCCTAGGTGTCTCTTCAACAAGCAAGGTCTCGAGATTCAAGCTGTCAGGAAGAATATAATAACGGATGTTGTTGCCCCTCACACTGAGATGATCCAGAGTCACTGGATTTTTCCCTTTCAGAGTTAGTTTAACTGCTTTCAAATGTGTGTTCATACTGATATCAACACCTGTTGCAAAAATCCCAGGATCAGTAAGTTAAAACTTCCTATCTCAAAGTGGTATTCTTGGGTCAGAGGTAACAGGTATTTACAAATTACTATTGGTGTAATTCAACTAGGAAGCAGCAAGATATGCCTAATTTTTTTAAAAGGACTCGCTGCAGACAAAATTCATAAACTATATTTACTTCATGCTCACTTATTATCCACACACACAGGGAGGGGGGAGAGGGATAAAAGACAATATATTCGATACAGGCCAATATCACGTCTACATGACTGGATCAAACTCAAATCAGATGGGTGTCCAACAGGAAATTTCATGGTAAAGGTTGTATTAGTTTGAATTGGGCAACTGTAAAGATACATCTCAGGGTGTAGGGGATTTTATGTCAGAGGACAATCATAACTACTTGGAAAAATCCATATTCTCCTATCCAAATCAGGGGGGAGATTATTAGAATCAAGTAAAAGCACAAAGGAGTCAGGAACTCTGCCTCAGTAGTTTTACTATCATGCAAGTTCCTACTTCAAAAGTGGAAATTTCAACAAAATACTGAGCCCTTAAGAGATATTTCAGGAGTGAGATTTTTGCTTAGAAGCCAAACCACCCCCCCCCCCCGCCCACCCCCACATCGAAGTATTCTGTAAAGGAAACCTCTATAATTACTCATCCACCAAAGCAATATTGATTTGGAGGCCAATTTCCCAATCCCCCTTCATTTTCAGGCTAAAAAAAATCTCTCAACCAACTCAATGGTCACTTCCATCTTTATCCGTACCAAATCAAAAAGAAAATCCCTCATAATTTTCTTTGCCGTCTAAGCCAATCCAACAAGGTTAAAGGGAGTGAAGTAGACAATGAAGTTGAAACAAGTATAACCTAATTACCTAAAGAGCAGAGAGAACCCTTGCAAATAATTAAATGCCTAAGTCTCAAACTAACAAACACATTCCTATTGTTCCAATCCAAGTCCAATATTTTATTTGTAAACAAATGGTTCCATGAGGAAGAAAATGAACCTGTAATGGTGCCATGAACGATAGTGCCATTCTTGAGCTCAATTGACACGGTTTCATTGTTCAACTTCATTAAAAACCTGCTCAAACAATATTCATATATTATTAAAAAAAAAAAAGACAGTTCAATTCACTAACGCAACAAAAAATAAGTAAAATAAAATGAAGAAAAAAGATAGAGAAAAACCGGACGAGCTTCATGTTGCCTTCTTTATTCTCTTCCTGCGAAGCAATGCAGAGAAATTCATCAACATTCTCTTTTGTACAAATGATAATAAAAACGTAGAAATTTGAAAGAAAATAGAATGGAATGAATTCGGAGAATCGGAAACAAGAAATTGATGGAGAGACGGTGATTACTTACCTTCAGCGGCCACCGCCACGGTAGCCAGGGTTTTGGGGCAAAAATTTGAACTCGAGTCACCTGCAGAAGTAGCGGTTCGTTTGTTATATAGGGTTTAAGGGAAATTTTGGTGATTTTGGATTTTCAATCACTTCATTTTATTTTTATAATTTATCATTTGTTAAAATTAAATTTTTCACTGAAATTTATTTGAAATTTAATAAATATACAATATAATGTTAATTTATATAAAAAAATATATAAGATATATTTTATTTTACTGTATAAAAATGAATGTCGTCTTATATTTTTATTAATTTAAATGAAATTTGAGTTAGAGGAAATAATTTTAATGATTGAAAAAATATATAAAAATTAAATATAAATAACTAGAATTAAGAAGAGTATATAACCACTTCCTAAAAAATATTAAAATGGTGCATGAAAATAAATAAGTAGACAAAAATTTTAATTAACTAATTTATTTTAAAATAAAATATTTTAATGTCACCAAAACATGTTCATATTGTTCCAGTCCATGTCCAATATTTTTATCTTGGAAATCTATACCTTAATCCCTTGAGAAATAAAAATGTAATACTCTTTAATATAATTTAATCCAAACAAGTTAACTGAAGAGAAAGATGTTATTATTCTGTGGTCCCACCAGTCAAAATTTCTAAATCCACTAATGATTATATTTTAGTAGAAAAAAAAGTTTTTTTTTTATTTTCAAACTTGTTTTTACTATGTCATTTATATTGTTTTAAAATTTTTAAAATATATTTCATAAACCTTTTTTTTTTATCCAAACTGATTCCTTATGCATTATTTTTATCCAATATTTTCATGTTTTTTTTTTTTTTTTGGCGAAAACAAAGTCAAATTCTTCAGTATGGAACCAAAATGATGAGAAATTGACTAATTGAGGATCATGACGTGTTGAAAACAGTGGTGTAACACAGGAGAAGTCAACAAACTTATTATTCAAACTAAAAAAAATTAATTAATTTTGTGAAAAAATAGAAATTAATTTTGTGCAAGAAAAACCAAATTAATAGTCAAACTCATAATAATTCAAAGATTGAAATAAATATAAAAAAATTATAATACCGAAACTTTTATTTTTTGTTCAATTATCTTTTAAATCTTAATTTTTTAACATACTTAAGCCAACTAGAGACATAGTGATAGTTGTTAACCCCTCCATTATACAATGTCATCATGAAAAACTAATATTTTAGAAACAAGCATGGTAATTAGACTTCACGATGGTCTCATACACCAATTATTAATATGTTGAAAACTTTGATTCATGATGGAAAGGATAAACAATTTAATATAATAGTTATTTAATAAACTTTATATTTATTTAAATATATTTTATAAACTTCACAGTGAAAATTGTTTAAAATTATTTAAAAAATTTTCGTACACACAATTAAAAATTAAATTCTTATCAACATGTCTGAGGGACTCAAGTATCTACCAACTATGCTAAACTTTATCAGTGTTTAAACTCATACTTAAATATACTCATTAACATTATTGTAATATTTAAAAAAAAAATATTATTTTAGTAAATTCCTCGTTATTTTCCACAGTTTTCTTAAAAGATATTTTTAAAAAATAAAATTACTTAAAAGAGTTTGCCGTTGTGGCGTAAAACTCTATTGTGTTCATACGTGTGTGGTTAATTTTTGGGTAAGAATTAGTCCTAAACATTTTAAATTAAAATTTTTAACCTACTTTAAAAATATACAAGGCTTTAAATTTATTAATTTTTGTATAAATTTAGGTCTATTAACTTATTTCAAAATAATTTTTTAATTTTTTTTAAAAAAATAAGCTTTTAAATAAACTCACCAATAAAATATTAGGTTAAATCTAAAAAAAACTATATAATGTAAATTTGTTAGACTCAAACCTAAACTTTAGGAATATAGTTAGGCTTTCGTCTTACAAAATTAAATTTGGCTCAATCTATTTTTATCTCTATTTACGTATATTTTTAATACGAAATCGCTATAAACTATTAAAAATAAGAAGGAAATAAAAAAAGTGTAAATTACATCAATAATTACACTGTCATTAACATATTATGAAAATGTCAACCAAACTATTAAAATAGAACTATATATTATCTTTGTATTAAAATTCATGAATTAAGCTTGAATAACTATTGACTCTCATTTTTATGTATTTTAAAAATATGAGATATTAATTTTAATGTATATAAATGATGATTAAATAATTTAAATTTAACTTTAAAATTTGCAAACTAATTAAATTTAAAAAATTAATTCAACGATTAATTTTAGAATAAAATATTAATGTTTAAACATATGTATTTTGATATAAAAATTTCAAAATTTGTAATATGATTCTCAAAGATTTAAACACATTAATTTTTCTGCTCATTTTTCCAATCACTCTAACAAGGATTATTACGCCTAACTATGTCTTGCATTTGAACTTGATAATAAGAGTGTTTACTTCATTCAATTGCAGATTACGTGTAAGATAATTTTCTATAAGAATCTGACCTCCAAAAAAGTAAAACTACAATTTAAGAGTTTTAAAAATTGAAAAATGCTTTTAAGAAGGAAAATAAACATGTTCTTAACATTCTTCTAAGTTTTAAAAATAAGACATACACGATCAAAACAATATATAAATTAAATTTTTATCAATAATTTAAAATTTATTTATACCTTAGGCAAGTTTTATAGGTATTTTATCTCTATAAGTAATTAAATTTGGTATACATTTTATGTACATAAAGAAATGGAGCAAGCAAAATCGTTAGGGAAGTACGAACACAAGGCTTTCCTTTAATCAACGTTATCTTTATGGCGCCAAACACGCAAACAAGACAATTGCAGTTGGCGCGTAGATCCACGTACGACAAAACGAACTAAAATCAATAAAGAAATGAAATAAAATAAAATAAAAAATGACCCCACATCGTCATCATTAATTATTGTCTCAATCATTCCATTTATTTATGCAATATTCAATACTTACTCGAATCAAATACCAAAACGAAAAATAGTTACTACGTGTCCCTTTAAGCGTAATTTCACATATGTTTGACTCAGTTGATGTTCATGGCGGCTGTGTCCTTTTCCTTCATGATATAATAAAAATTGGGTTGTAACCATTCATGAAATTATTACCCAAATTGCTTTCTTGCAAAAGGAAGCGATTTTGATTGGTTTTGTTGCATGCAATGGAAATTTTGCATTGTTGGCACCCAGCATATTCCAAAAAATAAGTACTTTTCTGAGAATTGTCAGAGAAGGTTCTTTCTTCCCCTTCGTCCTATGTTTCTGCAAATACTTCTTGGGTTTTCTTCTTCTTCTTCTTCTTGATGATGATGATGATTTGTGAGTCTTTTTTTTTTTTGTTGTGGGTCAAGTTAAGAAAGTCATGATTTCGTTGGGATCTTGAATTGCTTGTATTTTTGTCAAAGCAGGTTTTCGATTTTTTTTTTCCTTTTTGTTTATGGTGGGATCAGAATGATTTTGTCTCTTTCTTGTGTTTCTATTAATTCGAAGAACATTATTATTTCTTGTTTAGGATGAGTTTTTTTTTCCCAATAATTATACCGTGTTTCGTTTACCTATGCACTTTACACTGTTTCTTTGCTGTCAGTTGATTGCACACAGTTGAATCAAATTCATTGACATATCAATTTATTCATCCTTTATAATTTTTATTAATAATTGTAATTATTATTTTTTCTTTATGTTTGTGTTGCTACTAAGTAGGAAGGATTAACTAACTACTAGGTTTTCAACTCATGGGATGCTTCAATTTTAGAGGAATCTCCCCATGTCCTGCACTTTGTTTTCTTTTTCCTGTTTTGCAGTGTGAATTTTTGTAAACTGTTACAATAATTAATATGGTTTAGGGTATGATGTCTCCCATATGAGATTTTTATTTTTGCTGAAATTGAATTTGCTTCGTACCTTTTTCCTTTTCTTTCTTTTTTAATTTCTTTCTTTTTTCAGATCTCTTCTTATAAGGATAGAGCATTAAAATCATTTCCAAGGAGGCAGGGGAAGTGTTGAAGTGTAGGAAGCTCACTCTAGATTCCATGTTCCCTATTTTGCTATTCTTGTCGGTTTACAACAAAGTTGTAATGTAAAGGTTGGTTTGTGATTCTTCATGCTTTGGGTTCATTGATTTGATAAGTTGTTTGTTATGATAGCTGAAAAGGGAAGAAATGTCTGAATTGATTATGGTGATTCATTGCAGACAGTTTCATTGATTTTTAGTGAGTGCTTGAGTTTCAGTGTTTCAACTTGATCTTGTAGAGTAATTATTGCAAAATGGAATTCAAAGATGAAACACAAAGTGTAATTTTACAATTGATGGGTCTTGATAAAGTGCCTGCCCAACATCCTGTTAGAGATAAACAGAAAGTGCTCTCTGAGAATTACCTGCAGAAAGTTGCCTCTATTGGTGTCAGAAAGAAGCGTTCATCGCTCCAGCATCATTCCTTGGGAATGAATACCGATGAAAAAGAAGAATCTGAGGATGGTTTGAAGGTAGTCAAAGCCATAAGGCGAGATAGGCACCATAACCCATCAAAGGGAAATTGGAAAGAGAAACCATTTTCATCTTGCGAAAATTTTCATTTGGCTGACGGGCTGCACAAAGGGTTATCATATCCTGAAAGTGTGAGAGATTATCCTGAAATGATAGATAGAAAGAAAATACCCTATCCCATGAATTTTGGTAAGCAGATTTCAAGATCTTCAAGTAAAATTTCAGAGGAGGTTTCTATGCAAACGGGAAATGTTGCAAACAGCGTTTTAGATGCCTTTTCAAGTTCATTTGTCAGTGGGAATGAAGCGTTTTCCAATGATATACTGAAGCCTGCTTCCAATATTTCAGATAATAAGCTTGAATGCAGTTCCCCGTTCTTCTGTTCTGATGGCGCTCATGTAGGCGCTGAAGCTAGGAACAAAACTTTGAAACAAAGGGATGTGACCGAAGAATCGCAAGAACATGGACGGCATGGTCAAGACAATACCCATAACCAGTTGGCTATGATTTCTGAACATGGAAATGGAGCAAGAAATTTGCGTCATCGAAGTGGTTTTAGTAATGATAAAATTAAAAGGAACATTAGATTTGGGGTTGGTTTTGGTTATACGTTTGCTAGAAAAGTGCCAATACCTCTTTGTGCGGCTTCTGTTATTGCTGATAATTTTGGAACTATGAATAGCGATTACTTGTTTCAGAGATATTGGGGATTAAGAAAGAATGCATCTGCAAATTGGTCAATCAGGAAGTCAAGGAATCAAAATATTAACCAAAAAGAATGTTCAGAAGATGTAAACCTCAGTCCCATTAGTGATAAGTCGGAGCCGACGTGCTACAGGAGTGATTTGTCTGATAAGAAAACTATGCCTCCTCAATTGTCAAGTTCTAGTTCTTCTATATTAATAGATAGTCAGATATTGCAAGAAAGATGCTTAATGAATGATGAAATGAAGAACAAAATGCATAAAGGCAGTAAAAATTATGGGAAAAATGCTGTGACTCCTGATTCATCTGTTGATTGCTTGGTATATGATAATACCGAGGTTGTTGAGAGGTCGCAAAATAATCCAACCAAGCAGCAATCTAAATCGACAGCCTTCATTTTATCACAAGGAGATATTGATTCTTTGAGTTGTTCTTCATATGCTTCAAAGCTACAGGTATGTTTTTCGTTTCCCAGAATTGTTAGGATTATTCATCTCTTTTCAGTAAGTTGTTATGATGTTATCTGACAGTTGAATGTTTCAATAAACTTTTAATGGTATGGTGCAGATATCCAACTTTTGTTATTGGTGTGTATGCATGCTGAAAATGATATTAGGTGTCAGAGTTTACATATTTGATGGAAACATACATGAATCGTCTATAGTAGAGTAATATTATTGTTTCAGGTGTGCTTTACATTTTCAGTTTACCTACAGATGAACATGCTGTAGAATGGTTTGCTGAAATTTAGATCTTCAAAGGCATGAGAAGCGTTAAAAGTTGTGTGTCCTCATTGACTATTGACAGATTACCTGTTGAAGGTATTTGAGGTGTCTAAAATTCTGTTGAAGATAGTTTAAGTTGTCACCTTGTGACCTGATGGTCATAGTTTCTAACAGTGTCAATACCCTCTTGGCTTGTGGCTACTAGGCTTGTACATCTAATCTTCCTATACTCCATAATGATGGGAGTCTTGTACATTGGACCTCCGTTTTTTGGTGCTCTTTTTCTCCTTGTACTACATACACTAGAGTGTTGCTAATTATTTTGAGAACTTCTGGTCTAACTCCCATACTCCCATTATCAACTACCTTATTAAAACCAATGTGGAGGAATGGTAAGTTGTTACTGCATTGCTTATTTTGCCGTCTTCTTTGAGTTCTGTCTTCTGATATTTTATCTGAAGAGGTTTGAAGTCAAAATATAGAGGGTGAGTTGTTTGACACAACAGTAAAGTTGCTGATTAGTGACCTGGTGGTCATATGTTCTAATTACAGAAACAGTCACTCTGCTCATGGGGATAAGGTTACATATATGTATGATTGCTGAAATAGTGATGTTCTTTGTATTGTTCTTAAATTACAGGATACATCAGACTTTCAAGAAGATTCTGTTCATTCACTATTCTCTGAGGCTGACCCAGAGTCCCTTCATAGCTTTGAGGAGGCCTATGAGCCTAGTCCAATTTCAGTTTTGAATCCCTCATTTAGAGATGGCATTCTTTTGAGCTCTAAATGTGGTGATGATCTATATGGTATGTAATCATCATGTTGAGTCGTTTTTTTAACTCCTATATATCATCCACGTACCTGAAATTATTGCTTCATTTTCTTCCATTTGTTGTGTTATTAATTACTGCCATCATTTCTGCATTTCAGATTCCTCTGAAGTCGATGATGAAGAATTTGGTTTGAATGTTTCAAGTGATGGAGATTGTGGGAATGAATCTATTGATGACTGTGAAGAAAAGAAAGATATAGAAGGACTTTTTAGAGTGGAAGAAAGTAGGGATTTCTCATATGTTGTTGAGGTCTTAACTGAGGCAGGTATATCTAATAGGAACTTGTTTACAGATTTTTCTACATGGTACTCTACAGAATGTCCTATTAGCCCTTCTGTCTTTGAAATTCTGGAAAAGAAATTTGGTGAGCAGCAACTTTGGAAGAGATCTGAAAGGCGGCTTCTCTTTGATCGCATTAATATAGGGCTGTTTGAGATTCTCCAGCCATATTTGCACATCCCAATGTGGGAAAAACCTGTCTCAAGAAGGTTGAATGCAGAACCAAGCCAAGACATGATTGAGGAGGAGGTGTGGGGCATGCTTGTTGCACACGATAAGAAAACAAGAAAGGATTCAGAAAACAATATGCTTGGAGGGGAAATTAGGTGGACAGAACTAGATGAAGATATTGAAGATATTGTTAGAGAGATAGTTAAGATGTTAATGGAGGAGCTTGCAAATGAGATAGTTAGCTTGGAGAATATTTAAAAAATTTGTAGTTTTGTGTGCGGCTATAGCATTTTTATATACAAGCAATTGGTGTATAGCTTGATTTTGGGAGATTGATTTTGAGACAATTTTGAAAGTTTGAAGAGTTGGAATTAGGATATAGGTGTTTGAAGAGTTTGAATTAGGAATTTAGGATATAGGTATAGGTTCACTATTCTTTCATTTGGAGTAATATTGTATTCCACTTGTTTCCAAAAAAGAAAAAGAAAGAAAACTGCTTGCTGATTTGTTGTATTTGCTATGATGATCAATTGCCATTAATTTTTTAATTAAGCAAGAATAGAAAAAAAAATAAAGTCATATTAAAATATGATAATCGTGTGATAGGCTTCCATGATTCAAGTAGGTCAGGTGACCTAACCCCCCCCCCCCCCCCCTTTTTCTCTCTCTCTCTCTCTCTCCAAACTATTCCATTCTCTTACACCTCAGTTCAAGCACTTTCTGGTTAGGAGTCCTAATTAACCTGAACAACACAAAATACTTAAATTTCAATTATAACCAAATCCATTTTATCAACTCATATGTCATTCGGAGAAACCTTTATATGCACACACGTGTCCAAAGATGTTCCTCTGCCCTCACATTAACCAAAACAAATATCTCAACTAATGTATCTTAAACCTCACCAATATGGAAAGCCAAAGATTGATAGTGACATCCACCACAATCAAGATTCTGAGACATTTATACATCATCAATTACTATGTTTGTCCTGGTAATTACAAATTAATAGTTACATATGGTGGTTATTTTTGCTTCTTTTGCACTCTGCATATGGAGTACCTTTGTACCCTTTCATTTATAGCAAGTTAGATGTGGTCCTTTTATGTTGAAACTTCTTAATTTGTGTACTTAACGACAACAAATCATTTCTTCAGTGCCTCTTAATTCATAAATCTTAGATGAATATTTTGGTAATTCTGCTTCTCAATTGTCATCTTGTTATTTGTCTTCTATTCAAGCCTGGATTTATAACACGTTTCTATGATTTTCTTTTACCAATATGGGCATTGCTGTTAATACTGTGGGTGAAAAGGAAGATAATGTCCATAGCCACGAGCATGATCACCACCACCATAAACACGAAATTTGTCATAATTCTGTATTGGTTACTCCACGTTATTCTTGTGTATTTGTGATATTGCACGGTGCTCATGTCATTTGACTCATACGGACAGGGTGTAACTACATGCTTGCTTACACATAATTTATTCAGATGCTCATGTTACCAATATATTGTACCTAATTTATTCAGATGCCTATGTTACCAATATAATTAATTAGTCATGATTAGTTACTTCATCTACTTTACTCTCTAAGTAGTTTTTCTGTTATTCCCTATTCTGTTCCAATTACTCGATGTGCGACTAGCTGTGTATATAAGACCCACTGTACTGACTCTAAATACTAGTGAAATAGATCGTCACTTTCTCATCGTAAGATGGTAAATAATCATAGATAATTAACTAATCAATTATATTGGTAACAGCCGACGATTTGGTTAACTTTCTAGTTTTTTTATCCATATTATTGCACAGTTTCTACTCACTTCAATGTTTCAGAAGATACAAGGACATAGCTTATAAAATCTTGCTATTTATACTATTTAAATGTGTTATGAAGGGAAAGAATAGATTCATTTTTTAATCTGCCGATATCAAGATGATCACTTCTCATGATCATAATCATGACCTAGTGTTTTATCAGTCAGCATAGTCCGTGAAGGAAACTCAAACCTTGAGAAGGTTTGGACTTAAGGCTCTATGTGCATATACCATGTAGAATAGCAGTAAAAAAAAACTATGCAAATCTAGGACTTGAGGCTTTCTTAGTTAAAGTATCAATGACCCATACGGTTTTTATCTAGATCAACAGAAAGCCAATTAAAACCATAAAATCAGAAGCAAGCATGAAATAAAATGCAATTTGTTTTGACCATATCTCGATTATAATCTGGATCTACGTAATGTAGGTAGGTAAAGCTCGTTTTACTTACCTTTTTTTTAAATGCACTTCTTAAGATTCCTTGTTTGAAGTTATCTCTTTTAGCCTTTGCTATTGACAAAGCAAAATACAAGGAAAGCCATAGCTTACAATCCATGGATACCCTAAATTTTCATTACCATATTTCTCCATTATTTAATTTCTTGCTGATATTCTGCCATAGATGTTTTCGCAAACAATTATTATATTCTCACACTCACTATTTCTTACATTCATTTTTCATTCTCTCTTTTTTTCTATCACATCACATACTCTCTCTCTCTCTTTTCCCTCCACCCATTTAACTCCCTTTCAAAGGGTGTCAAGGGATCATTACTCCTCTTCAAATTGTAGTCAAGTAATGAGACAAACTACACGAGGAGAGGAATGTCAGTGTCACAATTCATATAAGTATATAGTAGTAGAGAAGCCTAAATATATTTCACGGATTCAGGTTTCAGGCCCCTCTTCGTCGTTTCCAGTCTCCTGTGTCGTATTTCTGCAGGTCAGTTGATGAATACATGCCATTTATTTATTCAAGATATTATCACTCGACAAATGCAAAGTTTATGTCTTCTCCACAGGCAGGCCTGAGCCTTAGGATAGTCCCACATCAAGTAGTCACGAGAATCTTTCCTCGCTTCTATACTTATAAATTGGTCCCCCGGGCCAACTCCCTCATTCTATTACCACCTGATTAGAAATACGTAAACATGTTTCTGTCCACAACAGATGTAGGTATTGGTTGGTGAATTTGTGAACTTGCCTTACTATGTACTAACGAACGCTCCAAGAATTAATTCTGTTTCATTTTTTGTATCAAGGTCAGAGTAGAAGCTACGAGGTGTTTTCTGATTGAAGGTTCAATGTGGCTGTTGTAGCTGGTTTGAATCAGGTAATAGATTGGTTCTATATATGAGTATGTGACTGTAACTGGTTTAAGAAAAATTTGCATACGGTAATGGGTTAATTTTGTACAAGTGAACCTAATAGATTAATATAAAATTGATCAATCTCTATCTCGCGAATGAACTAATCTGCTCATTGAAGTTTAATTTTAGGATTTGAGCAATAAAACTCCATATAAATCAAGATCCTACCTCTCTTTAAGTAAATACATGGCGCCATGTGGACCGTAGAAAAAAGATCAAGAACAATGTATTACAATACAAGACAGGAGGTGGAAAATGTGCCGAAAGTTCAAGCTCCCTGAATTGCTTGATTAAATAATGTATATGTGGTTGTGCTATGTGACATTTGAAAAAGTTGTCGAGGTAACAACGTGGCCAACCATTTTGTTTTTAGTTACGGAAGTGGTCAAAGTGTCAAATACATAAATTAAACGTTGTTATATTAATTAACGTTGGACTTCGACGCTGCTTATATTATGTGTCGTATTCATGCAACAAGACAGATGCCCATGCCTAGGCTGTACGCTTCACGCATTCAGACCTATTTTGTCGTTTACTATCTCCGTTGTCGCATATATTGCATGTCAATACAAGAAAATATACACAGACGCGAAATAAACCAAACAGCATTTGCCACACCAAGATTTTTAGATTTCTTCTTCAGTGGATGAAAACGAGAGAATCAAACTTGTAAAATGATTGAATAGGAAAGACAAAGCAAATGAAAGTTGCAAAGCGGAAGTTAATTGTGAAAAAATTGTCTAAATTTAAAACCATGGCTTTCACAACTGGAATCTGGACCATCAGCCAGATGCGAGTGACCTTAGTGTGGTAGTGTATTGTTTCACTAATTTAAACAGTCTAGTTCATGTAACTTCAAAATTAATTTGAACATTTTAATTAACGTGTTGTTTGATTTTTAATTTATGGCAAATTTATTCCACTACTCTTACTACTAGTTCAATATAAAACAGAGATATGATCTTTTAAAGTGAATGATACAAGAAGATTTTGACTTCAATTTACAACGAGATCACTCAATTTGGCTTCTAATTAGCTTATTATTGTAAGTGCATGTCTATATTTTGATTTTGCGACTGAAGCTTATTTTTAATACCCTTGCACTCACTCATTAATAGTTTTTTTTTTTTGGCTTATTAAAAAAAGTTCAACTTAACTTTTTCTCCGTGAATCTAATATAGAATTAAAAACTTCATTTCTCTACTTTTACAAATGCTAAATGAACAAGTCAGTTTGAAAAAGAGGAAGCCTAAGAACATTAACTCAAGATTGACCCTCAGGGTAAGACGGGTAACGTTCTCTCTTGAAGTCCTTGAAAGATATTTTTTCTTTTGAGAATATTTTCCTGTGCACAGAAACATAATATCTTGATTTCTCTCCGTATCTGAGCCACTAGTCTCACTGCAATTAACCTATATTGACAACTGTATATTATTCCCATTCTAAACACATTCATTCACCATATTTCTTATTTGGGTGTCAAGGGTGTTTATATAAGTATACCACTTTTTCGCTCTGCGGAAATCAAGCTTGAATTCTTAAACTTGATCTTCATTCTTCTGAATCCAGTCCTCTCTCTCATTTTCATCTTTTATTTAAGAAGCATACCTTCCATTATCTCATCTTCAATGAAGAAGCGAACGCATATTTGTGTTTGAAAGCCTAATTAAATAGGATACATACTTCTTGGGTTGTTATAACTGCTCAAACCTTAAGACATATAGAGAGAGAGAGAGAGAGAGAGAATATGTATGGTCAGTTTTCTTTCTTTTTAAAATAAATGAAAATTATTAGATTTAAAGTTGTTATTGAGAGAGAGAGAGGACTCCCAAGATGAAGACTGAAAATTTTATCCTATTATTAGGACACCCGTAATGTAATTGAAGACAACCTGTTCTTTACGACAAATGGTAGTCCTAGTGGATCCTATGCCTCTTCATCCTTCTATAAATAGGCTAAATACCCTTCCAGTTCCACATATTCATAAATATATATTAAGACGCGCGATACGACAAGATATACACATATATACCCGAAAATCAATACTCTGCGACACACATAAAGCCGGATCCTGGCTTTGGTGCTGTCCACGTTTCCATGTTTGACGTTAGAGTGAGTTTTAATTATGATCATACGTATTATTCATGTCACTATGTGTAGACAGCATAAACACATTGGTATTGGCCACATCGACATTTATTATTATATTATAATATATAGATATATATATATATATATAACATTGTGACAGGGAAATCCTGCTACTGACGTGGCATGCTGTTATTTGCCAATTGAAGGATCACTTAGCAATAGCATTTCAAAAAGGGATAGGAAGATCTATTAACTGGTTATGGGGGCCACGCAAGTCTCCGTGCTCTTTCCGTGTATATGCAACTTGATTGATTTTATTATTACTTTATTTTTACAATATTAGAATTAATAATAATATATAACAACCATGCATGCATTGCAAATTGAGGGTAAGGCCGGGACCACTACTTAAGATAGTGAAGTAACTATAAATAAAAGTAGAGTAGAGAGATGGAGTGGTTTTGGCACAATGCAAGGGAAATTGGTGAAGTGATGCAGAGGCACGGGAAAACCCTTATGTGAGATCGTTTTCATTAGTCGTTGCTTGCACCTTTGGAGGAATTTGAGATCATCTTCTGTATCATTTGGCTTGTCTCTTCTTCCGACATTCGCTCGTCTTTACTCTTAGCTTTGGCATACGCCTCAAAAAATTCCTTGTTTTCTTTCTCTAGCTCATTCCACACTGCATACATATACATTTATTTATTAGATCCATACATATAATATTCGTTCAACATACCGATCGATGTTGTGTGGTTCATTGAAACGTGACTATGATGTATTACATATATATGCACGTGCATACTTCTTTGGTGGGTGGAATTGAAAAATAGGTTATCAACAATTTTAATTTTTATCTTATGAACTAATTTTTCGGACGTTGACAAGAAAGTTCTTACTGTACAAATTTTAAAGCAATTTAGGGGTCCTGTTTTTCAATATATATACTTATATTTGTTTTTCTTAGGTTTGAGAAATTGCAAGAGATGGGGAAAACTAAATCAATCTTGGACGCGTTAATTTCAATAATACAATCTAGATCTTTCAATCTTAGATGTCTATCAACGCTTAAAATTTCATATTAAGGAGTCATAATAATTTTAACTACGATAATTCATGCCAAAAATAAAAATCAACATCGATCTACTGATTTGATTTCTTACAAGTTGATATGATGGCATAAATTGTTTTTTTACATTGTTATTTAATTATAAATTATTGTATCTGTAAAAAAACATTAATTCTTACAAAAAAAATATAAAATTATATTTATGATCTAATTGGTTGATAGTGTAAAAACCTTTACACTAAAAATGCACTAAAATTATTTTAAATTAATTAGGTCTCGAATAAATTGTGATATACAATTTTCCGTTCATTAATCACAGTTTAATTTTTAATTAAAATTAGACTCAAATCTATTTCACAAATAAGGAATTGACACAAATTTTAATGTGCAAGAGATTACAATATAAAAATTAATCATGATTATTAAATTGGAAAAAATGGTAAAGATTAAAATAGTTTTAATTTTTTCTAATTTAACTAAATTTCTAACATGTTCATCATGCAAAAACACTTTTCATCTTGTAGCATTTAGACCCCAAAAGTTCGAACCATTTTTGGGGGAATGGTAAATAATGAATCATATGATCTAACAAATGATCTTCTTGTTTTCCGCTTGCGAATTCCAAAAGTGAGTCGCGAGTGTAGAGTTTCCATGCATTTTCTCAGTGATCAAGCCAGAAACTTTGAGGGTTTTAATTAGTTTATCGATCAAATTATTGAATTATCTAATAAACTGAGGTCCTCTTTGGTTCAGGTAACAACAACTAGCATAAGAAATCCAAACATATACAACTAGGTATAAAATCAATTTATTTTTTAAAAAATGATCTGATCAATACTTTTCAATTAATCTTTCGCGATATGGAATAGTGTGAAATTTTGCATGGGTCCACATGTTCCTCGTTTATAGGGGTATGTTATTATTTTAAATTATATATATATATTATGACTTGAAATGAAAAGAGAAAAGAACATACCAGTGGATGTTATGACAGGTTTAATATTTGCATGCTTGGAGAGAGCTTCCACGCATTCTTCCTTTGTCATGTGAAAGATCAAACACTTCTCAATCAGGTGCTGCACCTAATTTTTATGCAAACATGTGACCATGATTATGACAGGGTTATATGATCAACACATTGAAGGAAAATCAAAGATAGAGTTCAACTTGTGGCTAACTCTCCTACCATATGAATGTATGAAGCAGAAGAAGAAGACTCTCCCATGATTGATCCTAACAGCTATATATGCTAGCTCCTAATAGTGAGCTTCACCAAACTATGTGCAATATGCAACTGAACAAGTAAAAACAGTGTCCCAAGGGGGTGACTGATAGAGATGAAGTGCAAATGTGGTATGAAGAGGATCTAATGCACCCCCAAGGCAATAAAATAGAGTATTTTATGAGGTGGGGCCAAGAGTCCCACGTGAGGGATAAATGATAATTGGTTGAGAGGGGATTAGAGGGGATTGTAAATGACCACTCCTTTGTCTTGTGCAACTGCCAATTGAGGAGCCCCCTCCACGTGATTTGTGGGACATACCCACATAGAATTCCTCAAAATGACAAACTCAGATCATCAATTGATGCCACTATCTTCCAGCATTCACGGTTAATATAAGCCTTTCTGATTAGCATACATGAAGAAGTATAGCAACATCTTTAATTTGGTCACTCTACACCCTATGCTTTCACTTGCCACCATCCAAAAATTGCCCATTCCTTTGCATCGCATCCAGCCATCAGTCCATTTCAGCTTCTTTTGTTGATAGTTGATCCTCAAATAATTAAGATAATGAGTACACAAGAGTCTATGTTCATGATGTTAAGGCTCAGATCTTTCAATTTAACTAGAACTTGCATGAATATATAGATGCCGTGTGAACTACATTTTGTGTAGACGAGGTTAATTAGTTGATATCCATAATTCTCTTATTATAAAACTTTCTTCTTTTTAAGAAATTTTTGGTTTTTTTAAATATATATTCATTAAAGTTTTGTTATTCAAGTTAATTGATTGGCAATAGAATAATTTTTTTACTATATATAAATTTACAGTTAAAGTTGAAGTTTAAATGATTATATTGTAAAAGTGTTTATTGTTAAAGGTTTATTTTAAAATTTATTTTGGATATAAAAGGCTACTTGATGAGTGTTTTGGAAATATTACCAAGTCTCACTTGTAACTTTTTATAATACTTATATAACGATTTTAGGGAAAATGCCGAGTTTCAACTCAAATCAGCTTTGTTCCCTAAAAGATATCCCTTAGTCTTATTTTTTTTACGGGAGATACTTGTTCTTAAGCCCTTTTACTGAACATTTAACGCAATTCTATACTCAGAACTCAAAATTAGTAAAGCTAAAATAATTTCATGGCACTTAATTCAATCCTTTTAATAAATAATTTAAAATCTACTTTTACAAAAAACAAAAAAAAAATTCAGAATTTTTGCTATCCTATTGATGTTAAATTTCCCTTCTTTGTCTGGATTTTTTCCCCAGTCTCTTGAAGTAAAGCCTAGAATTCTCTAATTTTCCAGCGGTAAAATAAATTACCATTGCACCTCTGAAACAAACCTGAAATGACATCAATTTTGGCTACTTTATCTTTACACTTCAAATGTTTGATTAACCTGTTTGATATTAATTAATTATGATGTCTCATATTAGACATGAATTTGAAAGAGAAAACAAAATAATAATAATAATAATAATAGTAATAATAATAATAATGATGATGCTAGCACTTAGATGTGAATAATATATCAATTGTCCTTTTGCTACAATTCTTGACAGGTTTGTTTTGTTCTTTCTTCTCTAAATCAATATCTAGAACTTGAACTTTCCTATAGGGGGAAAAACTTTAAAAAAATAAAATGCAACATGTTTTCCTAAGATTGGACGAAAGACTAGCTCGGATTAAAACCTAAACATTAACATTAAAAAATCTAAACATTAAAAAAATAAAAAGAAAAGGTATCGGGGCCAATTAAAACCATTTTTTTTATTATTAAAACATAGTAAAGGACACAACTCGGATTTGAATATTTTCCTAATATAAGGAACTCCAATTTTGTATTTTTGTTTAACCAAATTTTGCTAAAATTAGGGGTGCTATGATGAATTTTGCTGGGCCAACGACATTGGTTGGAGAGATTTGGCTGTTCAGTCTATTAACATGATTCCAGAATCTTCTGCGAATTTTCTCAATGTTGGTTTTGCAACTTTTTCTAATGCAACCAATCTCAATTTCTCTCTCCTCTCTGCAAAAGCTTAAGCAAGTTTTAATAAGCAAATTACAAAAAAAATTAAACATTCAGTTCGCGCTACAACGATAGACATCTGCATCCACGCAACTCCAGCAGCAAATTTCTCCAATTCTACCGATAATCGTGTAAATCAATTACCTTTTCCAGACAATTCTCAGACACACGTGGTTAACATATGCATCGATCAAATATGCTGCTAATATATCTACTAATTGCACCGCCAATTTTCTGTGTCTAGTGGTAAAATCTCAGAACTAATGTTAGCATCCTCTGTACCATTCATCATGTTAGCGAAACAAACGAAAGGTCTTGTTTCTCATTAGTATAGTTAACCTAATAAAATCAAATAAATCAGTACAAAATAAAAAATAGTTTGCAACTTCAAGAACACGTGCATTGTGTAATATAAATGGTTTGATTTGAAAGGATTGTTGATGATAATCAAATTAGAAAATATAGTAAACAGAGATAAATTAACTAAAAGAATTAACGTCAAGTACAAATAATATGAAAGAGAAGTTCCAAATACACTAAAAGAATGAACAAATACAGAGAAATTTGGAGTCCAATTTAAAGATGTCAAAAATTTAAGAATAACTAATATAATTTTTCATCAAATAAAAAAATATATAGTTCTAAATAATTGTAAAACCCCAGCGACATCCAATAAGCAATTCCATACAAAAACCTAACAAGCAGAGTAACACAGTGATCAGATTATCTAGAAGTTGCCCTCCAAATCAAGCATTACCTTGAAATATCTATCCTCCCAATTCCCAGTGATATATACATTGGGCATTTATATTTGTTCGTCACACATTTCTATTATGTAATTAAATTGATTAAACATGACGTGATTTGAATACCTATAAGATACACATTTCAGTATTTATTATTCCTTTCCTTTTTCACGCAAATCTGAGCTATTAATAGACTTATTAGAGACATGTTTATCTGTATTTTAGATGCTAATATATTTTTTATATAAATACTTTACCCTTCTATAACGTGAATATTTATTTATTTCTGTGATTTAGATGCTATTTTTCTATAGGAAAATTTCTTGTGTAAATATTCACTTAGGATCTGCATTATTGCCATTTTATAAAATTTTCAAAATGGATGAAAAATTACATAATTTTATAGAAAACACTCCCTGCCTACTCGGTTACAATTTTCGTTGGCATATGGCAATCACTGCATAGTCTATTTGAATGAACTACAAAGCAGAGCACTGTCTGCCACTTAACAGAACAATTCAGAAAAATAAACGCCTCCCATTACGATCTTAGATTTTGAAGCAATCATAAATTTTCATTAGAGTTGGTTGGGGTGATATGGGAGGCCCGCACACGCGAGTTCTGCAAAGTAAGCAGCGTCAACACATGGCCAGCCTATAACCCCTCCATAAATTCTTGCACCTCAGAATGAGTGCTGCGACCGGCTCCCACCGTTCGCTTTGTTTTCCTTACTCATTAGTTTAAGGCAAGTTCTAATGTTGCTGGGTTCCTCCTATTTATATCTTAGACGTTGGGTCACTGAAACATTTTTCATCGATGTGGGACTCATAATTACATTTGGACATATTTTTTTAGTGCTTGTAGTGGGAGCTTTCTGTATCAGCTTTTGCTTCCATGTGACCATTTCTATTCAGGTTTCTCTACTTGTCCTCCTCTTCTCTTAGTCTTGATTAATGTTTCAAACATTGAATTTGTTAAACATGAAAGAGTGTAAAGTGTTTCTAGATGATAAATAACATTTTATTTTTCCATGCACTGATAAATTTGGTGACAGCTTGATCTTTTACACAGATTGGTATTAATTTTCCCAATGCAAATTTGGCTCAGTTTTGAAGCAGAAGGTTAGTAATCATTTATCTGCCCGCAGTTACTTGGATCCGCTGGAATATAAAATTATGTGGCATGTACTGGAGGAATAATAATAGCTGGGATACGAAAGAAAAATATATTGAACTAACACAAATTAGAATAAAAGAACAAGTACCAACGAAATCGGGAGCAGTTAAGCCATATGTCAAGTAGAACAAGCTAATTTGTATCTCAAATGGTATGTCATTGAAATAATATAATTTTTTTAAGGCGGGTCAAATGATAGTGTAGTTCTAGTCATGCCCAGATTTATGAGAATGTGCTCTCCAAAATTACAAAAAAGACTGATGACAACGTTGAATTCAAGGACCACGTTAGATGCATCATTGCATTGCCTAATTTTTTCAGGAGTAACTTTAGGTGTTTGCTTGTCGATAGATATGCCTTTAAACTTGATGTTGCCACAGTGTGGCGTGCATTTTTTGTTGATCTTATTTGGGATGTCATACAATGTTTAAGTAAGAATATGTCTTTTTAATGTTATTTTTAAGGACATTAACCTGCATAAGGGTTTTAATGAAGAATTTTTTGTATGGTCTTTACACTATTATAGTCCCGACTGAAAATAATGCGACACGTGTATTTTTTTTTTTTTAAAGAATGAACACATGACAAAACGTAGATGTCCAAAATTTTCTCACTCAGCCAGAATCCTTTTGTTTTTAGGTCTTTTGTTAAGGCATCATAAACTGATTTCTTCTAATAACCGCAAATCAATGCAGTAAAACAGGGTATGCTAAAGTTGGCGAGGGTTCCCCGAAGGTAACCCTGAAATTAAACAAAACAAGATTATCAAATTAGGGATAACCGACAGACAGGAGAGTTGCAGACTAGAACATAAAGTACACCATAAAATCATTCTTCAAAATTCATTGAGTACGTTTTACAACTACCGGTGAATAATTACACACATTATTTTTTAACATAAGCTTTATTACACCGGATTTAACCTATTCATTAGAAAACAAACTGAAAGAATGGCTAAATACAATTTTTTCACTATATGATACAAAGCAGACTTCAATGTTCTTTTGACAATAATGGCTCCAATTGTGAATCTCTGTCCCTGGGGAGTGGAGGCCTGCCATTACCAGACTCCAAGTCAGTAATTGAAAGGTTCTCTCCTTTCTCTTTCATTAAACGTGCAAAGAAACTTGGCTTGTCTTCTGGTAAAGAGAGTGGTGTTTGTGAGCTGTTAGATCCCGCTTTCAAGCTTTGAACTCGCTGCAAGCATACTTGAACGGCATCATGTACTCTCACAAAGTACCATTCTTTGCCTATCAACTCCACAAGACCGGATCTAGACAATGTAAGCAGAACTTCTGGGCTTGGATTGGATATTGCAATCTGCAAGAAATTCAAGCTCAAGTTAGTTGGTGGGAACGTTGTAGACCTTTAGTAAAATTTCATCCTACCTGAATGTCCCGCAATTTGTACTCCTGATACAAGTCTTTCAAAGCCTGAACAGCACTAGAATCTATGTAGGTCACAGCTGCAGTCATCACAAGTCATAACCATATGCTAAGATTAGAACAAAGAGGCAAAACTATCATCATTTTCCCTTTCACAGTTAAGAGCAACTATAGTGGAAAACATCTACAAACTTTCAGTATGACGTTGTTCATGTAATTCAGTGTCCGAGGAAACTAAAAAGTAACAATTCAAAATACCACACAACTTCATATGCATAGGATAAAAAACACAAAATTAAGAATAATTGTATTATTAATCAATAAACTATTGAGCATAACTATTTAGGGATAGAATGATACAACATTTTTGGAACCATATTCCTTGGGGGTATCGATATTATCTTGAAATCAATAAGTAACATGTTTAAATGAGGTTGTGATAAATTGTTCGAGTCAGAGAACTACTAGAAATTTCAGCACCCATGGTGATAAAGAGAACCTAATAAGGAAGACTCTATGCCACAGCCAGTACCAACTTCAGGGTATTTATGGGAATAAACGGAGGATAGTCAATGAAAAGCTGGTAAGGATTCAAGATATTAGCTATGTGGAGTACGATGATTGCTTCTAAAGATGGACTTAGATCACTTTAGAACATACAAAAATTTCTTGGGGTTATTTAACTAGGAAATTACTTTCAATTAGAATAACATCAAAGACTGAGAATGCAAAGAAAATAAAAAGAAAAAGCTTCCACATAATCTCAACATGCTCAGAAATATGTTAGCTCGTAATGATAATAGTGCTGAAACACATGACAATACAGCATATTCTTCTTTGTACACAGGGCAAGCAAGACTTACGTGCCATCTCTAGAATCACAAAATAAATTCTTTCGACCTCAGGTCCACGTCTTGTAGAACTATCAACATCAACTTCATATTCACGCAACCTGATACAGAATTCTAAATGAATTAAACAATGCTCTTGGCTGGAAAAATGTCAATTAAACTCATTTCTTGTTACCTGTCCTTTATGTAACTTGTGTTTGCAAAATAAATTGGAGCATCAACACGAACAATTACAATTCCATTGTATGTATATGCTTCAGGATACTGTTTTACATTTCTATAAACAGTTGTCCCCGGCAAACGACCCAGAACAGCTGTAGTGCAGAGCAAACAATAATATCAGCATATTTACATATCTTTATTTTATACAATATTTATGCCCATGCAGACATTATATCGTCAAAACCATTCTACAAAAATAGAAAAGTACTAGCTTTGTATTAGACACAAAATTGAATTATTCATTTTTTTACGTTATATATTAAAGTTGAAAACCATACTGTCAAGGACTTTATGAACAAGCCCGATCAAAATCTTACACTTAACATGAATGACATGATTCTAAGATATTCACATGAGGAATATGTCTGCAATCTGATTTGACTCCACACTTAAGATACATAACTAGCATGAACAATTGCATATGTAATTTCTGAACCTAGACTAACCAACTTACCAATATGTGGATTGGCTGACTCATGAATGACAAAAGCAAGTGAAACCCCAACCTACAATTTCAAAACCCTTAGAAAGTGTAAAAAGTGATTATCTTAGCATATGGAAAACACCACAACTTTTGCAAGTCAAATACAGGAAAATCACTTTACATTATTTATATGTGAATGAGTCCAACATCTTAAGAAATGACTGTGTAACCATTTCTTCTTCTCTGAACGTGCTTTATCAGAATGAAATAACAGACAATGAAGGAGTAAAGGAAAAAGAAATTTCTGCAAGTATCATGCATCTATTATTTAATAACGCAACAAATTTCACCCTGTACTCACCCCAATAAGTACACCAATCTCAATACCAAGGAACAATGTTGTAGTGCTAGTAATGGTCCAAAGAAGAAAATCTTTCTTATCTACACGCCACAAAAAAATGGCTTCATCATAATCTACCTGAAAAAATCATGTCAAAAATTAAGAGTGATGCTTAATTGACAAGCAAGGCAACTATCTAAAATGATATAGCAGCTAAACAGAAATTTTGTACAATAGACTATAGCTTGAATTAATAAATTATAAAATTAGCTCGATTAGACATGAAGATGTTGGATATCTGAACAAGGATACAAACAAACTATTTTAACATAATATTTTCTATTTTGTACTACATAAAACTAATAATGCTACCATTTCCACTCTTTTATTTATTGATTAAAAATCACTTCTAACTCTTATTTTCTCTTAGGGAATATGAAAAATATTATTTTCCATATTGCCACTATAAGAAATGAGTAAAGACTACACATGGATTTTGAACAAGAAACAAATCCTTCAGCATAAAGAGGAATTCTTACCAAACCTATCACAGCAGAGATCACAATGGCAGCAAGAGCACACTGGATTATTGTAGCCATAAAATTCATAATCAGCTTTCTAGAAAAATGCATCTCTTAAATTTGAGTGACAGAGTAGGCATAAAGTGCACAAAATTTTAAAAAATTATGGCAGAAAGAAAATGATAAAAGGGCCCATTATTTGAAAGAAAATAAGTGTTTTTTCAATTAAAAGATATGCTTAAAAAAATTATAACAATTATATATGTTTGGAACAAAAAGCAAAACACTCAAAAAAAATGTGTTGTAGTGTTTTTCTCATCAGCTAAAAAAGGTACCGTTTGAAAATAAGCACTAAAAACAAGTTATATGTCAAAGTTTTTAAAACTTAAACAAATGGGCCCAAATTTTGGATAATTTCGTAAAGTCTTAATGTCATATATGTTTTAATATTGATGCTAAAGATTGGATACCAGCAGATGTCATCTGTAAAATTTGTCAACTGGAAGTAGAACTTCCATTGGAGCTATTTCAAAAAAGATAACACCAGGAAAAGCATTTTTCAAACATGACCTATGACCTAAAAAGACTCAAAAACAAACCTGAGGTATGTACTCAAATAATGGAGTTAGAAACAAAAGTGCACAGGTTATTATTATTCCTGAAATAATCCCAGATACTCCAGACTTTGCACCACTTTCATGATTAACAGCTGACCTTGAAAAGGATCCTGCATACTCATTCGAAAGAAATGAAAACCATTTTAATATATTTTTTTCACCTTTGAAAATAATAAAACCATAGAGTTGAAATCAATTGAAGCTTTTACACCA